TAATTTTCAAGTGTTGTGTGTAAACCCAAATTAGGTCAATCATTTTTTGTCAACAAAAATTTGGTCTCAAAATTAAAAAAATTTATACCGAAAAATTTGTGTTTAAAAATGATGACGAACTATACAAAAATTAACATGAATAAATTATATTAAGTCTTCGATAAGTACATTTTTAAGTAAATGGAAAACTTAAAAAATGGAGATCTCCAAATATAAAGAATGTAGCATTGAAACAAAAGAAGGGAAAATGGGAATGAACCCCAAATTTGGGGATTGCAATGGAGTTGGTCTTATGGGGGAGATGAGGGTTCTTCTCCCTCTCTCCTTTCACCAGCCTTTGTTTTTCGTTTGGATATTTTTCATGCTACCCTTTCTGCGGAACACTAGTAATCAGCTAATCCTATTGTTAACGATTCGATATGATTTATTGACGAGGTTGCCACATCTTCTTACTATCGAATCATCAAAGGTAAAAATTATCGATCTATCTGCAGTAAATGGCAGTAATATAGTTTTTTTTTTTTTTTTACCTATCAATCAAAATCAGACAAGACAATTGCATGAGAGCGGGTCCTTGCTTCACACCTTTACGTATTAAATGCCACTCCCATCGCTGAAAACTGGGCCCCCTGGGCCTGTGTGTGTTCGATGTTAGTGGAGAATCGTTGAAGCAGGAGGACAAAAACGTAAATTCGGACCGTTCTGGAACCTGGAGCGCGGCTTTGGTTCGATTGTCGATGGGCCCGTTTGTTTGCAGTATTTTCAAAAGGTAGGTGGATCTGCAAGGCCCACACGGCCACACCACATCGATATCCCAGCCTTCCTGTGGCTCAATCGTGTCTCGTCTTTGCTGACTTAGTCTCACTTATTTTTGTTTGGTTCTCCTGTGCTTTTCTTCCAGTTGTACATGTGAAATACGGCTCGCTCCATTGCTTGACGAGCTAGCGTCTCAATTTTCTTTATAGTGAAGTCTCTTGTCGGACAAAACATCTAATTTTGGGTTATTCACGTCATATTTGCGTTATTCACGTTAGAGTGTTGATTATTCACGCAAGGACGATATTTGCCTGCATACCATGCTGTAGGTTGAGCCTGCAACCTCCCCACGTGGGTTCACCTCATTGGTTATATTTTCATTTATTTTCTATTTTAATCCTACAATAAATCTCCTAGTTTAGCTAACGGAGATACAATAAAAGTAAAATAACCCCTCCAAAACAATACCTCTGTCGACTAAATTTAATTATTTTTAATAAAACTATCACATATGTATTTTTATTGTTGAGGAGAGGGATATGTATTTCTCTCCAGATGCCATATGTGATGGAGGATTTAAATAAAACATAGTTAGTAAATATTTCGTTTAATACAAGTATATATAATCGTAAGTATTTTATCTATTTAAAACTTATGTATTCGTATTATTGTCAGACCAATTCATTTTTCCAGTTCATTTGATGACTTTCGTACTAAACACATATAATACTCATATAACACGTTTAATATTTGTATTTAATGCATTAAATTGCCAATTTACCTTTAATATATTTTTAAAATAATTCATTTATATATTTGAGAACTATTGACATATTATTAAACGTACCATTAATTTTAAGGCAAAATAAAATACTTGTATGTTATTTATACATAACTTACTCGTACCGTATTTTACTAACGATGTTATAAAAAGGGCGAGGCAAGTACATAGCTTAGGAGGATCAATCCTGCTCCTCGTTGTCAGGTTGAGATAAGGTGCCCCACGGTGAGGATTTGAAAGAATAAAGGGACTTAAGGGAGCATGTTTTGCAGTAAAGTTCCTAGCCAAAGATACATTAGTTATTCCTTTAGCTAATTTCGGTTATTATTGTAGGATTAAAATGGAAAATAAATGAAAATATAACCAATGAGGTGAACGCACGTGGGGAGGTTGCAGGCTCAACCTACAGCCTGGTATGCAGGCAAATATCGTCCTTCACGCAACCAATAATGTTAGGTCACGCCACCTGATGTTGATTCACGCATATTGGTAACTGTTCTCGCCGTTGTAAAATAAAATTAAACTTTGAAATATATCAAAATGAATGTCAATTTGTAGATTATGATCAGTGCAACATATTTTTACCGATTAAATGATAACCCAAATTTAATTTCATAAAATATAGCCACTACAAATTATTAGGGGGAAAGTATGAATTTCCATTTACGTGAAAAACATACTCTTACGTAAATTACCAAAATATTACGTGAATAAGCACAAAATGGCGCGAATGAGCATATAATAGCATAAATGAACTGGTTTTAGGTGTTCTGTCACCTAACGTGACAGGAGATGTTTTCCTTTTCTTTATGGCGTATTGTGGGTTTAGCCAAGAGAATAAATGATGGTAGAGCACGGTTTGATAAAGAATGCATCGTGCTCGAGTTTTTATCGCGATTTGCAATATCAATTGATGATTTAAGCAGATGATATGGCAGTTGAGGAGACATCTGACGAAATGGTATAAGATTCATAAGTAATAGACAATGGATAGGTTTCAACCCATTACATAATACAATTCATCTTATATGAAGGAAAATTGGTCGAAACCAAATGGTTTTTTTTTGTCTGAATCTCATGATCGACATTTCCCCCTTCCTCCTTCTCATTCGATTGTATCACAATTAGATCTGGTTTTGATATAATCGACCAATGCATACTCACCTCAACCTTACTCTCGGGCCTCTTCTAACAAGTCGAATGCGAGGTGTACCATACCATTGGAAAACTCGGAGGAGGGGAATCAGCTAGCAGAGAACATAAGGGATCCCCAAGTCAAGTTTGTACCGTAAACAAAAAAAAAATTTAGCAAATCAAAACACTGATATTATAAAGTACGGTAAATCTCCTCGCTAATTCGAATACCAATATGGTTACCACCAAACGGAAAACCATATGCTTCTCCAGTTATTACACATGCTTGGCGTTATGTGAAATGTCAATGTGAATACATGCACCTCTCCACACATGACACATGCAAATTCACCTATATTAACATAGTATTCATTTAAGTCACGTACTTTGAGCTTGGTTGTGAGTAAATATGTATACGAATATGAGTAATTTTAGCAAAGAAAAAAACGAACTTTTATGATCTAAATCGAGACAACCATCGAAAGTACGATTAGAAGATAAGTAGATTGCCGGATCAAATCTATGAAAGTGTTCCCTCGGCAAGAAAGTCAATGGCGAAGTGGAGAGGTGAGGGTGTGAACCAGGACACGACTTTCCCACGTACGTAAAACACAAATGTCCATCTTCTAGCATGGGAAGAGAAGTACACATAATATTCAAACTTGTCATGCATAGAGGGTTTATATTTCTCCGATTACCCATGGTTTATATTTTCTTATATGTCTGTTCGGTCAATCTTCAATTGTAATGTAATGAACAAGGGAAAAATTGTTTATTTTGGTGTATAGTTCGGGCCAGGATGTTATAAATCGAAAAGATTGGCCAAAATATTTATTTTGGTCAAAGTTCAGGCCATACGAAAATATTAATCGATTTTCTGGATGTAAACTTAAGGCACTTCTCGATATAAACTGTAGAAGCAGAAGGAGGAGAAGGGTCGCTGTCGAGGAACAGAGGCGTGGCAGGGGGAAGAGGGAAATGGAGTAAATGAACGTATGGACTTTGTGGCCATTTTGACCTCTTCTCTTCTCTTCTGTCTTCTCTTCACTACTCCCACTCTCTCACTCTGAAGCCTGAAGCTGCTTTCCCCACCACCTTGCCCAGTTGCCCTGCTTGCTTGCATTTAATCCAAAAAGTAGCCTTTTAGCCCATTTCAGCAGCAATTCCTGCCATTCCCATTCATTGCCCTTCCTTCTTCTATAACACAAAAGGTCAGGCCACAAAGGCAAGCTGCAAGAAAGAAGAATCAATCAAGCAAAACTTCTTCAGCCTTTTTTTTTCACCTTTTACCCTTTACCTCAAAGAGGTGAGGTGAAGTTTCATCTGTGCCTCCAACTAGTTTCATCTCGCCTTGAAGTTCGCAATGTGCGCGTAATTCTTGGGTCGTCGGAACTCAAACATAGGACATTTCAATTACAAAAGACTCTGCTACCATGTAAAGAATCAATTGATTCTAATAACTCAAGTTGTTAGGAAATGTTTTGATAATGCAACTTATTCTAGATGATAGCAACGTTAGCTCGCTTAATTGTTGGTTAAAACAAAGAGCAAAGATTCTTCCCGCCATTTTGTTACGCTAATCATTTTCGGCGATAGTTAGTCTTTACTTTGGCGGGATATTTGTAAAATTATTTTAATTTTAAAACCTATTATGCTTCAAGTCTTGTTCTGACTAATAAACTACAGTTTTCTTAATTAAGGATGCGTGAGTAATACACTTCAAAATCAAATGTATACATACTTTTTTTTCTCGTTTTTGAACAGGATCATTAACAATGAGTTCGTGGATTCGTGACAAATAATTAACACTTTACCGATGATAAATATTTACTAAAAAAATTACATCATGATATATTTCTAATTTATTAATCACCAAAGTATTTAAGTTAAGTTCAAAAATACGATACATACTGCGATATATTCACTATTCAAAATTAAAGCCGCACCATATTTGTCAAAAACAGAAATTGGGGGACCATCAAGTAATTAGGAGAAAAGAACATACAGCTGGCAGCTGAAAAAAGATCCCCACAAAATAGCAACAGACTCATTTACTATTCCATCTATAAATACACACCAACTCCACCCTCCTCTTTTCTTCAATTCATCGCCATTCCCAAATCTTCTCAGAGCTCAAACTCAAAGCTCTTTCTCCTCCTAGATTGCCCTTTTTTTCTCCTTCAAAACCCCCCATTTTGCCTCTTCATCCAGAAGGAAACGAACACAGGACGAATTTTTTGCAGTCCCCGTTTGAATCCAATCCCCTCCTCTGTTTTCAACTCAATCCCCTGTTTCCCCCCCTTTCCATTAGCTTCTTCCATCACCAGCCATGGAAGATCTCCAAGGTCACAACAATTACAATCACACATTCCCCACCGATTTAACCGAAATCGGCACCTCCCTCTCCCAGCTCATACTAATGGGCGGCGCCGGTTCCAACACTCTCGATTCTGTCTTCTCCTTCTGCAGTCACAACCCATCACCGCCGGCCAAAACAGAGCCTCTCGGCTCCTCCGTCTACCTCCACCAGCGAGACCTCCTCCGAAAATTCAGCGAGCAGAACAGACCCATCACCGATTCCACCTTCGGCTCAACTAATTACTCGCTCCAGAGCTTGTCTCCATTACAGAGGAGCAGCCCTGCGTTCGCTCCGGCGACGGCGAAGAAGCTGTACAGAGGTGTGAGGCAGAGGCACTGGGGGAAATGGGTCGCCGAGATTCGGCTCCCGCAGAACAGGATGCGAGTCTGGCTTGGCACCTACGAGACCCCTGAAGCCGCCGCCTACGCTTACGATCGCGCCGCTTACAAGCTCAGGGGAGAGTACGCGCGATTGAATTTCCCCAATGTCGACGACCCAATCAAATTGGGGCTGATCGACGCGGAGAAATTGAATTCGCTCAGGACGGCCGTGGATGCCAAGATTCAGGCGATATGTCAGAAATTGAAACGGGAGCGGGCGAAGAAGATCGCCGCGAAGAAACCCAATTCGAATAGCAGCAGCAGTGGACCGAAGGTGGAGGCGAAATCGCTGTCTCCGTCGCCCTCGCCCTCGCCGTCGTCTTCTTCGTCGACTACGTCGACGGTGGGAACGGAGTGGACGGTAAAGGCCCTGGAGGAAGAGATGGCGATGGACGGTGGTGGGTGTTCGCTGGCGAGAATGCCGTCTTACGATCTGGAGTTGATATGGGAGGTTCTTGCTAACTGAAGATCGCCATTTTCAGGGTAATTAGAAAGGAGACTAGGAGAGGAATGTAAAAGGTCGGGGATGGGATTTGGTTTTTGGTTGCAGAGAGAGTAGCGATGGAGAGATGCAGGGGAGAGTTAAAATTTCTCTTCATTGTACTGTGTTGTGTGTTTGTGGGTTAGGCGACTGGGTTTTTCTCACTTTTTACTGGGCAGTAAGTAAGTATATAGGCCTTGTTTTTTACCAGAGGTCATTTGTACCTTCAGTAGGTTTTCAAGCGTTTGTAAGGTATATTTGGTCTAATAAGTGTGATTAGGACTGTTAACATCGGTGGTAATATCACTTTATTTTGATGGTCTTGTCCATCTAATAACTTGAATAGTTGTGATATGCTTAATTGCTTATACAATTTTTTCACGAGTTTTTTCAGACGAAAATATGTATTCATTAAACTCAATACTCAAATTTTACATGAAAACATCGAGTTTTTCATAAGGTACGCATTTCAAACTCCGACGCAATGAGAAGTTAACTGACCACATTTCACTTCATCGCGATTCCACCTCCAAAAAGTTTGGCATGCATCACACACCCTTTTTTCTTTCTTTGCATATGCAAACCATCTATGGTTTAACGTGATCTTCATAGGTCACACTACGCGAGTCTACGGCTGCAACCTTTTTTCTTCCTGTTGTATTGCACAAGTGAAGCCGATATGCATATGAATCGAGTGGAATGATGGAATTTCGAGAAATCGTTGGAAACCTATTTCTAATTTGGTTTCACAAAATTGTTAGGCATGGGCATCCATTTGGAATAGGCTTCCAACGATTTCTAGTGACCTAAACTAGGACTATTCATTTGGCACGGTTTGAAAGTCTCCAAGCCTATAGTATGGGACATGAAATGGGTTTTTTTCTGCGATCAAACCCCTTCTCCTCCATGGCACTCGTTCTTGGGATGATCACCACCAGTTGCCAAAGGCGACTTTCGTGCCAGTTCCCATCCATTAATCGGGCAAATCAGCCATGGATGGCTTATTTCTATAGCTTTTCGGCTTATCCATGGCGGTTGGGTGGTTCCTCCCATCTCTGTTTTTTTCTTTTGCAGATTAGTCGAAAACCAGTAGCTGGAAGATAATACGGATAATGGGATGAGGAGGACTTTCCCCTGGATCTTCGTCCATTAGGTTTGACTCATTTTGTGTTGTTTTCTTGAGGTTTTGGGAACATCTTTTTGGTCCACATGTAACCGACCATCAAGCCACGGAAAAGTCCAAACTTGCGGGTTTCACAATAGTTTGTGACTAAATATTGTTATCTCGTATTAATGACTCACTTGAAACATTCGATTCTAAATAGTGTATTTTGATAATATATCGCATATGTAATTTACAGGTATTGTTGTTTGATCTAAGCACATATAATACATTAAAAATGAGAGTAATACCCTGAACAAACGTATAATGAACTTTATATATAGATGTTATCCATACATTCTTTATTCTTTTCAACCAATGAATTCTTAGCAAAGACACATTCCTAATTTACACATGGCAAGACATTTATTTCTTTTGATGAATAATATAATATTACTGAAATATATCATGGGCCTACACGACATGGGCTTCATACAGGTTTGCTGGCCTGCAAAATGGACTTTTGCAGCTTGTGATGGTGTTATCAAGCTATATGGGCTTTTTGGGATTGAAAGGATGTTATCGTTGATTTCTTTCCTATGTAGATCAGTGGGCTTTCTTGGTTTTTGGTACCAACTTCTTCTGTTATTTCGCGTAATTGCAAGTTTGGTCACTCGAATTGCTATAGAATTTCACGTTTGCCACTCAAATTAATTTATTTCATTTATAGTTATTCGAATTAGTTGAACAGTCTAAGTTCGGTCACTCTGCGTTAACCTCTGTTAGACTCCGTTAATGACGACCGTTAAGTGATGACGTGGCTAACAGAAAATCACAGTCAACATATTTTAACACTAAAAAACGACGATCCGACCCGCCACGTCATATTCACCCGCCCTGTCAGCCATTCCTGGCCAACCCGTGAACCAACCCAATTAATTGACCCAAACCAGATTTAGGATTTCGCAGCTCCGATTTAGGGTTTCGCGTCGGGTTGCAATAGGGGAAAAACCGACAGCGCGCGATAAAGAAGTGTCGCAGGAGGAAGAACAGACGCGGGAGGAAGAGATTGGGAGAAGGGATTCAGGGTGATGGCGGGACGACCTCCATCTCGTTCCTAATTTATCGGGTTAATTGCATGGTTGGTCACTGAGATTACAAAAAACGTTCATGTTTGGTCACTGAAAATATTTAAATCCAATGTTGGTCACTCAAATTAGTTAAATGGTTCAAGTTTGGTCACTCTCCGTCCAACTCCGTTAAATATGTCTGATGTGGCAGTCAACCCTCAAAGTTGACCGTTAACTCGGTGACGTGGCAATTAAAAAATAATAAATAAAATAAATTTTAATCTTCTACCATTGCCAACTCATTTTCACAATAAAGTAAAATAAAAAAAATTTAGAGGCTCCTTTAAGATCACCTCCACTTCGTGGGCGAAGCTCTCGTCGCCGGAGGCTGAACTGTTCCAAACGCTTCCTCTTCCTCCAATTCCTCCTCCCCATCCCCTTCCCCCACCAAATTCCCCTCCAATTGCCCGCCGCCGCCGCTCCACCACCAAATCTCCATTCTTCGTTCGCGAACCGTCCCGAGATCTCTCTCGCAGAGAGAAAACTCTGAAGCATCGCTTACCCTAATCTCCATTCTCATAGTCCTAATTGTTGGAATTCGAATTCGGCAGAGAAGAAAAGGGAAGTCAAAATTAGGTTCAGGGCTCGGAACGATTAGCAGCAGGAACACAACCCTGGTGAATTCAAATTCGAAGAGATCCGAAAAGCGACCAAGAATTTCTCCAGAGACAACATCATCGGGCTGGGAGGGTTCGGCAACGTATACAGAGGGCAATTAATCGGCGGCGGCGGCAAAGTCGCCGTGAAGAGGTTCAAGAACTGTTCAGCCTCCGGCGACGAGAGCTTCGCCCACGAAGTGGAGGTGATCTCAAAGGAGCCTCTAATTTTTTTTTTTTTACTTTATTGTGAAAATGAGTTGGCAATAGTAAAAGATTAAAATTTATTTTATTTATTATTTTTTAATTGCCACGTCACCGAGTTAACGGTCAACTTTGAGGGTTGACTGCCACATCAGACATATTTAACGGAGTTGGACGGAGAGTGACTAAACTTGAACCATTTAACTAATTTGAGTGACCAACATTGGATTTAAATATTTTCAGTGACCAAACATGAACGTTTTTTGTAATCTCAGTGACCAACCATGCAATTAACCCCTAATTTATCCTTTGCAAAGTGTGGTCGACTTTTTGCCCTTGCCACTGAATCATTCATCAACAACAAATAAAAAAAAAATCTCTCACAACTCTTGCCTCAGAAAATGACAGATGATTAGTATATGAACAATCAAAGTTATACCATATGCTTGTCCACACAAAAAATATACTAACGTGAAGTAATTATGAAGGCGATAGTATTTGCCTCCGTCTAATGCAAAAAAAAAAAAAAAAATGAAGGCGATAGTATTGTTTCTATATTTGGAATAATGGCAGGATTTTAATTTTTGCTAGTTTTAGGAGGTGGAGACTGGAGACTTGAGAAGAGGATTGGATCGAAGGCCTGGGAAGTTTGACCAGTAGCGAAAGCGAAACCAATCGACTTCCCAACTGCCGCCACAAGCTTAGCTCCATCTCGCAGTCATAAAATTCTCAGTAATTTTATCGCATTGGATTTCTTCCCCTGGGTAAAAGTACTCTGTCCAACTCACATCTAAAAAAGTTTATGTCGATACGTGAGGTCTTGAGAATCGAGCTTTTCGTACCAAATTGTCCATCTACGTGATTTCTTCAAGTCACTCCAACAAATCTTGGCTTCGAAACTCACCGAAGCATTCTAACTTCCAATATTTTTATCTGACTTTTGGCTCGTCTCACCCTCCAATCAAACACGAACTAGCTTTCCATCTCCATTAATCGAACGTTCCAACATCCTCCCGGTACCATGCTTGTGAGTTGTGAGGAAAGTGTCTCGCAGAAGGCACACGTTCTCAAACTTCCGGAAACTATATTGTCTCTCCGAAATTCCCCAACACATCAGGATCCGAGTAGTGATCCGGTAGACACCTAGATGGAGAAATTTTCAAGTTTCGTGTGTGTACAATCTACACATTCGGGGTCGTTTGGTTTTGGTGATAGTTTGGTTGGGATAGTTATAATGCATGCAATGTCAACAATGCATCGTTTATTTATTTATTTTCTGCGCAAACAATACATGCATTGTTTGTTTGATTTGACACAAACTATCACTCAAAATGAGTGATAGTCAAATCTCAAGTTTTCGTTGAGATTGTTTGATGGAGATTGTTGTGTTTTATTATTCTTCCAAATATGTCCCTACCTTTTTTTGTCTCTTGTTTTTTAATATTAAAAACAAAGGGTTAAAGTGACATCTCACCTAAAAAGTGATATAATTTATTTAAATACTACAATAATTATCAGAAAAACCAAACGATGTAAACTACAATATACCAATTTTTTTTATATACATACATATTATTATGCATGTATTGATGATAATACATCGATTTAACTATCACCAAAACCAAACCATCCAAGTATTTGCTTATTCATCCCAGAGTGATTTATCAAGCTTGTGGAGAACTTTTCATGGAATCTGTGGCTGGTATAAAAAAGAGGCCGAGGCGAGAGAGGCCCAAAGCAAGGAGACCGCAAAAAAGAAAAAGAAAGGTCCATTTGCCAACTTGCCATTTATTTATTCCGACTATTTTATTTATTTAATGATTATTAATCCAAGGGCGAAAAACCGAATGAGAAGCTCTGGACCTTTCGCTATTGGAGGAGCTGCTCGTCCTGCTACTCCCCATGGCGGTGCGTTCTGGACGCTTCCGTTGACACACTCTCTCTCTCTCTCTCATCCTCCGATTCCCCTCAACCTCTCTCTCTCTCCTCACCCTGTTTCCGCCTCCGATCTTCTTCCTCCGTCCGCCGCCGCCGCCGCCGCCTCCATGGTGACTGACGACGACTGCCTCGTCGTTCCCAACGGCAATGCGTTGAGCAGGATGGAGGACGAGTACATCAGAAGACACCATCTCCACCAAGTTCAGGACAATCAGTGTAGCTCCTCCCTCGTTAAACACATCAAAGCTCCTCTCCATCTCGTGAGCAGCCCTTCTCCTTCGTTTACCACCAGTCTTTTTTCTTTACTTCCTTTCGAGTCCTTCGATTTGACTTTCTGCTGTATATTTCCGATTCGAATTGTTACGTTTCGATCCGTTTTTTTTTTCCGGACGAGTTTTATTTTGGAATGAATAACCCGCATCTCGACTGAGTGAGCTCGGGCAGGGAAGAGGAATAATTTGGATCTAGTGGGCTAGGGTTTAGGCGAATTGGAGTTAGGGGGGAAATTGCTTTTCTCTCGTCGATTCAATTTGTTTCTTGATGTTTTGTTCATCTTGTTTCCGATTCATTTTTGGAGTTTGAGATGCTATTGCTGCCAGTGTTGAAATGATTTTTTGGGTGTTGCCTTTGGCAAAAATGTATCAGGTGTGGTCGTTGGTGAGGAGATTTGATCAACCGCAGAAGTATAAGCCATTTGTTAGTAGGTGTATTGTGCAGGGAGATCTCGGGATTGGAAGCCTAAGGGAAGTGAATGTGAAGTCGGGGCTTCCCGCCACGACTAGCACCGAGAGATTGGAGCAACTCGACGATGAGGAGCATATCTTAGCCATGAGAATTGTAGGTGGAGATCACAGACTCAAGGTACTTGTTGCTGGGGGGTTTTCAGAAATTCTCTTGAGCTTTTCTAGTCATTTTGTTTATCCCACATCGCTGCTCTATTTATGATATACCTAGGCATTCATTTTTCCTCGTGCATTGCTTCTTTCATCATTCCTAATCTTCAGTGGGGTGAAGGGATTTTGATGGTTAGATCATAAGTCTTAGTTACTTAAATTGGTATTATTAGGGAGTAGTGCATAGTTCCTAACTTCCAGCAGATGGATCATTCGTTGTAGTTTTAGCCATTGGTATGTTGAATGCTTCTTTCGCGAAGAAATTTGTAAGGGGTCATTAATACCATCTCTAGTACCTTTGAAGATGAATGGATGATGGCAAATTAGACTGTTAGTCGTGATGGGTTTCAGAAACCCACATGTAGAAGGTTACCCCGAGATTAGGTACCTTCATGGATTTCTGAAGTCTATGGAGTTTGCTCATGTTTTGGCTCCAGAAAACAATGGTTTTGATGCAAAACTCTCTTTTCATTGATTTGATCCATTACCTAGATCTATCATCCCAACGACCTCTTAAGTAGTTCGCAGTCAGAAATTTCTTGCCTTACAAGCATCTATAGGTTCATTACGATATTTCTCGACTTATTTTCGGACCAGCAAGTAGCACTTGACTCTAGCAAGGCCTCTTTTACTTATCTGCTTCCTTTGCTGCCTCAAATTATGCAGAACTACTCTTCCACAGTCTCGGTCCATCCGGAGGTCATCGACGGGAGACCAGGCACAATGGTAATCGAGTCATTTGTCGTCGACATTCCAGAAGGCAATACGAAAGACGAGACATGCTACTTCATCGAAGCTCTGATCAAGTGCAACCTGAAGTCGTTGGCTGAGGTTTCGGAACGGCTGGCTGTGCAAGACCAGACAGAACCAATTGACAGGATTTAAGGTGCACAAGCCAAAGCCAAGTCTCTCTGTCTCTCCCTCTTAAGATGCCAAGATCCATGGAGAAAGGAAGGAAGAAGTCAAAAAAAAAAAAAAAAAACTATTCATTTTTTCATCTTTTTCCTATTCACATAAGGGGTTTGTAAGTGTTGGTAAAACCTTCTTCTGGCTCAAGTCGATCTTCCTTCCTGTTCTTGTCATCCTCTTCTTCCTGATTTGTCTATATCAGCTAACCACTACTGTCAACTTCATCATCATCATTATCTATCTACTTTCTACTGTACTGTCTATTATACAGTGTTTTCCAGGAAAAAAGGAAAACCAACCAAACAGTCTCTCTCTCTCTCTCTCTCTCTAGATTTATGTTGTCCCTGATAGCTTTGTTGCTTCAATAACAGATTAAGTGTTCATCTCTGATTGTAAATATTATTTTCTTTTCTGTGATGAAGAACTCTTGTATTTTTTCTGCATATTTGTCTTCTCGTGAGCCGAAGTTCACATGATGATGTATCGTTCTAGAAGGAGAGAGGGCTTTTGGCTTTGAATTATTCATCCAAGTCTCGTGAACTTGATGTGATGATATGAAGCAGAGGTACGCAGCGTGAAGAGATGGATGAGAAAGATTTTTGGGAGATGTGGAACTGGCCGGCAGGCAGCGGAGAAAACGTGATATATATAACATTATTGTTAGTGACTGATCTTTCTTACCTGTTGTTGTGACTTGTGACATGAGGCAGTAATTGGTATTGGCTAGCTACGAAATAAGCCGATGCGGCAAAATCTTTTATCCGCCGAATCTTTTCTACACGAAGATATTATCCACTTCCTGCTTGGATGCTCACGAATTTAGATTTAGAATGCAATTCAATTCAAGATGACTTCCTGTAAAATCACTTATTCTTGTTGTACTTCACAATAACTCATCCATTTCACCACAAAACGCGTCTTGTCAGTTAATGTCGGTTTCTTACTTATGAGTCATGGATCTCTCCCATCCTTTACCGATTAGGGATTTTCCTAATATGTTACATACACCTCCCTTGGGACTCAACGTCCTCGTGGAGGTTTGCCCCACCATCGTTGAAGAGGTACGCTTAGAGGCTCTGAACCCACTTGTAACATCCTGAACCTTTTATAGACGGAAATATGTCTGATTTGGGCCTCGACTCTCACGGATTACGACTTGGCGTGCAATTCAAGGTGATTTCCCATAAGTTCACCTATACTTGTTGTACTCCACACTGAGCACGTTTAACTTTGGAGTTCTCTCTCCAAAAAGCGTCTTGTCAATTAAAGTCGGTTTCTTACTTATGAATTATGGATGTCTCCCATACTTTGTCGATGTGGGATTTGCGTTACGTGTTACATGTTATGTTTTGTACGAAGAAAAAAAACCGTGTAATAATTTCTAAAAGTAAATATTTCGATTTAATGAAGGAAAATTATAACAAAAAAACTTAGCCCGAAGACAAAGCTCACCTTTCATGGCTTCCTTCTAATCACTAATACCACCACCAGATCCCCTCTCTCTCATTTCTTTAATCCATCCCCAAATCTCCGTTGTCGGAGCTTTCTCCTTGTACCGTTCCCCAAAATCAACCACCTCCGATTTTCGATCCTCTTCTGAGCCCCAAAATGCCGCGGTTCCCACTCTACCTCCTCCTCTGCTGCGCCGCGGCGGCGGCATCGCTTTCAACACTCTCGGCCGGCGAAGTGCCGACCTGCTCCGGGATCGTTCCGATGAGCTACCGGAGCGATAACATTTCGATTGCCGACTTCGGCGGCGTCGGGGACGGGAAGACGCTCAACACCAAGGCGTTTAAGGAGGCGATTTACAGGATTCAGCATTTGAAGAGGGGCGGCGGCGGCACTCTGCTCTACATACCGGCGGGGGAGTACTTGACGGAGAGCTTCAACCTCACCAGTCACATGACTCTCTACCTGGCTACAGGCGCTGTTATCAAGGCCACTCAGGTCTGTTTTTCCTGTTTCCCCCTTTTTCGGTAATCGTCTTTTTTGCAGTTAATGAACTAATTAGTTGTGGAATTTTCTTCTGAGCATTTTTCTAAAACTGGAATTAATCATGATTAGCTTGTTTTACAATCTGATTAGTGTTTATGGCAATTAGAATCCATATTATCCACCAAATTATTCAATTAATCCAATCCATTTAATTCAAGTTCAATTGGATTGATCTATGAATCATGACAAATTATTATTGAGTACCTATAATTTTTATATTTAAATTTTGATATCTAAAAATTATTTTTTATATGAAAAATTTTATTGAATTTTTTTATTTTGATACCTAAATTTTTTTACAATATAAAAAGGGACGAGATACGGAGACAATTCTTTTGAGGTTGTCATTTGTTGACGACTCCTCTGCCCCAAAGAAAAATTGAATTTGGGTATGGTAAAAAAATTATTTATTAATTATTAGTAGTTTAAATTATATTGTTGGGAACTAACAAGGAGAATTGAAGAGTGAAAGATGGATATTAATACTTGATCCCAAGGAGGAAAAAACATTCTTTAATAAAACAATAATTTTGAATGCTGTAAGTTGATACCATTTCTCTCGAGTTGCTTTCTCTTTTGGGCTTCCTGTCATACATGTCTGGAGTTTAGCAAAGTTCCATTGTTGGTTGCTGTTGGCTACTTTTCTTGGTTTGCTTCCCCATTTTTGGTAGCGTGTAAAGTCTTAGAAGTGGCAGCATGGTTTGTGCAGCTAATTAACTCTTTGCTTCTGTCTTTAGTTTAAGTTAGCTCATTAGACTTCAATGAGTTGGTTGCCAAGCATTCTCTGTCAAAGTTTTTGACTTCGGTTGGTGGCCTAGGAAACTTGGTAGCATGGTTGTGCTATAGCCCTTTAGACTTCTGGTTGCTTCCCAATTTCTGGTAGCGTGTAAGGTTTTGCACTTGGTAACATGGTTTGTGCAGCTAACTCCATGTTTTCCTCTTTAGTTTAAGCTAGCTCATTAGACTTTTGGCCGTTGGTTGGTGGTCTAGGAAACTACGAATTGGCCGGTGGTTGCTCCTCTGCCATCTTATGGAAGAGGAAGAGAGCTCCCTGGTGGCAGGTACACGAGCTTCATTCATGCTGATGGAGTACACGACGTGATCATAACAGGTAAGAGCTTTCCACATTTTGATTGTTTACCCTATAGATTTTGTTCAAGTACTGTACTGCTTTGAGAACTGACTTGAAAGCAGTGTTGTTTGCACACCATAGGCGAGAATGGCACAATCGACGGGCAAGGAGACGTCTGGTGGAACATGTGGAAGCAGCGGACGCTTCAGTATACCAGACCGGGCCTGGTCGAGTTCATGAATTCACATGACATAATCATTTCCAATGTCACCTTCAAGAACTCTCCCTTTTGGAACATTCACCCTGTTTACTGCAGGTAAATACCTAGCAGTTCATCATGTCCTGCATTTTGGTACATAGCATAAGAATCGTAATTAACTTTCTCTCAACAATTCGAGTTATTGACACCAACTGATTCATGACATGATATCAAAGCTGATTTGATCGTGTGTGTACGAATTGGTTTCGATTGATTCTTTGGGTTTCACTTTCTGTGTTTGGACTTGCAGCAACGTTGTGGTTCGATATGTTACCATCTTGGCTCCCCATAACTCTCCTAACACCGATGGAGTCGATCCAGGTACGTAATTATCCCTGCCTTCAATACTATTCCTTCTTGGAACTGTTAAATCAGAATTCAGTGAAAACTCTTGTGTCTTGCTATTGAAACCACGATGTGTCGTACTACTCAAACTCTAATATGAACTAGTCGAACACACACGACAAGTTAATCAAACTAGCTTTGATATCATATTATAAACCAGTTGATCACAAGAACTCGAATTATTGGGGAAAAGGTTAATATTGAATCCTATACCACTCTCTTACAGATTCAAGCTCCAACGTGTGCATAGAAGACTCCTACATCTCCACCGGCGACGACCTCGTCGCCGTGAAGAGCGGCTGGGACCAGTACGGCATCGCCTTCAACCGACCCAGCACGGACATCACAATCCGCCGCATCACGGGCTCATCCCGTTTCGCCGGAATCGCCGTCGGCAGCGAAACCTCCGGCGGCGTGAAAAACGTCCTCGCCGAGAACATCAACCTCTACAACATGGGCGTGGGGATCCACATCAAAACCAACACGGGCAGGGGAGGCTACATCAGAAACATCACCGTGTCCAACGTCTACATGGAAGACGTCCGGACCGGGATCAGAATCGCCGGCGACGTCGGCGGCCACCCGGACGGCAATTTCAACCCGACCGCTCTCCCCGCCGTCGAAGGGCTGACCCTCGACGGCATTTGGGGTCAGAGGATTGGTCAGCCCGGTTTGATTCGCGGGTTGAAGGATGCTCCGTTTAAGAGAGTTTGTTTGTCGAATGTCAATTTACATGTCGTTCGGAGGAAGAGTGGGAAAAATAATAATACGCTGCTGACGTGGAAATGCTCTGATGTCAGCGGTGGTTCCTTTCTGGTCAGCCCTTCTCCTTGCTCTGAGCTCGCTTCCAGTAATGGCGCCACCGACTCTTGCTCCGATCACTTCCGAAATCTCTGATCGGTTTCAGTTTCCGTTGCTCTGTTGGCGATGATCCAACTCCGATTTCGACTGTAAATTATTGGATAAATTTCTTCATCCCAATTTAAAGTTGACACTTTGAATGTTTTGTCCCGCCGGAGTCCCTGGGTCAGGGAAGCAGTTTGGGGTTTCTGTTTTCTTGTTTGATGATGGTCGATTGTACTGCTCGACTTTGGGACTGGTTTGCGTCCCTGACTCGTTCTTCTCCTTTCTTTTTTCTTTTCGTTTCTTTTTCTTTTTCTGCTTTCTTCTTTAGTTTAAGTGTAGCGTCTCTTATTTGCTCTCTCGCAGGCTTATGAGGAAACAGGGGCTCTCTGGTGGGCCTAGTCTCCTTGGTAGGACTGTTTCGGCCCGCACTCCTCGTGCGTTCTTGTACCTTGAAGTCGCTCGTTTTGTTTTTCTCTATATATCAATCACCCTTATAAAAAAAAATAAGTTTACTGTAAGATCTTATTTGTATTTAGTCTTTTATACAATATGTATCAATTGCTAATTTCTGAAATTTAATTTGGACTAACTGAGACTCATTGTCGTTGTTTATATATTGTTTTAGAATCTAAATCCAAGATACTCACATACGAATTTTGATCTTAATATAATGCGTTAGTGTATAATTTTACAACTTGTAGAACCTCCGTTTTCTAAAATTTATTTATGTTTGGTATTTGTTTAGAAATAAAAACTTCATTACTTATACTAATATATGCATTTTTTGTATTGCCACATTTATTGTCAATATATAAGCATATATATTAAAAAGAGATTAATTATTTTTCAGTGCAATTAATGCTTGTTTTTTACCGGGATTTATAAAATGTTAAGAAAATAAGGGAAATATGAACAATTGTAAAAGAAAATAAGGGATGGAAGGACATATTATAAGTGAGAGAAAAGTTATTCTTACTTATCATCTTCATTTATCCAATGAGGTGATTTATTCTTGCTCCATTGAATTTTCATCGAATTATTTTATTTCGTAAATATATTATTATTTATGCATGTGTTTTATTGCAAAAAAAAAAATGTATGTGTTTGCTAAGAAAGATCATACCTCTTACGATGATTAACTTCTCTAATCTTGCTTCATAGGTCAGTGGTTGATGAACACATGATGTTTAACATACAGTTTAGCAAAGATTCATTTAACTTTCACATGTATCATTTTTTAATGTATCTCTTTTTTCATCTTAAGATATGAAGTCAAGTTCATCAACAATCATACGAAGTCATTTTAAATTTTTTGATTTATAATCCTTGAAAATTTATTACTCCAAGTCTGAAAATTAAATTTCTTAACATATGACGTAAAACTTCAATAGAGTTTGCTAAATTAACACGATCTAGAGCAAAAATGCAAAATATTAGTAATTTGAACTTAGGATACATTGTAAATTATTGCACCTATGATTCATATTTTTTCACTTAATTAGAATGAATAAGGTTTTTGTTTAAGAAATAGATTTTATTGCTTTGTCAAGTTTCTATTCAAACGTTTCTTGTTTTCTCTCTTTAATTTTCATCGTTATTTTGTCGCGATAAAATGTTATTATGTATGTGTGTTTGTATAAATTGTTCATCAAAATGTAACATATTTGTAAATTATTGTAAAAGTGAGTTAAAAATTTACTTAGTGAGCTTTAATAAGATATTTTTTTGGTTGAGAAAAAAGTTATATGTGTGACTCAAAGACATTACTCTATTGTTGCGTACATCTATACAATGCAAAAGTAAAAACTAAAACATAAAGGAAGTATTGGAAAAGAAAAATAAATATTAAAAAAGTTAGAGATAACAAATGTAATATATGTCACTTTTCATACATTATTTATTATTGTGTACATTGATAATACAAAAAAAAAGGATAAAAGGGAAATGAAATATTAAATGAAGAGAGAGATAGCTCCATAAATATATCAATAACTATTTTTCTTTTTGTAAAAATATTGTCCACCTTGGCAATTTGTGAGCTCTCCAAGTGCTTAGGTGGCAAACAATTACTTTTGAATTGCCATAATATTATGTATAGATAGATAGATAGATAGATAGATAAGAATGGTTCGTGTTGGGGGGCATGGCTCGGGTCCAGCCGCGATAACAACCTCGCACACATCGTCCTCGGGAACCCAGGAACTTCGCTAAGGCATGGCGCGTCCAAGAGTAAGTAGTCACGGAACCTCCTCCCGAGGGTGATTTAAAATTACAGAAAAATACAAGTTGTATAAAGATAGATAGATAAGTATGGTTATGTATTGCATCGTATATGATTAATAATTAACTCTTTCTTTATAATTCGAATTATTGGAACTAACTGATTTACGACATATGATGTTAGAGAAAGAATATACTCCGAAAAGTAGCTAATAATCTCTCCTTCTCTTATATCTTTTCTTCCTGCTCTCCTCCCTCTCCCGCTTCTTCTGCACTAGCATGTGCCCGGCCGGTTGGCCGGAATATTTGAGTTTATAATCTTTTAATAAACTATTATTATTGAGGATTTTTAACAATTTTTCAATTAAATGTTTTATTCATAAAATTATCAAAGTCTAACACAGTTTGAGCAGGTTTATCACGATATTCATATCATCGTTGAAATTCTTTTCTATGTGATCAATGTCATGAGATTTTTTATCACTTTTGTGGAAAAGAAAAATACCTAGCTTCTCATAATATGTACCATCTCTTTGAATACAAAAATTACGAATACGTTTTATACTCATATATGAATATAGGTTACATAGCAAAGAATATGAGTACGCAACTCAAATTTGTGCTCTTTTATTTCATTTTGTTTTTCACAAATTTCTTCCCCTTTTTATAATGTGACATTACTATAGTCTACACTAATTCATAAACACAAAAATGTGAACAGAAAAACACCATACCCTTTCATTTTCTGACTTTTACGTGGTTTCTTTTTCTAATTTGTAGAATTATCCATTAATTATTAAATCAACAAAAAGTCAACTTGATATTGTTCTAATCATACCAAAATAGTCTATTACTAAATTATTTACACTCAATGCTAAAATCAAAAGGATGTATTCTATCCAATATCCTGATTTTATAAATGGTAAATTAGATAAACTCTTAATCGATCATTTTTGTGAACTCATACAATTATTGAAAATCAATGATAATTATAAATAATATAGCTTAACCGAGAATAGGAACCACTCCAAAAAGACAGATATCTTAACTAAGAACATAGCTAAAATAAAAATAAAAATGAAACAAAAAAACTAAGATATTAAGAAAACAAAAGTGATTATCAACACCACCCTCATTTATTTTAATTTTTTATTAGTAATATTTATAGATTGTAAATCAGCTATATGATCCATAACCGACTCTGTACTCGATAAGCATTTTGGAGTTTCTATCATATCATCATGTTAATTAAATACTAACATCAAACACAAATTCATTTTCTTCTATTAAAAAACTTAATTTGTAGCTATATTTCTATAACCTTAAAAATAATTTTCTCATAAAAATTAGTTTACAAAAAATTTACATAAAAACTCTTAACACCCAGTTCATTTAGAATACACAATAAAAAACATATTAGTTAAGGGTTACAAATTGATCATGAAATTAAATTATATTCCAAAAGCATAAAATGAAGGAAGGTATAGTACAAAAAAAAGGTTTTTTTTAATTATAGATCATTTTTATATTAGTTTTAGAGTTCAATAATCCAAGAATATTTCAAAAAATAGACGTAACTGTAATGTAAAAAAATAAATATTTTTTTAAAAATGTTAAACATCTTTCATATTATTTTATTCTCCATAATCTCTTCTCTCCCCTAGTTTTATGCGTGCACTACCTAAAATAAGGAGATCATTTTTTTTTAATTTTAAAGTCAGAAATATAATTACTCTTTTACCCTACCTACAATTAAGGAGAAGCAAGGAAATTTCAAATGGTGAAAATCCTGCAAAACTCCACCATCTTATATTCTTTAGACTTCTCGGGAGCCTACTTCCTCCTCTCTCCACTTCTACAAAACCTCGAGAATCTGCTTCTAAAAGAAATGGAAGAAGTGTTCTGTTTTGTATTGAATCACTTGCTTTGATGTACATGGATGTAGTAGAATTTATACAGGGAGTAGAGTTCACTGTCGGTGATGAATGGGGAAAAAAAAAAAAGAAATATTATCCTTCTCATCTAGCTATAACTAGGAATGGATGTTCTGAATTCTGATGGAGTTGTATGGGATGGACATGAATGTTGTCGGTGAGAGTTGGTTTCTCCAGTAGCTGTCTGCAGGCAACATTCATAACTCCAACAGCTTCGCTTCACAACTGTCGGGCAAGTTCTTCAGATAGTAACGAGGAGGAACATACATCAGTGTACGAATGAAGTTCATGCCAGTCGACGACACACATTCATTGTACACCCCCCACTCTGGCTTGCCACCCAGAGAACTTGATGGATGCAAGTGCACATATTGGTTGCCATTGACAGTCAAGTAGTGTCCAGTGCACTCCAGATGAGCAACCTGCGTAAAATACCCTGCCAGTATCACCTTCGTGATGTTGTCATAGTAATGAGGTCCGTTGAACTCGGGGCTGCACATCTCGAGCTTACACCTCGACATGATCCGCGCAAGCTGTCGCCTCACGTTGCGCGCAGATTTGAGCACGTTGTAGTCGATGAAATTCTTGTCGAACCACGATGAATCCTCCTCGTCGTTGTTGTTGTTGTTGTGCTTGAACGCATTGTAGATGTTCAGCAGAGTCAGGTGATCACCGTCGGTGTCAACGAACCTCGCTCTGGCTGCTTCTTCATCAGCAGCTTTTCGAAAGCAGTCGCGTACAGATAGCATAGCACAGATAGAGAGGATCTCGTTCGAGCAATTGAAGCGCGGACTAACGACCAGCATCTTCGCCATCCGAGGATCGAGAGGGAACTCACTCATAATGTTCCCTAGCCTCGTCAGGTTCCCCTTACCATCCAGCGCTCCCAAATCCGACAACAACTCCAGAGCCCTCGACAACGCCTCTTGTGCAGGCGGGTTCATGAAATGAACTCGATCGTAAACGCACAGCTTCTTCAGTATCAGGACAATGTTCCCCAAATTCGACCTCAGTATCTCGGGTTCAGTCCGCGCCCGACGATCCTGATTGTAGCTCCTCTCGGTGTAAAGCCTATAGCATTTCCCCGGCGCTGTCCTGCCAGCTAGAGAGGCTCTCATATCAGCCCTGTCCATGGAAATTGGAGAAACCGAAAGGGACTCAACTCCAACACGCGGGTCATAAGATTTCTGTTCTGCGAAACCGGGATCAATCACATAAACAATCCCATCTATACTGAGAGATGTTTCACCAGTGTTTGCTGAGACCACGATCTTCCTCCCAGCTGGTGGAGCAGGCTCGAATATCTTCTGCAGCGACATGGCAGCTGGAGGCAGAGTTGAGTGCAGAGGCACGATTTCCACAGGACCAAACTCGTCTCCCAATTTACCAATCTCTGCAGAGATTCCGTGGCAAGCCTCTTCCATCTCTTCCTCCTCACCTGTCAAAAACGCTAGTATGTCCCCAGGCCTCTTCTGTTTGTGTATCTCCGCAACAGTTCGAATTGTAGCTTCGAGGTAGTCACATTCAGGCGCCATTGTGTACAATACATCCACAGGGTGGTGCACTTAGAAAGAACTTTCATTACAGCCGCCCCATCAAAATAGTCTTGAAACTCAGCTTCTACTTCTACAGTACTGGCAGTCATGATCACCAGCTTAAGATCTGGACGCCTCGGCAACACTTTTCTGAGATAGCCCAAGAGCACCTCTGTTGCTAGAGTTCTCTCATGAGCTTCATCGACGACTATTACTCTTTACCTGTCCAATAGTGGGTCGGCCATGGCTTCTCTCAAGAGCATGCCGTCCGTTAGATACTTCAAGACCGTCTTGCTGCGACTGACATTGTCTTCGAAACAGATGCTGTACCCAACTTCTTCACCAACGGCGACATTCATCTCTTCGGCAACGCGCTGCGCGGCAGAGATTGCAGCCACTGGACAGGGCTGAGTGCAAGCAACCATCATCCTGTGCCTCTTATCCGAAGTTTTCACAGCTTCAAGAACAAACTGGGGAATCTGGGTAGTTTTGCCGCTTCCAGTCTGGCCCACAAGGATGATAAACTGAAATGCAGAATCAGATCGCCGAAGAAACGATTAGAGACGATCGCAGCAATCCATCTTCAACTCTTCATTATCAGGAACTCCAACCAAATTTCAACCCAGGAGGCTACCTGCAACCTTTCCTTGCCCAGCAAACTTCTTTCAGTTCTCACAACAAAGCTAGATGAGGGAAATTGATCCATGAACTAGAGCTAGACAGCCAAAATAAACAGCAGAAAGCCACCACATCATTCCTTCACGAATGATCCAAAACCACCATATGAATCCTCCCTCATCTTTAGACAAGAGTCAAGAGTTCTGCATTATTATGATTAGCATTCCCAAATTCCACCTACCTTAGATCCTCTCAACCAAGGGAGCACAAAGGAGTCTGAATGGAACAGAACTACCTCTAGTATTGTACACCTTATAGACAGACTAAATGGATTAGGAGTTTCAATCCGTTTGTGGATTCTCATTTCCATCTCCAGATTCATGGATCTCGAAACACTCGATCCTCTGGCTCTCCTCGAGAACCGACCAATTGGGTGACTGAACAGCTCTCAGCCACTTGAAATCATCCACATTCCCCCAGTTGCCACTCTCATCTCCCAACCCTGCTTCCTGCAACTCCTCCTCCATCCCTTCATACCTCAAACAGTAAGGCGCGAATCTCACCCTCAAACAATCTTCGATTATCGGCCTGCTCCTAACCCTAAGGTAAAAATCACACCCACTGGCATTGTGTATCCTGATCTGATGGGAGGCCAATACAAACACACAGTTCTCTACCTGCTCGATCAGAACCGAACCGATAACCGGACCGGTGTAAACCCTACAGTTCCTCAATCTATTGATGAACAACGCATTGATGCAGCCAATCAATCTCACTTCACAGGAATCCAAATCAGAAGCAGTGAACTCACCGATTCCCGAGCCTCTGAAATTCTTCGTCAAAGTTGCATCCTCGGCGTTTCGGAATCCCGGCGACTCTCGAATCACGAGGACCGGCGGTTGCTGCTTTGGGGGATCGGGATCTTTCGGTCGAACCGCTGCTGAGGATTTGGCGGCCGCGGTGGCGGATTTGTTCCTGAACGAGAACTTCTTCTTCGGCAGAAGCTCGGCGCTCTGATTTTCCAACCGCTGCTTCATTTCCGAGACCGATTTGAGCGCGGATCGGAGCTCGTAGGAAGGGAGGGAGTAGGAGCTCTCGGCGACGAGTTGCTCTAGCGCGGCGATGGAGGAGGAGATTCCGTCGAGGTGAGATCTGATAGCGGATGAATCGACGGAGGACGATTTATCGATGAGGGAATCGATAGAGCACTTGGATTCTGAGAATTTGGAGGCGAAGGAGGCGACGGCGGAGTCGAGGTTATCGTCGTCGGCGGATCTGGTGCTGTTGCCGGCGGTGGCGGTTCGCGATTGATGGCGGTTTGAGAGTCGATCGATCATCGCCTGGCGCTTCTTCTGTAAAGATGCCTCCATGGGTTTGCTACTGCCATACTCGGCCAGGACTCCGTCCGCCGCAGAGGATTGCATTTCTTTTGCTTCTTCTTCCATGGCAGCTCGAGAGGCGAACAAGGGGGGAAATGTGGGAGGTTTGTTCGACTGTACTATTCAACTGCGCGGGAGCAGAAAGCCTGAAACGCAAAGAGCGGCCTACTGTTTGGGCTATGCTGAAATGGGCTGGAATGGGCCGAAATGGGCTTTCACGTTGTGATAAAGGGTGAATGGGCTATATTTGTAATTCTCAGCCAGAAGGAGAAGGGGCTTGGAGTTGGAATGTGAGCGACAACGAGGCCGCGATTCAAAAAAATATTGGAATAACGGTTTGATTGGTGGGATCGGACCAAACTGATATTTGGAACGAATCAAATAAAAGTTAATTCTCTTTCTGTCGTAAGACAGGGTTAGTTTGTGGTGGTGAAGGGTGAAGGGCTCAAAGCACATGTAGCCGGGAGCGAGTCAGAAAACCTAGTATTTGCATTTTCCTTTTTGTTCATCAATCGGGAATCACAAACTTTTTGGTTTTCATGCCGGATGGCTCTTAAGTCTTAATAGTTAATATTCTTTATGTTATGAAAGAGTACAAAAAAAAAACATAATTTTGTGCTTTTTTGCTATTTTTTATTTGAAAAAAAAAGAAACTTTGGGATTGTTAAAACATTTTGAATTGAATATAATAAGATTCGATTCTCGTCCCATGAATTATATAGATAATTCGAATAAATTGTTCGAACTGATATTTGGATCAGACCATACCAAAATAAACCAGACAAAATGCATTGTTGCTCTAATCACTAATCCTAAATCATCGTTTAATATTGAACCATGTTCCTCATGTGTTTGGTACGGTCGGATTGCACACACTAAGACATTGAAGAATGGAGGAGCAATTTAGAATTCATATAATTCAAAATAAAAATGAAAAATATTTCAATATACAAATACAATAATTAATTACAATAAAATAGCTGAATCAAGATTTCAGCGGGGAAAAGACCAAATAGTAGTAATTGCATTTACAACTACCCATAGATACACATTTTTCATCACTGATTAATTATTCTCTACCGTGTAGGCGAAATTACCATTTTTTATATATACAACCTTCAAAATTGCATCAGAAACTTGCGAATCTTGTTCAGGATAAGGTTCTCCTGCAGATGCTCTCCGTCGCCGCCGCCGCGGCGGTGGAGGTGGGGCTTCTTGATCTCGTCTCCGGTGACGATAACTTCATCGCTGAGATCGATGACTGCCGGCTGCCTCTCGTACTTGTAGCCCGGCTGCCCCCATCTCAGCGGTAGGTCGGCCGAATCGCCGACAGGACGGCCGCCGGTCAAATCCTGGCCGCCGGCGGCGGTTGCCAGGGCGTCTTCGTTGCCGTATCGGATCCTGCCGTACCGCGGGGTCCACGGCCTCAGCCCTCTGATGGTGTGGCCGTGGCGGCACCCGCGGCGGAGGCGAGGGCGGCGGCTGACCGGAGGGATGGCGAAGTGGCGGTTGATCGGGCGGAATCCGACCACCGTCACGGGAACCTCCTCCGCCGTCTTCTTCTCATCCTCCTCCTTCGCCGCCGGCGAATTTTCCGATGATTCGCCGGCGAGGAGCTGGTCGTCGCTCGGGAGGAGGAGGATGGGATCGTCGTCGGGGAACCGGTCGCCGTTCGTCGTGGTGGGTTCGGTCAAGGGGAGATCGTGGTGGAAATTACGAGCGTCGGCGACGGCGGAGAGGAGGACGAGGGCGGCGGAGATGCATAGTACGGCGGTGGTGGAGGGAATTGGGTGTGCCATTGTTGTGGGTATTGATGATTAGCTCGGTGGTCGGGGTTGAATTTTATATATATGATTTGGTCGGAGGGAGTGGCGATTTGATCGGGATTACGACTTGCTATTTTCCGTCGAGGGGCCGTAAAATTGGTCGGTTTTCGCGCCTTTGACTCCCGTGAGAAAATGGACGATTGTTTGGTCATGGAATTTTGTGCTAAAAAAACTATTTTTTTGCCGGGGATCCCAGGCCAGCTTTATCTTTCATTAGGTCTGATGAGTTGGAATGCGTTAGGGTGGAAACTGAATTTCTAGTAGTCACCGTGGCTACATCAGTATTCACCATTTATTTTCTTCTCTTTCCTCTTTTTTAAATCTTACGGTTAAGATTGTCTCAGGATAATTTTGGAAAAAAAAAAAGGACCACACTTGATTATTCTATATATTCTACCCTAACCCTACTTCTACAGCCAAACCCGCCGTAGCCGCAAGCTCTCACCCTCCCCGACGATGGCTTAGGGTTTGCTTGTCCGACGACTCCTTCCGCGCCTCTTTCTCCGGCCACGGGCGAGTCGCCTTCCCCTTCTCTCTCTCCCTTTCGGCTTTCTGCGATTTTCTTCGAACTCTAGAGAGCGCTCTCTGTTCCTTCCTCTGGGCTTCCTTTGCAAAATTCCTCGAGCTCCCTAAGGCGATCCTTCCCGGTTTCGATCTCGAATCGCCCGAACTTTCGCTTGCTTGGTACGACAATCGATCACTTGCCATGGCCGACGGAAAATTCAATCTGCCTGATGATCTCATCGGCTCCTCCAACTTCTCCGAAGAGGACCACTCCCTGATCAAAGGTATGTGAAGGTCAATTCTTTTGATGTGGGGTGTTTCAGTTCCCATTTCCTGGTGTTACGAATTTGCCTACTCTTTCTTTTTTGTTTATGATGGCATCGGATGGAGGACCATCTTCGTCATTTACCACAATTCTGATCTCCATGCTTCTCCCGTTCTTCAACAACATCATGGATCTTTTGGGCTCGGTGGGGTTCTGGCCGATGACCGTTTACTTCCCGGTGGAGATGTACATTGGTATGCCTTTTTTTAAATGGTAGTCATTTTTTTCCGTAGTGATTTTTTTATAAAATGGTAGTCATTTCCCCCCGCAGTGGTAGTGTTATTGTCGTATTGGTATTGTTTTTGTCGCATTGGTATTATTTTTGTCACATTGGTATTGATTTCGTCGCATTGGTATTGATTTTGTCGCATTGGTAGTGATTAAATCTGCAATGGTATTGATGGTTTGTGAAATGGTAGTGTTTTTATTTCTTGAATGGTATTGATGTTTTGTACAATGGTAGTATTTTTTTAATGGATTGGTATTGATTTATTGTTTTGTTGTTGCAACGGTATTAGTTTGGATGAACGAAATCAAGGAAAGATTGTGAAAAAGCAGTGTTATGAAAACCGGGCCGGACCGGCCGGTCAGACCGGTAAAAACCGGAGCCGGACACAAGTCCGGCCGCGGAAGCACAAAAAACGGTTGGGCTGAGCAATTTAAGTGGCGCCTCTTTTTTGTCATCTTTTAAATAAATAATAAATGGAAGGAAACCAGGGAAGGGGAATTTCACTGGCGCCTACTCCCTACAGCCCACTATTCTTGCCCTTTTGATTTTTTTATCTTATTCTATTACTTTTTTCCTTTCTTTTTGGAATCAAGTACCGGTTTATGAACGGTTTTTAATACCGATTAATCAACGGTTATCCGATAAACCTTAAACCTCTCATTAATCCGGATCGATGTCCGGTTCGGTTTTGACAACACTGAGAAAAAGAAGGAAGAGAGATCTGGCTGAAAAATTGTGGAAGTGAGAGAAAGAGAGAGAGAGAAAAATTGTATTTAATATATTTATGTGTAATTTCCTAAAATGTAATTTATTAAAAAAGATCATTAATAAATTTTTTATTATACCCAATTTACCCTTAGTAACCACGGTGATTACTATTTTCCCCTTGGGTTTAGTGTAGCTTCGATTGTTTGAGGAGTTTGGGCTTATATGGGATAAAATGGGCCTCAAATAAGGTTTGATTTATGGAGGGGCCTGGATCGTTTGGTTCAGTTCTGTAGCCTACATAACAAGTGCGCTAAAAACCCGGTAATCGGTTTTTTGTTTCAATAATTCGAATTATCAAAAAATCAACCATTGATTTTAACACGGTCATCCAGCATTTACCTTGATTTGATCAAGATAAATGATAACATATTGATATTTTATCTTTGTTTATGCCGACGGGCTTCAAAACAAGGATCGAAAGACCGTATTGTATCGGAGGTTCAGATAAAAAAAATTCCATATTATTAGGTGATATTTAACGTTATCAAACGGTTGAATGATGATTAAAGCACAATTTCAACATAAATACTGTTGATGTGACTTGAATCGGACTATCAGCCGCTACGACTGGTAATCGGGGGTCTGGGCCTGGTCTGTAACCGTTTCCTTTGTCAGATTGGATTAGGTTTAGACCCACATGGAGAAGTACTATAAATACTTCTCATTCTCCTCTGTAATCTGTAATCTCCTTGATATAGTGAAATCGGCTCTCTCTCGCCCGTGGACGTAGCTAACACACATCGTGTTAGTGAACCACGTAAATCGTGTGTCGTGTTTTCGATTCTCGCTTTCGTATTCTTGCTTTGTCGATTCCGGCGATTTTTCGATCCGTAGCAGCGCGTTTATAACAAATACCATACCGTTGATTTTTCCGGTATAATCTCAGATACGATTTGACAATACTTGCTTAAAAGTTAAAACCATGCGGAGCTCGCTACAAAGGGAGAGGTATGGGTGTACTGACCAATCGGCTCGTAGTAATTTGCAGTGTGGAACGAAGGAGCTAGGCGGCGTTGATGAAGTCGGTTATCACGTCAAATTTGGAGAATCGGACCAACACATGATGCTAGACTAGGCTAGTAGCAGCTCAACCACACACTGGCATCACGAGTGAAAGTTTGACAAATTAAGAAAGTAATTACGTAGCGTTTGACTTTGTTAATCCTTACGGATTAGGTGAGGTGAGGGCATGAAGAGTCAACGCGGAAGTCACTTTACTATGCTATGCATGTGTCGGCCGCTCATGTGCAATGTATACATATGCTGTATATGTATGTATTGGGAAATGCTAATTAATAGCGTAATTAATCAATTAATAATCAACGTAATCGCAAACTATTGTAGTGGAACGCATGCCGCATCTTAATCTCTTTCTGTGGAATCCTCAATCTCCAATCGCACGTGGAGTACGTAGTAGATATGTAGCCTGGCCGTCGTGCATGTTCCATGGGTCAGCATTTCTGACCATTCAAACTTGGTCCAACCGACCGTTTTCCATTCACCTAGTTAGTTATTTTATCCTGCATTTCGTCGAACAGTATGTCTGCACTATTTTTTTTTTAAACCTTTTGTATATGCATATATTCAATTTGTGTGTGTGTGTGAGAAACAGGCCAATGTGCTCCGATCCGATCAAGGGGTGCGGCTTGTGGAGAAGAATCAAGAGCTTGCTTAACTAGCGGCGAGTCGCCGGCCGGCGTCTGGAGGGGCTCTTAATTATTAGTTAATTAATTGCTTACTAGTATTAGTTCTACGTACTAATTGGTCACCAGTCGCCACCACCTACCAACCAACCAATATTATTATTTCATAATTAATGCTATCCATTATCCCGAGCTTGTACATTGTTGGGGTGCATTAAATTAAACTCCATTATAAAGAGAAAATTATGGTAATCAGTACTTCAAGCTAGCTACCCTTGCTAGCTATACCGGATCAAAATACTGGTGTTGTTCAGCGAATGACCGACACAATGTGTATGAACTATTCGAAAATTTCAACCAACTTTTTGTTCTGTAATATGAGTTATGACATTCTCTTTGTTTTTTTTCTTCTTCGAAACGGGAAGAAATAATGTGAGAAATTCAATTTTTTGTAATTATGATACAAACAATCGTCTTCTCATAGTCGCTTTATGATAACTAGTCACAGGCCCGGCCGATTGGCCGGATTCATTTGTCAATCGCGTGAATAGAAATAGCAAATTTGATGGGAGCTTTGTATATATTAGGTAGTATATTTAGAAATAAAGGTATATGATTATATTTAATATTTTAATTTCTTTGTAGCGTTAAATAACTCAAATTATTTTCTTACAACTCATATTAATATTTAAATTATATATGACATTTTGAATAAAATAATATTTAAAATATTTAAATAGCACATTTCCCGTCAAATATAAAAAAAATTTACTTGATTCTACCAATTATCATCAACATTAACTTTTAAAATCATCGCAAAAATAATTATTTTATTTTGTATTAATTAAATCCCGTAAAATGATTATACCCCTTCCAAATGAATTCAATGGATAATTTAATAACATATCATTTACTTGTAAGTTTAAAAATGATTATACTGTTCATCACTGTATAATACTGTGTTTAAAGTGATTAACGTGTTGTCATATATGTGTTTTAAAATTTGGTTTATAATTGTAATGAAAATTTATCACTTCCAAATGTACCGAGGAAAGGTGGGCGAAGAGCTGGTAGTATCTATTGATGGTTGGCAGGCTCACTCGTTGCCAATGGTTTCGATTCAACGCAATTCAGCAGCTCAGCATGGCTAGGATCATCCATCGAAACTGCTCACTATTTCATCGGCGAAGAAAAACCGGTACCGTAGCTGCCGGAGGCGAAGATGTTCGGCTCGTTCACTGTTGTCCAGTGACCAACTCGGTCACCAAACTCCCTGAAGCACACCTCCGCATAATCTCTGAAATCTCCACTGCAACAAAAATTTCACTTTCACACTAAAAATCCATATCTAGCTCTCTGCATCAGCTGAAATCAGTTAGCTAGGATGTACGTAGTTCATACACCATTCTTCGACTAAGCCATCCTCTGTACTTATCCTTGAGAACCTGAGGATGATCGTAGTTGTACAATGACACCTGTGGTTGGATTCCTGAAATTAACCAACCCTGTTTATGAATGCTGCTAAGACATAAAAATCATGATTAGCTCCCTCGTCTTACTTCCTTCTATGCGTCTAGACAAACGGAATTAGCTGGAGTCCCAGACAATCGTTACACGCTTAGCATATTGCTTCGTTAGATTTTGGCTATGCAGTTTTTAGCAGAGCTATGAAATTCGGTATTCAATTCAATGATGTGATGCTCAATACATTGATTGATGGGTACTTTAACCACACAATCATAGTATTTTCCGAATATACTAACCGACTCATTGAGTAAAATTGTTTTCCGAAAAAATATACTAACCGACTCATTGAGTAATATTGTTTTCCGAAAAAATATACTATCCGACTCATTGAGTAAAATTGTTTTCCGAAAAAAGAATATAGAAACCCTATGCCAGGGGACCGACTCCTAATTTGCTTTCGCTAATCATTCTATTTGTTCCTCATTGTCAGAGACTATCACTCCATGTTTTCTTTTTAGCTTGTTTGCATTTCCTTTGTCATTAGCAACATCATCATCTCCACCGGTATTGAAGTCTTCTTCTCCATTAGTCCTCTGTTTTGGTTCAATATCAGGAGACTCCACATTCTTCTCAAGAGCATCATCATTTGTTACACCGATTCTAGCCACCGCATCATTGCCAATGCCATTTTCGATCTCCTGCATAATTAGGATAATGATATTAGTTTTTTGTCATTAAAAAACAAAACATATTTGTTGTTTTATTGAATCACAAAACCATAATATTTGGTAAGTGAAGATGTATATAGGATGCTTATATATTGAAGAATGCAGCAACATGCAAGTGAATAGGAAATAAAGGAATGTTGCACTATTTTAGGCTATAAAATTAAACGCACTGCAAAAGCAATGTATGAGCACTTGAGATGGAATTGTAATTAAATTATCATTAGAGGGTTCATTTTGAATAGAATTTCCAAATCGTGTTGGTTATAATGCATTATTGTAAAAAAGGTGAATATAATTTCACGCTAGTTGGACTTACCTCAATTGATTCGGGGTGATTGTTTGAGTTATTGTTATCATCCTCCAGCCCAATCTTCCAAATTGTGTACTCACTTGTTGGGTTTGCGATGTTATAATCAGTGAGCTTGATGTCGAATTTCAGAGTCATTCCCTCAATTTGTAGTAGATGAGCAGGTGGTGGTCCTCTCATTCGATCGTTGTCTTGGAATAGTTTCTCAGCAGATATACCAAAAAATCGAGCACTCTCTCGATCCAGAACAACAAAGTCTGCTTGAGTTGTTTTGTCCGCGGCTCGAAGTTGTATCCTGAATCTATATAAGAATTGTAATAACATAAAGAAGCACAATTTTAGTGTCGGAAGTGTGTAAATATAGAAAATCATAAATGAAATTTTTTTGTTATATAATAATAATCTTATCATATGTAGCTACGGATATTGCATATAATACCAAAGGAAGGAATGCAGTGCAGGGATCAAAATGGGGCAGTAAGTGGGTTTTTGAAGAATTAAAAATAAAAAATGGTTATAACTCCAAATCCAAAAAGCTAAACACAAAAATAATTAAACCAAAAGCAGTACCACGTGAAATTAAAGAAACCAAAGCAAGCAGTAATTGAACAGGAAAGAGCAAGCCAATAATGATAAATTGTGAAAGGGTGAGATTTGGTACAACACGAATTGCAGTCCAATTTGGAATAAATCGGCGGTGCAGTAGCTCTTCATATTATTATCGAAACGTTTTGCATTTTGTATTGAGTAGGGTAAAGAAATATATGTAGAAAATACAGAACACAATTTGATATTAATAATTATCGTATTACCTTGATGTTGTGGTCTTTAACGTCGTCATACAGGTCCCACAGAAGTACTCATCTGATTCTTCTTCAAGTTTTTGTGGACAGGTTCCACATCCAACATAGCACCACCCATTCTTAACCTTGATAACTTTACATTTGACGGAATACATATTTCCCTGCATATTATATGAATTGTTAGCATTTGATCACTATTAGTTTGTTTAATTGAAAACGATACGTAGGTCCCACAGAAGTACTCATCTGATTCTTCTTCAAGTTTTTGTGGACAGGTTCCACATCCAGCATAGCACCACCCATTCTTAACCTTGATAACTTAGCATTTGACGGAATACATATTTTCCTGCATATTATATGAATTGTTAGCATTTGATCACTATTAGTTTGTTTAATTGAAAACGATACGTACCTCCTCTTCATCTTTCATCTTCAATTGATATAAATCATGAGAACCCAATAACCCTCGGTTTAATGTGACTGCAAGTTCACAAAATGGACAACACACACAATCAGATAATCACACTTCTACAGCAAACACAATCAGAAAACAGAATAATACAGCAAACAGAAAGCTTTTTATCTGATCTGATGTAGGAAGGGTTCACATAAACAACCATAAGCACTCTCTTTTGTACCCCTTTCACATAAACAAACTTTGCCTTAATTATGTGATCGAACCAAAGAAAACAAACATGAACTTGCATAACTCACCAAAGAAAAAGGATTAGAGTTGTACCTTACTGTAAATCACTTATTGTCTTTGAGTGGTGGAAGAAAGACTGGTCTGCTGCTATTGTCTTCGAGTGATGATGTTGTTATCAATTTGAAACTACAAAAGCACTCTAACCAAAACGCCCCAAATGGATCAATCAAATATCAATTCTGCTGAGGAAGGCGAAGAGAACGCTCGAGGGTCTCGGTGAGGTGCGATTTCCAACACAAATCTGAGTCTCGCGGTTGATGAGGAAGGCGAAGAGAGCGCTCGAGGGTCTCCGCGGTGAGGTTCGATTTCTAACAGGGCTCTGAGTTGGCGGCTGGAGACGCGAGCGGTGAGTTGGCTGTGATTCACCTATCACCCAACAGCTAAAGAATCTGCTTCGGCTGTCACCCAGCAGCTAAAGAATCTGCTTCGGCAGCAGCGGCGGAGGGTTAGACTTGAGCTAGGGCTGGTGCAATCGCCGCGAACTTGAGCAGCCACCAACTAAATGACCAAGGGGCGAAGGAAGGGGAAACAAAATCTCCACATCCACAACACGGGCTCCGAGTTGATGCTCGATTTCCAGTAGCTACAGAGGCTGGAGGCTCCGAGTTGATGCTCGATTTCCGGTATCTACAGAGACTGGAGACGCAAGCTGAACTGGAGGCTGGAGGTTAGACTTCCGGCCGGCAGCGAGACAGGTTGGGGGAGGCGATGGGCGCGGTGAGTTGGGCCGGCAGCGAAAGAGTTGGGGGATGGCTAGAGATGCTGGAGATAGGAGCGGTGCTGGTGAGAAAGGAGCGGTGAGGTTCGATTTCGGTGAGGATCGATTTCGGTGAGCTGGGCGATGAGGATCGAGGATCGATTTCGGTGATGCTCGAGACAGGACGCGAGCTGTAATGGGCTAGGGAATCAATGGGCTTCTAGGAGGGAACTGGCGGCCCAGTCAGTGCGGTGGAAAAGGAATTTACTATGTGCTCCCTCCGTGAATTGCGCACAGCGCAGGAAAAAGCAATCTAAGGGGGTTCTGCCCCAGAAAGTCTATATAGTTATGTTGGGATTATGTTGATCCTCCCTCTCTCTATTTCTCCCTGATTTCTGGTTGATTGGCTACAATTTTCCAAAGTATGGTTGGGCTTCAGCAACAGGCAGGCCAATTTCGGCCCAAGTGAATCAGCATACTTTCCAGTTTCCACACAACCCATCAACTTATTTAGCTGCGCCACAAGAACCATAAAAGCCTATTAGTTTAAGCATGTGATAAAAAGAATAAGAAAGACGCAAAACCACTTCTCGAAACAGAGCAGACATAACCAGTGAGTCCAATAACCAGTGATTACCCACAACTTTTACCCTCTCGGCACAAAAAAAAAAAAACAAAAAAGAAGGCATTTTTCGTGCCACTAAATGAAGCAAATTCTAATTCTAAGCAAAAAATGTCGACCATCGCCCCCTGTAGATAGATGTTTACTGATGTTACTCTTACCATGTTGCACATAATCATTACTATGTTTTTAAAGTGACATACATTGTACTCTTTCCATATACATTGAATAAGGCCGATTAAATGAGCCGTTTCGTTTTCCTTTCCCAAAATCTCCAACATATTACCCATCTATAATCGCCCAATTTCTAATAGTCAGATCTCCCGTAGGGGGTCTTCCCTTTCGATTCAGCTGATAGTTTTAATCTGTACTTTCATTAGATAAAAAGGTAAATAGATTGAGTAGTCAATACATTTATCCACTCGCAAATGATCCTTGGATGGATCGTAGCTGATAAACAACATTAGGCAGCGGAAATTATAAGAAAACCATAAGCAAGCTATATACGAGGAATCCCTTGGAGATTTCAAGTCCAGTTGAGCACCCTATAGAATAGAGAGCAAAAATAATTAAAGACGATGAAACTAAAGTGGATGGGGGAAGTTTAATGGGAAAAGCACCACCATGAAAATGACACATTGAGATTTGTGATTGCACTCAATTATTTGAGGGTTGTCACTTGTTTGATTGGGCAATATTTTATTTGAAATGCTCCATTATTTTTATAAAATCACACTCCCAAATGGATTGATGTAAAGGATATACCAAACAACATTATACTTGGGTGTAAATTTTTTGGACCATTGTTAGGGATGGTTCTAAGGCGGGGTTCGCGCAAGTTTGTACTAAATTTTTTCGTATTTATGTAGTGCATTCTCTGAGTTTTAACTTTGCTTATTTTCACACTTCTTTTATGTGCAATCTTACTTTCATGTGGATACCCTAAAATAATATGTGCGGATTACATTTTAAAGTGACCAATGTTCGAGAAACGTAAATGATCACTTTGGTTGAGTTTGAAGTTCTTCGATGATTTTGTAAAATAGCCTAGTTTTAATGACCATTTTTTGGATGATCCGTATGAGGGGATGGACAATCCATATTTGGTTGAATTGCTGCCTTTTTAAGATGCGTGCATTGCTATACTGATAGAGGATTGACTTCGATCACTTTCTTTTTTTTAAGATGCGTGCATTGCTATACTGATAGAGGATTGACTTCGATCACTTTCTTTGGGGATGTCCAAGTGATTATGGATAAGGTCCACGATGGTGAGTTGATAGATGCACGAGGGGGAGACATCTTCGAGGAGAGTGTAGGTTTGCGAGTCATGTTTAGTCACTTTGAAGTGGTGTTTGTGGGCCGGGATAGGAGTAGGATTGTGATTTTGTGGCAAGAAAAGCTCTTTCTTTAAATTCACATTGTTTGGTGGGTTTGATTTGTTTTCGTGGTTGTGATAAGTTTATTGATTTTCAGATTTTGTATCTTTTATTTCTCAGTAATGCGAGTGCTCTAGTGGAAAAAATAGTGCCTCCCCAACATTTTTTTACAATGCCTATATTTTTTGTCATAATTATTTCATGTAAACTCTTACAATATGCTAAACGTGCATGGTTTAAGGATAAAGAATTAAACGTGCATTTTCTTGAATAAATCAACTTGTTATTTATATAGAACTCATAAACAATGACATTTATATAAAATGCAATTGGTTCATCAGATGATATGTTTGTGTAATTTTGTCGCAGGGCTGGCTGTCACGTTTGTATACGAGATGATCACTTTTACAATGCACTAAATAAATTAATATACATCACTTTTCCAATTCTTACAATATGTTTTATCACGACATCTTGGATTTTAATCCCTACAATTTAATTAATATTTTTTGCACAAATTCATACACTTTCTTGTTTATCATATCAAATGATGAAAATAATGAGAAAAATGCATTACAGTCACCAAAATTAAAGGAGTAATTAAGCCAAACTAACAGACTGACATATACACCTATACGTATATGCTACACTTTGCAAACCATTTAACTGCAGTCAAAGCAGTCAGAAGAAATGGTGGTGTCTGGTGTATTATATTTATACCGAACAAAAGTGCAATATATTTATCGATTATTATCTCACTAAATAAAGAATTTTATGTTGGTAATGATCCAGGCAACCATTTCCACAATGGAATAGTCGATATATACAAAGGTCGGCAAACAATGATTCTTTCTTGAGCACATCAAACTATAGCTAGCGTGTTGCCCTCGTATACTTCGACGGATCTTCACTTCACTCCATAGTCTTCTCTTCCTTACCTGAAATAACTATAACAAGGAAAAAAAGGGAAAGAAAGACAAACCTCTTACCAAAACGACAAAGTCATCCATGGTCATCTACGTTTCTTCCAAGAGCAAGAAGTTAATTAATCATGCATATGTTTTCACATAAATGGATGCTGATGAACACGAAGGACTCCTTCGGACCTAGAACGTAACATATGTTTTCTGTTTGATCGGACACATCCAGCAGCCAATAGCTACGAATAAATAATGATGTCGTCGTAGCTAGACTCATCATCAAACGTTCCACAAATGACACAATTGTTCGGGATATATGATGAGCTCAACAATATTGTGGTTTTTATGTTATCATAGGGAGGTTCAAGCAAATGCTGAGAGTATCAAGGAAGAAAGACATACAAGTTCATGTATCAACGACGACATACATACCTCGAGCAGGATGATGGATGCATTAATATCGTTCGTAGAAAACCATCTGACTAGCTGTATCAAGACAGAGCTTTCTTACTCTCCAGCATCGAGCCTCCGATCGAACTCACCACCACCGCAGATCGAGTTATCTCTCAACGGGTGCGTGAGCCCGCGCGGAAGCCCTTGAAGGAGAGTGAGCAACCAAACTGCCTTGAAACCACGAATCCAGAGAAACACATAACAAGCTAGCTAGGGGGAAACAAATTGATTTGAGAGCAACAAGAACAAAGGAGAGAAAAATTGGTGTGTGGGTTGATTGTAGTGAGTGACTGGCCTATGCCATCTTCTTGCTTTTCCTTCAAAGTGGGAGAGAGGAGCTTAGCATTTGTCTTGGAGAAGATTGGCTAGCAAACTCCCCTCATTTTTATAGCAAGGAATTTGTCCTCTCTGTGTCTTTTGCCCTAGGAAGTACGGAGATAAAATTGGAATGCTGCCTGTCGGACAAACTTTTGGTGCCAATCCGGAATTTGGAGGCATCCATCGGTCCACCCCTACTCCATATCTTAACATGACTTGGCATCTAGTTGCCTAAAGGCTAAAACCAGATCCCAATTCTTTCCAACCTGTGGCTTAAAACAGGGTTGCCAGTTCATTTTCAAGTGCCAGATATCAATCTTGGGATGCCCATCAACCCGGTTGTGGTGTTCACATGGTGTCTGTAAGACGAGCATATGTTCATAAGGTGGTCAGCTGTCGGATCGCGCGAATGTGAGCACTGTATCAGAATCCCGAGTGCTTACCTAGTGAAGAGCAATATTGCTGATCTTGAAATAAACGGTTGAAACTTCCCTCATCATGAAAAAAAAAAATTATAGCAAAACTAGTTTGATCGAATAACTTACAAATTCGTTGGGATTTTTAATCCTAACATTTTTTTTTCTATTTAGTAAAAGTGTGAAATTTCAAATTTGTCATTTCTGTCGATTAAAATGAAAAAGCAACTATCTTTACTTCAATATTTTACTCCAAAATTAATTATCCAAATATTGACATTACTAATTCACCCCACATGTTATCATTTCACTCTTGTTCCAAACCAAAACTTAATTATAACTCCATCAATAATCTAAAAAGATGAGTCGCTAATTAGATGGTCCCAACAATTTTCCCATCGGAATACACGTGGAGAAAAGGTTGGTTCCCATTATTCTTGGTGGAGATTTGTCAAGTTTATATTGGGAAGAAGAAGGTGAACTTCTGATTGGACTTTGCATGATAAAACCAGAAAGCAAACAAGTTTGGCCCATGTACCTGAAAGCTAGCCATGCACTAAATCCTCCACTTTAAGTTGGGTCCATCGATCCATTCTAACAATCTTGGGCAAGGAAAGTGATTTATTTTACTTAATTCTTAAGGATAAAAAAAAGCTTGTTTTGTCTCGTGATCATAATTCTTATTTGATTCGAACATGTTGTCGAGAGAATAATTTTGTAGTAAACTATCTACCTTTTTCATATATATCAATGTAAGAACATATTTTCACTGATCGATTCTATTCTCTGAACTACTAGCTTTACTTTGATTATTTCTAAATTGAAATCTCTCTGATAATTAGTACGAAAAAGTTGTGGTTTTGAAAAAAAGGGCAGTCAGGCATCTAAATCTTATATATGGGAGATCTGATGGCTAGTGAAGATCGTTAAAGTAGCCATATGGGAGTGCTAAAAAGATGTATGGAGAAATGAAACTTTATCCTCTTTGACATTCTTGGGAATCCCTATCCAATCTCAGACACAAATTGGGAGCATTGATCCTACAAATGGAGATTTGTTGGAGGAAATATGACTATGGGTTCTTTTCTTCCTACAGAACATAAAACGTGTGTATAATTGATCAGTATTGAAGTGGAAGTGACATAGGTCAAGAGAAACTCGATTTCAATAATTAAAGTTGTTAAAAATATTTAAATATGAACCTTATATATATGTTACTCGTTGTGGATATATGGTGGATATGTTTTGCCAATTTGCTGTTGCTGAGTCGTCAACGTAGACTCTCAGCAGGAAAACTCGACGAATAATAGAGTGCTAAATAACCAGATCCAGAGATTTAGGAAGTGTTTTCTTTTTAACGAGATTTGAGGAGGGTTGATATGAGGGCTCATGTAATTTAACTTCATATATGTAAAAACTAGAATGCGTTTTATGTATAAATATAATGCATGATAACATTAAATATCTTTCATTAATTAGTACAAACATAAGTCGCTAATTTAATGGAAATCAAACATCCATGACCATTTTGTTAATAACCTCAAACATGAATGACTGGTTTGTTAGTGAACTCAAAATATAAATGACGTTTTCTGTCATTAATCCATGCTCACCCAAAAAAAAAAAAAAACGGAGTCTACTTTAATGGGCCAGTAATAAATCTCATGGGCTACCCTAACGGCCACCAGCCCAGTAATGGGCCAACAAATTTTAGGGATGGATTCTGACAATCGAGCCCAAACGAAGAACTGGCGCGCGTTTCAGAGTCGATGCCTCGATGGGACGTAAATACTCATTTTCGTATTTCGAAGTTTCAAATTAAAATTCATTCCCTTTCCCCCTTGAAGTAAAATCAAAACCCTAAACCTGTGAACCGGAGCTTTCTTCCGACCATCGTTTTGCTGTCCCCTTCAGTTTTTCGGCTATCCGACTGCCGGAGTTTCGATTGCCACGACGGAGCTGGACGCAGGGCCAGTAACCAGGCTCTTCTCCTGTAATGATCATCGAGAACAGGTAAATTGCTGTCTGTTGATTCCTTTCTTTGTTCAATTGCTCGTTCCCAAGACCTTTCAATTTCTGGTTTTAGGTCGAATTGAATCGATCTGTAGTAGCTTCTACTGGCGAGCTATGGACAACAACAACAACAACAGCCGCAGCAATGGCAGTTCTGGGGGACCTGTAAAAACGCGCCGTCAAGATGGTACTGCTGATACTGATAGGTTAAGCCATCTTCCGGAAACCCATTATTCATCACATCCTTTCATTTCTCGACACCAAAGCCGCCGTTCAGACCTCTGTGTTGTCCCCGAATGTGGAGGTTCGCGTGGAAGCACGTCCCAGCACTCCATTTTCGTAGTGATTCCTTTGAGCAGCATTCGAGCTTCCAAGAGGTATGTGGAGAAAGTTTTGTCTCTCCGCCATCCCTTTAATGTCCGCAAGATGACCTGCATTGACTTTGCCATTGAACGCCCCTTGGCTAGGGATCGGGAACGATACATTAGTCCGTTGGTCCGGATGATCAAATACGCCTTGTGTCACAATACTCAACATTTAGATATCACTATGGGTTATTTGCATACCTACAGGGGAAAATGTTACGGATTCTCCGAGTTGTTTGGCACAATCTTGGACTGGAACCTCGAGAGTCTGGAGCTGTGTTGCGTTGCAATCGACCGTGGATTTCTATCTTCAGATTTTCGATTGCTGACGACTCTGTAACTGAAGAATTGCCCATTGGCTCCTGATCAGGACGGGGACTCTGACCCTTTCTCTGGCTGTCCATGTCTGAGGGATTTGGTCCTGACTCATTGCTCGCATTTGGACCATGACTTTGACGGGTTCTGAAAGGCGTCTCAGGATATCTGGACCACAATTGCTTAGCTTGGAATTGGGGTATGTTCATTCTTATGAGATGGAAATAGTTGCTCCAAGACTCAAATCCTTCCGATTTGAGCAGTTCTTTTGCAATCTTAACTTCTCCGAGTTAAGCTTCCCATCCCTTGGATCATGCTGTGATCCTGGTCAAGGAAGATGGCGGTTACATGGAGCGTTACGTGGAATCCCCGATACAAAGTTTGATCTCACTGTTCCAGGCTTCAAGTAATGTAGATACTCTCAGGTTGGATTCTGAAACCATCCAGGTACTCTCATTTTGTATCGTCCTAATGAAGTGTTCCTTCCAGGAAACATTCCCTTATACTTTCTCGTGTTGGATTTTTGTTTTTCTGTAGATACTGGATGATATGTCCGACTTTCTGGAACAACAACCCTCTCCCTTCACGAGATTGAAGTCCTTGATCGTGAAGGCTGACAGTATACCTTACGCACTGGCCAGTTACTTTCTTAAAGGGTCTTCTGGTGTCAAACCACGTATTGAGTTTCCATAGCGTATTGGTATTGGTAACCTTCTTATATCTTACCATAGTTTCTTGTTGTAGTATGCAATAGTTTGCTGTTTGTTTCTACTTTCAGGTCATGTGGTAACAGATCTATGCTTTGTCTAGGTAATTCAGAGAAATTATTTACTGCGATATGAATTGCATTACCAAATACCAGTTCCTTAAAGGGCCGTGGTCAGTTACTTTCTTATTACAGTATTCTCTAGTCTAGTGCATTATCAGTGTTAAACGAGCTAGTAGTTGACCGCTTTGTCATGGTTTCTGTTTGTGTTGCGCTAGTAGAGGGACAGGGTTACATCCTGTTCACATTTTGGCAACTCATGCCACTGTCTGGTTCTGTTTAATTTAATGCCTCAACATCTTTTGTTCCTTTTGATGAAATCTGCTGTGTGTAATAACTAACATGTTACCTTTTGGTAACTCATGCCAAACCTTCTGATTCAACATTTAGTAGTGTATGATGGTGCTCATAGGTAGGGTTGGACGGTCGGTTACAACCGAAACCGGTCGGTTACAACCGAAACCGGTCGGTTACAACCAAAACCGGTCGGTTACAACCAAACCGACCAGTTGTAATTGAAACCGACCGGTTATCCACTAATCGATAACTGAGATAACCGAAACTCGGTCGGTGTTCGAAGACTGGGTGATATGGTTTTTGTCTTAGGGGCTGTTCGGTTAACCGAAAATCGAGATAATGGAAGACTTAAGCTGTCTTTGGGCCGGTGGTCAGTAGGGTTGGGAGATGGTTCGGTTGACCGATAATCTCCCCCTACTCACTGGTGTTTGGAATCGTCAGATAACGCACATACAAAATGTCGTCGTTGAATGAGCACATTAATAATGTGAAAATAATATGTCATTGTGTTCATTCAACAACGATGAAACGCTTACACGACACGAGATTCTAGCAGGCCATGTTAGCAGAATTGGGATCCAGTTTATTTTTTTGGATTGATGCCAATCCGTCTGGCACAACAATCAACATACCAGACCAACATGATTGTTGTAGGAAATTCATTATTTGGAGTTGGGAAGAGACTCCCCAGATTACAAAATCATTGTGGCCCATGCCCTGTGAATTATTTTCTTGGAAGGATAATATAACATCCCCGATTCAGCCCACCAACTCCCCGGGGGCCCACCGGTTTACTCTCCTCAAGCTGTGAACGTCAGTCGATCAAAATAGCCGGCCGGCTAACTTTACTTTGACTCCGTTTTATTATCAAATAATTTACTTTGACTCCTCGCTCTCAAGGTTATGAAAAGAGCATTCCCTGTTTATACAACAGATCGTATGGTGTGGGCCATAAATTGAGAGAATTTTCACCGACTCAAATTTTTTCGAGGACATGCAAAAAATGAAGCCTCTTAGTTATCTTATATCTCCAAAATTGAAGGACAACAGTTCAAATCCTTTCATTTTGTCAACATTAGCACATTTTCTTGGTACATATCACGACAAATCGCTTAGAATGAGAAACTTGTTATTTATTTTATTCAGAAATTTGATTAATCCGTCGTAGTAAGACGATCTGTGCGTGTTAAAAATATGTGAATTCTACTGTTTTTTAATCGTTGGACCTACTAATATATATATTTTTCAAATCCATGCCAAATCTTCTGGTAATGTATGAGACCAGAATTATTGCGGTAGCAAATCTACTATACATATAATACGCTGAAGGGGAAAACAGCTTCCCCATTTCAAAATCCCTGCCTCCAGAGCGTTTTGCGGAGGGACAATTTTGGAAAGTGCATATTTTACGGCCCGCACACGTGGATCTGAACGGGCTTATTGATTGTAAGAGGCGACGAAGAGAAAACTGTTCCAGCGACTCGGAATAAACTTCGCAGAGTTCTCTCTCACTGAACGTCCATTCCCCCGCCGCACCGACTGTCCTTTGCAAAGCCGCCGCTGACTGACTCACAACAACCTCATCGCCTGTAGTCACCCCGTACACTGACTACGATTGTGCGAAGTGCTCTATAGGTAAGGTTTTCCTCTACCTTCGCCACTTTCGGCTGCGCCAATTTGTTTTGAATTCTGTCCCAATTGGCCTCATATACGCTTGACCCCTGAACAGCGCCGACTAGAAGTTTGAGCCATATCAGTTCTCTAACCCAGGCTCTTGATTTCTTCTCTGGGCTCCTATGGAAACATTCAACGAGCCCAATGATTGTCTCTAGCATTCAATTCCAGAAACCCTCTCTCATTGCCTGCCGCCGATTGACTCAATCGCGCTCCGTAACGGAGGTGAAACAACTGCATCGTCTATAGCACTCGCATTTCCTGTTGTCTATTCATTGAACTGCATTTTTAATAGGTAATATTCTCCGTCCTCCGTCTCCACCGCTGAAATCAGTGAGAAATCTATTGCCGGTCTTTCTTCCAATATCCATGTTCCTTTGTTTCCGGTGCCTTCTTTGATTTCCCGTTCATACAAGTTCCATGTTGGGTTAAGCTTAGTTCTTCATGGTTGGGATGCTATTAAAGTTATTTAAGTTTGATCCAATAGAGTTCACTTTCATGTTCTGTGTGGTTCAATTGCTCCATTTCAGGAGCAGCTCGGGTTAGGGTTCATAATTAGCACCGTCACTTTTGTATGCATTGGAAACTCCGGTTGTATAGTTATTGGTCATCGCGAATCCAAACCGTGGTGTTTCTTTAGCTATCAGTTAGTACCCTGAATCGGTAATTTTGTTTTGTCCACCTTATTGCCAAGTCCATTCATGCTTGCACCATGTTATAGGCGGATTCTTTTATCCAAACCAGCCCTATATAGTAATTCGACGGTGGTGGAAGTGGTCGAAGTTTATGAAAATAGTTATCAGTCATTACTTCCTTTAGTATCAAGCATTAAGATGGAATGTTAGATACTTCTGCAATTGCTACATGTCTTGATAGTCACTTCACCAGATATTTGGAACTTCTGATAAAAAGTTTCAGCAAACCTAACAATTTGTGGTAGTAAGAATTTTATTAGTGACCGGAATTGGAGAGTGAGAAGTATGTTAGGGTGGGTAGTGTTACTTATAGATTTCTTCAAGTATAGCTTACAGAATTCTCCCTATGCAAACTGAAATTAGTAGGTAGTGAGGATACATGTCCTGATGCTTCTTGGATGATTGTGAACTATATGGTCTATTTCTTCGGTGCTGATTGCGAAGTTCAACTTGCTAGCGAATTGACTGGTAGACAATGATTTCACTTCTCGGACATCTCCTGATGCTTCTCGGATGATTGTGAACACAACTTCTAGACAGAGTTGCAATATTAAATTTTGAAAGAGAATTGCCAAGCTTGCTGCTTCCTTACTTTGGAGCAGGTAGTCGTACTCTCAGGGAATATTTTTATACACCTTGCAGTGTAAGTTGTGGTGCCGCATTGTATTGGTTTTTCCCCATAAGTTTGATGCATTTTCAGGACTCTTTTCTTGCGGTCAAACTTTTCAGAACGCACTTTTTGGTTTCATGTTAGTGGTAGCCAATTTCAATTTGCTACTGCAAATAGCATCAAAATTCATTGCAAGCTGCACTATGTGCAGTTCAGGTCTCCTGATTTGACAGAGACAAATTTTGTTGAATCCAATAAGCTGGGTTATTGTGGTTGTATAAGGTTTTTGTTGACAGTATCACAATTCTAGCACTAATTGTTTTAAATAAGATTGGCAAAGAAAATGCAACACCTGCACTCAAGAGCTACAAGAGGAAAGCTCCTGGAATCTCAGAAAGCGATGAATAGAGAATTGCATTCTACATACACTATCAGAACAATTAAGTTGTTTCCTTCTTTAGCTCTTTGCAATGAATTAAGTAGTGGATGTTTTTGCTTATAATGGTTTAGTTGTTTGATTACAAGATAGTAGTTAGATGATTTCTGCTTTCAATCAATTTGCAGTGTCTTACTGTGTGGAACCGTTGATGTTATATAGTTGTTTGTGGGAAATATCTTGGCTCTTTTGATTATTAGGATAATCCAGTTATCTCTTTATGCACAATCACTTGGAATATCATACCTCAGGTTCGGGTATACGAACTTCTGTTATTATCCTTGCAGGAGTTGGTTCCCTCTAAATGGCCATTTTATTTGGTTGCTGCTTTTTCTTCTTTCACCTTAGGATTTTCAAATAATATAATGAAACCATTAAAATCTGGAATTTGTTGCTGTTGCTCCAATTCATTTGCCTTACAGTCTGTTTTGGCTCTTTCAATCATTGCATCCCATCGTGGAATTAATAGTGGTAATTAATGTGCATGAGATTTGGAAGTATGATTTTTGAAGAACTGGGCAACATCATGAACAACTCTTAAGTTGCAGAACTGAACCCACGATTATGGTGTGGTTGTATTCTCTTAAGTTGCAAAACTAAGTTCATGATGTTGTAGAACTAAATGCGAGGACAACTTCATACTCGGTCAATAGAGTATATAGGCTTTATTCTTGATTGTTTCTGTCTACTCTTAAGTTGCAGAATCATAGGTTGCGTGATTACTTGAACTGAGACCACAGTTTGCACGATTAGCATTTGTATAATGCATACTCCTTCTGTAGCTTGAATTAAGCTCCCCATAGTCTTATTTTTTCCACTTGGATTTTGGGGATTTTGATAGCTAAGTCCGCCAGTAAGAGTTTCTGTTCTGAGTGAGTAGGTTTCATCGATTGGACAATAATTATTCCTCAACTAATTGTTGATAGTTCCTCGCTCGAATTGTCTTATGATGTGATTAGAGGGCAAAGAAGGTTTAAGTGTAGAAGCACTCATGTTTAGGGTCTTCCAGAGACTCATTTGGGGGAGTTAAGGTTACCTCATTAGTTATTATCGTCATTGGTTGAATAATAATCATTACACTCATGCAAGTATGATAATCGTTTAAGATTGATTTGCATTAAATATCCCCTTCAAGTCTTTGTTTTAACATGTAAATGCACAACCAAATAGTAAAAATTGTTACGTTGTAATTTTATTTTGTTGGTTCATTAGTATTGGTCCTATTATGTTTGGCTTATCCTAGGTGTTTGTATGTTTGTGATGTGTTGTTGGAAAATCGTGTTGAGATCGCTTAGTTGCCTATTGAACTCTGTCACTGTGGCTGGCTGGTTGGTGTTTGAGGGAAGTGTACGTATCTTTTGCTGATATGGGTTTTGATGAATTAAAGTTTGTTAATTGTCAACTGTTCCAGGGAGGTTATGTGTTTGGGTTAGTTTGAGTCATACCTGTTGCTTCTTTTTCCCTCTGCACATTTTATCTTTACTTTTAATTGTCTTTTTCTTATATCCTTGAATGAGTATTCAAATTTGAAGAGTTTAAAGAAAGGTGGTGTGCAGTTGTTTGAGTAATGCAGTCATAATTCACAAGGCATGCTAAATTTGTTATATAAAATGATGAAATTCTTCAAAGTAGAATCACTTGATCGGTTTCTTCAACTCCACACTTTCCTTCAACAGCAGATGCTCTTCATGCTTTTGTAGTGTTTACATAATGTCATGCCCTAAAAAATTATGGCCCTTGGCTTCCTAATGTTTCTTTCATGCACCTGGTGATGCGGGATTGGAAGGTTCACATAGGGTTGTTCAGTTCTCTGTTGAGGCCCAAATTGGTCACAAAGGACCAGGTGCTTTTTTGTCAACCTCTCTCTATGAAACTTATAGAGTATACCTATTTTGACCTAAGATTCTCACTATATTACTAAACATGATTACACAGGTTTGGTGTTGTTTCTGCTTTCATTATCAAAATTTCCATGATTTGCTTATGTTGGGGTTTTTTGTTCATTTGTTCCTTGGTATGCAGGTGAGAGTTGATCTCTTAGTATATAGGTTGTTGGCCAGAGAACTTCCTTTTGTGTACGTTCGCTTACTCAACAGGGCGATTATCGAATTTGGTGGCTCGCTTAGTGGTTAGGGATGTGGGTTTTTTTTTTGGAAGAAGGTTTAGGCTGTGTTGACACACTTAAGACGAGCCTCAGACTTTTCCATTGGAGGTCTTTTGTATTTCCCAGCAGTTTATAGAGATTACGTGGTGCATTATACTCTTGGGAGTTCTCTTTCACGTTGCAAGCTTCTTTGTCTATGTTTTCTATTAGTTTCTTATTGGTCTAATTAGCTTACTCATCATTATTTATCCTGTGTAACATCTAATCATAACTCCAGTATGTACTCTTTAATACTTTTTGAAATCTCTTAGGTTGTATTCTTCTTTCTTTTCGTGTCTTTCTGCTTGGCATTACCTTTCGATTTTGGATATCTTACTTGGTACTTTATCTTCAATGACATGTATTGTTGCAATTGATCTGGACGGTAACTCGAAAGGTATTTCTATTTATTGACAGGATTGTATTTCTTTTCCTATAAAGGCGAAGGCTTTATTGCACCCAAAGAGGAAAGGAGAGGAAAAAAGGAGTAGTAAAAGTGGACTGACATAAAAAAGAGAACCACAACAATAGCTATTGTGCAATTAGCATTGAAACTCTACTCAAAATTATGGTGTGGCATCAATACCTTAGCTGTTGACAGGAGCAACAAGCAAACAAGAAAACTTTTGATCAAAAAAAAAAGCAAACAAGAAAACTAGATGCTACACACAATTAGGAGTAGCACTACTAACACAGGAGCGTTTTTAGAAAGTGGTAGCATTATTAGGCAAGTGGTGCGTGTAATCTTATTGTACTAATAATTTTATGTTGCTCTGCTTGCAATGGTTCAATGACTTATCTTCAAATTACTATTGTGTTCTTGGTCTATCTCCGACCAACGAGGCCCACAATCCACATGCTAATATGTTGATATTATTAGTAAGAGTTCCGCTATCAATTTTTTCTGGCTACCTCCGGCCAAGGGGCCGGGTCATAAGCTAGTTCATTATTAGAAGTTGGAAAGAGACTCCACAAATAGCAAACATTATCCTCCCTCCCGAGCCCATAATGTCTGAATTTTCGGACATAGCAATTGGTAAATTAAAAACAAAAACAAAAACACAAAGATAATCAAAACGTGATAAATTGGGCCGACATAGCCCACCAACCCCCAACGGGGCCCACAATCAGGCACTCTTCAAACTATGCCCGCCGTCGATCAAAACATCCAGCCCACTAACATACTTGGACTCCCCACTCGCCAAGTAAAGCGCCGCCTCCGCCACGTCATCGACCCGACAAACCGCCCCCTTCAGCCCAACCTTCGCCGACACCACCTCCTCGATAAACTTCGGGTCCGTTATCCCCGACGCCGCGAACCCAAACGGCGTCGCCATCCCGCACGGCGAGATCGAGTTCACCCTTATCCCGTGCTGCCCGAGCTCCACGGTCAGGTTCTTCATCAGCCCCACCACGGCCGCTTTCGACGCGGAGTACGGGTGGGACGAGATCCCGTGCGTCGCGGCCACGGAGCTTGCTGTGAAGATGATGTTCCCGCTCCCGTTGGGGACCATCACTCGCGCCGCGTGCTTCGCGGCGTAGAACCCGCCGAAGACGTTGACCGCGAAGACACGCGCCAGCTCGGTGGGGTCCAGCGTGGCGATGCTCATCAGCATGTTGTCCTTCCCCGGGATCCCGGCGTTGCTGAACATGACGTCGAGCTTGCCGTGGGCGTCGACGGCGGCGTCGACGGCGGCGCCGACGTCGGGGTCGCTGGTGATGTCGCAGCGGGAGTAGGTGACGGCGTTGGGGGTGGAGACTTCGGAGCTGATTTCTTCGGCGACGGAGCGGCCGAGGTCGGACTGGAGGTCGGCGATGACGACCTTGGCGCCGTGGCGGGCGAAGAGGCGGGCGGTGGCGGCGCCGATGCCGCTGGCGCCGCCGGTGATGAAGGCGACCTTGCCTTGTAGACGCTGGGCGATGGGGTTTAAGAGTGAGGATCCTTTCATTGTTTTTTTTGTAAAAACTTTTTTTTTTTTGTTTCAAATCGAGGTTCGACGATATTTTTTTTTTATAAGGACGATCGATGCTACTCAAGAGTTCGACAAATGTTTTAGGAGAGCATAGAGAAGAGGGATGGAGGTTGATGCTTTTATGGGGGGGAGGTGAGATCTCGTGGTTGGGGAGAGAGGATTTTCCTTTGGAGCTTTTTTTCACTTACCTACCTATGATAATGTATTCAATAAGAACGCCAACTATGACTCTTGTGTTCTTTATGCTTTGTTTTCTCGTGTAACACACAGCTATCAATAAAAAATAATGTACACCATGTTGTAGATGTATGAAGAGATAAGGTTTAGGAAGAGGACCCTGTGTGGTGAAATGCGGGAAGAGAAGAGAGCATCCTATCCGGAGAGAGATTGAGCCTCCTCGAATAGGATTTTGAGGTTTTGTTTATGAGATGTCTTGAGGGCCGACGTCTCGGAGTGGGCTGGATGCTTCAGGCGATGTATCTTAAACTGACCTGGACTCTTCAAAACGAGCTTGAGGTCTCAAGTGAGGTACCTTTGAGAGTGATGCCTCAGAAGTGAGCTGGCTTAGACTCATCTGCGATGTGTTTGTCGTCTCATTAAACAACTAACAACCGGGATATGGAACTACATTGTGATCCGTGGACATGAAAGTTATGAATGTACATGTCTATTTGTAGTTGAGATTTGATTGCTTACTTAAGGTATTAGTCCTGGTGGAGATGCTGGTTTTGGGCCTTTTGGCATGAAATGGTGGAGTGACTAACTAGTGAGATTACTATTGTAAGAAACTGGCAAAAGGCAAATTGTAATAACGTTTAGGAAAAATAAAGGTTATGTTTTATATTTCATTATATGGATGGTCATTATATAGCAAATGCTAAAGTTATGTGATTATTTTGGATAATTACCTCGACCTCGTAAAAGAAAATTTTGGCCCACCACAACCCAGATTATCTAGGCCTGGCCTATAACTTAAAGCCCAAAACAGTGGAGAAGTGGAAAAAATATATATATTTTTTTCGACAATCCCCGCTGCATTTTCCCTCGACATTCCCCGCTGCATTTTCCCTCCCGGTCTGCCGATTGCCGACGCCCAGCGAAACCCTAAATCCAGTCGAAATGCAGCTTTCCTCCGATCAAATACCCCAAGCTCTCTAGTCCTCTCCAGTTTTCCGATCCAGGCTTCACTGGTTGCGGCTTCAAGTTTATCGTAGTTCGGTTTCCGGCGGTGGAGAGGTATCACACTCAATCGCCCGATTTCTGTGCTCCCTTCTCGCTTAAACCGGTTCTCCAATCTTCAGATTTTACTTATATAACTGAAATAATCTGTAGTTGCCTCCAACAGAGAGCTATGAACAACAATGGCGAGGCTGCGAAAGCCGGGAAAAGGCGCCGAGGTGGAGAAGGGGAAGATACTATTGGTCGTGACAGGTTAAGCGCTCTTCCCGACCGCGCCCTTGTTCACGTCCTTTCATTCGTCGACTCCAGAGACGCCGTTCAAACCTGTGTACTGTCCCGACGGTGGAGGTGCGTTTGGAAACAAGTCCCCGTCCTGAATTTCAATAGAGACACCTTTGAAGAATTTTCAGGCTTCGAGACCCACGTTGACAGACTCTTGTCCCTCCGCTATCCCCGTGAAGTTCGCAAGCTTAGCTACATGGACGGCGATGGAGGAGCTTCCTGGGAAGATGAACCGCAGCGCATGGGTTTGTTTGTTAGGGCCATGAGGTATGCTTGCTCACATAATGTTCAGCATTTGGTGATCGACCTGGGTAGTGAGGGCAACGACGATCGGAGTAGGAGGTGCTCTGATTTGTTTAGCAGCTCGATCTCGGAATGCAAAATCGAATCACTGGATTTGGGGCATGTAACCCTCGACGGTGGCTATGGATTGTCTTGTTTTCAATCAGTGACAAGTTTGATTCTGGAATGGTGTCTGCTGTCTTCTGATCAAGGCGGCGAGAAGGAAGACCAGCTGGATCCTTTTTCTAAGCTTCCTTGTCTGAAGCATTTGGTCCTGAGTAATTGCCTGGCTGGTGAAACTAATGATGGCGGTTGTAAAAGAAGTGTAAAGATCTCTGGGCTCGAACTGCTTAGTTTGGTTTTTGATCGTGTGGAGTTTTCCGACATTGAAATACATGCACCGAAGCTCGAGTCCTTCACTCTTACGGATGATGTTGGAACACTTCGCGGACTGTCGAATTTAAGCCTTCCTTCGCTTAATCATGCTGATGTATCTGTTTGGGACGATCACCATTTTGTCAAGGATAACAAGGAAGTAGCGAGGCAGCAGTTCGTTTCGTTGTTCCAAGGCTTGCATAATGCTAAGTCTTTGAAGCTGTACTGGGAAACCATTGAGGTAGTTATACTTTTGACTCAAATCATTCATGGTCTAATACGGCAATACCCGGTTCCTTCTGAAGATATCATATGATCACCATACAGTTTTTCTGAGTTTGTTGTTCTCTTTGCAGGTCATGAGTGAACTTACTGTGGGTTTGGCAGACCAACCATCTCCTTTTACGAGATTGACGTCCTTGACTCTGGCTGCTGACAGTGTGCCTTACAAACTCCTCAAGTACTTTCTTAAAGGATCCTCGAGTGCAAGACCAATGATTGAGTATGTCTAGACATAGCAAGCTGATCACTGTGCATAGCTTCTGACTGTAGCTATATGCAACGGGTTAGTACTTAGTAGTACTCTTGCTCTTATTAGGTTAATCTTGGTATGCTCATAGTCATAGATAACCCCTTTGCCATTGTCTTAAGGCATAAACAGATTGTTTTGATGAACGTTGTAGTAACCTGTTAGCTTGGTTCTGAAATCTGAATCGATTCTCTTGATCTATTAGATGACAACGTGTTGTGTTGCATTGCAGAATCCTATATTGGTTAGGAAAGGATTTCGTAAGGTGTCTAATGTCTTTGCGCATCTATTTATTCCAATTTAGGAGATTGAATTAATTACTTTGTCATTTTTTTATTTATTGTTTATGGTTCCTTGGGGAAGGGGAATCCTATATTGGTTAGGAAAGGATTTCTTAAGGTGTCTAATGTCTCTATATATGGGTTTTGAGACATTAGTTCGTTCGTTCATAAAAAAAAAAAAAAAACTCCAAGCATCCTAGTAGTTTAATTCGTCGGTTATTCTTTCAGAGAAAGCGATGAACAATTGCAAAAAAGTTAGAAGAACGGTCTCCGACAGGTTAAGTAATCTTCCAGAATCTGTTCTTTATCACATCCTTTCGTTTCTGGACACCAAATCTGTCGTTCAAACCTCTGTACTGTCGCGAGCATGGCAACGTGCTTGGAAGCATGTCCCTGCCATTGACCTCCATAGCAATTCCTTCAAAAAGTTTCGGAAATTCAAAAGCTTTGTGTCCCGGGTTTTGTCCCTCCGCTACGACCTCAATGTCCAGAAGGTGAGCTACAAATACTACTATCATGATTCGGAGGTCTCACATTTTAGTCTGTTTGTGAAGGTCATCAAGTATGCTCTATCCCATGGTACACGGCATTTGGTGATTGACCTCGGGGAAGTTTCGAACGACGAATACAGTTATCTGTTCTCTGACTTGTTTGGCTCGGTCACGGATTCCAATCTCGCAACTCTGGAATTAGGGTATGTCACTGTCGACCGTGGATTCGGATCTTCTGGATTCCGAGCGCTCACCACTTTACATCTGGATCGCTGCACACTGGGTTATGATCAGGAGGAGGACATCGATCAGGAGGAGGACATCGATCCTTTTCCTAATTTTGCCTGCCTGAAGAATTTGGTCCTGCATTCTTGCTTTATCGAGTGTTCCAACAAATATAAAAGGAGTTTCAAGATATCAGGACCTCAATTGCTTAGCTTGAAAATGCTGGATAATTCGCTGTACATCAAGGTTGAAATATCTGCACCGAAGCTCGAATTCTTCACTTTTTGGAATGTCCAGGCAATTGATGGATTGCCCAAGTTAAGCGTTCCTTCCCTGGTTCATGCTGATATTAGGTTCTGGTGCTATGACCTGTCGGCATGGAACATCCAATCGCCGATGCTAATTTTGATCCCCTTGTTACAAGGTTTGAGCAATGCAACATCTCTCGTGCTGGATTCCTCTAGCATTCAGGTAATCCCTATTTGGATATTGCTACGACATAAGTGGTTGTTTTTCCTGAGGTTAGTACCTTAGATTCTTGTCTGGTGGCTTGTGTTTTTTTGTGCAGGCATTGATGGACAACATTGACTTTCTGGAACAACACCCCTCTCCCCTTACGAGATTGGAGACATTGATTTTGGAGGCTGTCACTGAACCCTTCAGATTGGCCAATTACTTGTTCAAAGGAAGTTCTTGCACATATCCAAAGACCGAGCTTCACCAGAGAAGCTCTGAATCACTTCGCCGTAAGTTAAGCTGTTAGCTCTGTTTGATTCTGAAGTAGCAATGGGCCCTAATCTATTGGTTCCTTTCGATAAACCATTGGGCGCTGTCTTATGCTTACAGATTGCATTTCCTGCTGTTATCTCTGTCAATGAGCTTAAGAAACCTGCTGCATCTTCGTCCTCGAAAGGATCCATAGAAGCGTCGAACCCACGTTGTTATGGTGTTTGCCAAACCGAGTTTGGATTCTGATTTTGCAGAGCGCAAGCTTACAGTAACTGATTTAAATTTGATACTGCTGGAGGTTTGATTCTTTTGGCTCGTGGGATTCAGTTTATAGTAATTGATGATCCCTTCGTGGTGGAGCTTCTTGTTCTCCGAGAAGCTATCAGATGGTGTATGGAGCTTGGGTTCTTGGAGGTTTGGTTTGAAGGTGATCCTCAAGTGGGCGATTGATAAGTTCAATTGTGCTAATGGCCATGGTAGTCGTGCGAGTGCAATCTTCAAAGAGGTCTCGCATATGCTGAGGACGCATAATGGGTTGACTGTGCGATTTGTTGGTCGGTGTAGCAATATGGTAGCTCATTTGGTGGCTCGACAGACTCTTTCTTTGTATCCGACTATGAGTCGTTTTTTTGTTTTTTTCGTCTGGTTGCCTTCCAGGTTTTACTGTTATATTTTTCAATTATCTCTCGTTAAAAAAAACATAATTTTTCTACGCAAATCATGCTTTAAGTCATTCTTTACCATCTTATATTTGAGAGCATGAATGGGCTTTTATGTATCTTTTATTCTTTTTATATTTATTAGTTTGGATTCATGGCTTGGGAGTTGCTAAAGGTCGCCCTTAAAATTGCTAAAGGTCGCCCTAAAAAGAATCAAAGTTACACTTTTACCCCCTTAGCTTCTTTACCTTCCCTTTATCAAACAAACACCACTTGGACTAAAAAAACACTATCTAAGAAGAGAAAAATCCATCATCGTTATTTTGAAGCCGATATCGTCGGAGTAGCGACTCCGACGAGGTAAATACATTAACTGAAAAACGAAAAAAAAAGGAACCGCAAATGACCTGCGGTTGGACCATGGCTGGACCGCAAATGACCTGCGGTTGGACCATGGGTCGACCGCAAATGACCTGCGGTTGGACCATGGCTGGACAGCAAATCACCTGCGGTTCAGCCATGGTCCAACCGCAGGTCAATTGCGGTCCACCCATGGTACAACCGCAGGTGATTTGCGGTCCAGCCATGGTCCAACCGCAGGTCACTTGCGGTTGGGCATTTTTTGGGTTTATTTTTTTCGTTGAATAATTTTTTATTTTTTTATATGATTTATGATTTTTTCGTTTGAATTATTAATAATGGATTATTAATAATAGAGTACATAAAGTAATTAATTTAAGATTTCCATGTAATCATTATTTACGTTACGTTCTATGTAATCATTATTTACATAAAAGTAAATAATTAATTAAGGTAAAATTATTAATAATTAAGTAGATAAACGAATTACTTTTAAATTTTTATTATTAAAATGTTTAATTTTTTTATTATATTCTTTAAATTTGTTATCATTAATTAACATTTATCGAAAACGTTTTTCAAATTTTTATATCATATAACTAATTTTTTATTATTAATAACATTTATTTAAACACAGAATATTAAAAAACAGAATTAAAAAAATAAAAATTCGACCGCGGTCAAACCGCGGTCAAGCGCGGTTTGACCATTGGTCAATCGCCCTTTGACCGCGGTCAGCCGTCGGTTCAACCGCGGTTTCACTGCGGGCGAATTTTTTTTTTAGCTTCTTCTTCTCCGGCGCGACTGTGGAGCGCGAGATGCAGAGGGTCGGCGACGGGACGAGGCGGGCGGCGGGACGAGCGGCGATTGGCGGGCGGCGGCGGGACGAGCGGCGACTGGCGGGCGGCGGCAACTTGGCGGGCCGGCGGCGGGATGCAGAGGGTCTCCGGCGGCGGGTTGCAGAGGTCTCCGGCGGCGGGATGCAGAAGGGTGAAAGGGCTGTTTGGTTGGCCTATTTTTTAAATTTTCATTAAGGGTATATAGGTAAATTGAATTGTAAGTTATGGCGACTTTTAGCAATTCTTAGGGCGACATTTAGCGATTCAGTAATTAAATGGATAGGTTTTCTTGTGAAAAATTGGATGGAACTAGAGAAATAGATGGCTTTCTTTAGTTCCCCCATAAGAGGACTTGTTTGTTGCAAATGAGAGTATATGGAGTAATTCGCTGGACGACTAAAAGTAGAGGTGCTTATTTGAATTTTTTATAATTACTTGATCAACGATCGTTACATTCCCCGCTTCACTTTGATATTTTCCCTCCGACCTGCATCGGAGCTGCGAAACCCTAATGTCGACAAGTGAAATGTAGCTCACCGGCCACGGCGCAATTCCCTCTACAGTCTTCTGCAGGCGTCTCGCCAAGACTCATCGCAGTTTGTGTTCGCTCGCCGAAGTTGGATTCTTTCTTGCACCGGCGACGACAATAGTCTATCCCCCGGTGACAGACCTTTCTAGGCTTGAAGTTTCTCTGCAGTTCACCGTCAATAGAAAGCTATGACCAGCGAGTTAAGGAAAGCTGGGAAAAGGCGCCGATGGGATATGAACAGTAACAGCTCCGGCAGCGAGTTGGGTAAAGCTGGAAAATGGCGCCGCGAGGAAGATGAAGAAGAGACTAATAATACTGGTACTACCAGTGACAGGTTAACCCATCTTCCAGAACCCATTATTTATCACATCCTTTCATTCCTCGACACGAAAGCCGGTGTTCAAACCTCCATCTTGTCCCGAGCTTGGAGATCCGCTTGGAAAAATGTCCCTGTTCTGGATTTCTGTAGCCATTCCTTCAGCCAGTATCCGAGTTTCCGGAGGTATGTGGACAAAGTTCTGTCCCTCCGTTATCTTGTTAATGTCGAAAAGTTGACCTACATCTCCAATGAAAGTTCAGAGGAGGAACGAGCTGATAGTCAATTTGGCAGGGTTGTCCAATATGCCTTGTGCCATGATACTCAACATTTAGCCATAGGCGATAGGATTCGTTTCCATCGCTATCTCAGATTTTCAGATTTGTTTGGTTCGATCTTGAATTGCAATATGAGAACCCTAGAACTACGCAGTATCGCCATCGATAGTGGGTTTCGGTCTTTTGGTTTTCAGAGGATGACCACTTTGAAGTTGGATTGGTGCAACTTTTCTTTTGAGCAGGTGGAGGACCTTGATCCATTCTCGAACTTCCCTTGTCTCCAGAATTTGTCCTTGACTAATAGCTCCAACAGGGTTCCCCGTCACTTGCGTGGAGGGAGTTTCAAGGTTTCCGGGCTCCAATTGCTTAGCCTGAAACTCGAACTTATGAAATTTCGCAAGTTTGAATTAGATGCTCCCAAACTCAAGCTGTTGCATATTTCAGAAATTGCGGGTTTTTGCTCAGCATTCTCAGAGTTGAGTTTTCCTTCCCTCGATCATGCTGATATCCTTTTCTATCCGGATTCCATGGCAAACAAGAAGCATTTAGTCTCCTTTTTCAAAAGTTTGCATAATGCAATCTGTCTCACCCTGCATTCCAAAACCATCCAGGTACACTTAGGTTGAACATGTTGCTTCTAAGTGGGATGGTTCTCTTCAGAGAATATGCATTACCTCACTTATCAAGTTCGGTTTTGTTCTGTTCAGGTGCTGAGTGGTCTTGATGAGTTTCTGGAACAACCAACTGACTTTACTAGATTGACTCATTTGAATGTGTCGTCAAGTAGCATACCTTACGAAGTGGTCGATTGCTTTCTCAAAGGATCCTCTACCACAGAACCAAATGTCCAGTTTGTCTAGCTGTAAAGGTAATCGACCAGTTTGCTATAGCTTCTGATCATATAAACAGCAGAATATCTCATATCACATCGCCATGCATTTTTGTGGTTTGTTTTTGTTCTCTCTCAGTAGGTACCGAGTGAATTCAGTTGGTGGTTTGGGAGAGCAGCGGTCTCCTTTTACGAGTTTGAAGTCCTTGATTCTAGCTTTGGAGAGTGTACCTTACAGACTCCCCAAGTACTTTGTTGAATGATCATATAGTGGAAGACCAATCAGTGAGAAGCTCCTGGAACAACTATATGCAATAGGTTAGTACTTGGTAGTGCCCTTTTTCTTATCAGGTTTATCTGGTGATGCTCACAGATACCCCTTTCTTGTCATTGCTTAAGGCTTAAACAGATTGTTCTGATGATCGTTGTAGTAACTTGTTAGCTTGGTTTCTGGTATATGAATCGAGTCTCTTGACCGCGCGACTCGATGATAACCCTTTGCGATGCATCGCAGAATCATTGCTCTCTGTGGCTATTACTTTTCGCCTTTCGGTTGTTGATCAGAAGTTTTAAGTTATTTAAGAACAATGCCGACTCCAAACTTATTCATTGAGGTGAACCATATAACTCCACTTGTTATTGTCACGATTGATTTTCTTGAACATTGGCTTTATCCTATGCTATGAAAGCAAGGCCACGAATATATCTATTATTCTTATTTAGGACATTCGGTTGTTTAATTGTCACTTAATTATTGTTTATTGTTACTTGGGGAAGAAGAATCCTATGCTGGTTAGGAAACGATTTTGGAAGCCTTGTATATATATTATCACATTAGTCCGTTCATCCAGGGAAAAAACTCAAAGTGTTAGTAATGCTTTTAGAAGTTGGAAAAATGTGTTCGGACAGATTAGGTCATCTTCCAGAACACATTATTCATCACATCCTTTCGTTTCTTGACACCAAGTCTGCCGTACAAACGTCTGTATTGTCGCGAGCATGGCGAAGTGCTTGGAAGCATGTCGCTAATATTGACCTCCATAGCGATTCCTTCAAAGAGTATCTGAATTTCAGAATCTTTGTGTCTAAGGTTTTGTCGCTCCGCTACAAAATGTCCAGAAGCTGAGCTACATAGATTGCGGTCGTAGTTCGGAGGGTCGAGATGTTAGTTCGTTTGTCTAGATCATCGAGTATGCTCTATCCCATAAAGCTCGACATTTAGTGATTGACCTCGACAATTTGTTGGATTACGAAGGCAGTTACAAGCTCTCGGACTTGGATTCCGATCTCGCAACTCTAGAGTTGGGGTTTATCTTTCTCGACTGTAGTCTTAGATCTTCTGGTTTTCGGGTACTGACAACTTTATGTCTAGACCGATGCCTGCTGGGTTCTGATAAGGAGGACTTCGATCTTTTTTCTGATTTTGCCTCCCTGAAGAATTTGGTCCTGCATCATTGCATTCTCCATGAGGACCGCTCTTCTGCTGGGGATGAAAGGTTTTTCAAGATATCAGGACCTCAATTGCTTAGCTTGAAAATACTGGATAATCTGCTGAACACCAAGGTTGAAATATCTGCACCGAAGCTCGAATTCTTCAGTTTCTGGAATGTCCTGGAAATTCATGAATTATCCAAGTTAAGCGTTCCTTCCTTGGTTCATGCTGATATTAAGTTTGGGTCCAATGAACTGAGGGCGACTGTCATCGAATGGCCGACGCTAATTGTGATCCCCTTGTTCAAAGGTTTGAGCAATGCGACATCTCTCGTGCTGGATTCCTTTAGCATTCAGGTAATCTGTAGTCGACATTGCTGCTGCAATATAGGTGGCTGTCTTCCTGAGGATATTACCTTAGATTCTAAGTTTTGGCTTCTGATTTGTGCAGGAATTGAGCGACATTTGTGAGTTTCTGGAACAACACCCCTCCCTTTACGAGGTTGGAGTCATTGATTGTGGAGGCCGACACAATGCCTTTGAAAGTGGTCAATTACTTGTTTAAAGGAAGTTCTAGCACAGATCCACAGATCGAGCTTCGCAAACCGGAGTAGTTTACAATGTTGCAGTAGTTTCTTGCTTAATCCAGTGAGTTCATCATTGATGTTGTGTTTCTCTTGCAGCTCCCTTTAGGAACACTCAATTTCCCCTATGTTTGACATTCCTTCTGACAGATAGCTCTAAATCAATTTGCCATATGCATCGACTCTGTTTGATTCCTGGAGAATCGAAGGACCTATCTATCGGCTCATTCGATAAACCATTGGTTGCTGTCTTGTGCTTATAGATTGCATTTCCTGCTGTTATATCTGTCAATGAGCTTAAGAAACCTGCTCTGCATCTTCGTCCTCGAAAGGATCCATAGAAACGTCGAACCCATGTTGTTATGGTGTTTGCCAAACCGAGTTTGTGTGCAAAAGCTTACAGTAACTGATTTCAATTTGATACTGCTGGTTGAAGTAAGTTGCAGGAGGAGATGGGGGGTTTGCACTTTGCTGAAGTTGGAAGTTATATTGTACTGGTGCATGTCAATATTTGCTTCTATGGCAGGAGTGAAGAAGCCACATAACTATTTTACACACACTCATATCATTAATTTGGCCGCACTTTAACCAAAGAAAGACCTCGACAGAATATCCCTGGAGAATGTGTTTGCCATTTTGAAATAAAGTTTTAAGAATGACTCAATGATTCAAGTGGAAATATATTGTCGAACTTCAAAAACTTTTCATGTAACATTCTTTCATCCGAGAGCGTGAATGACCCTTTATCTCCATCTCGAATCTTTTTCTCACGGAAAATGTAGAATAAAGTAGCAACGTCCATCTTACCATGAAAGAAAGAAAAAAAATAGTTTGTGCGAAGAGATCGATACATGAAATAAAGGTTTAAGAAAAAGTTTTTGAAGTTCGACAATATATTTCCACTTAAATCATTGAGTCATTCTTAACATTCCTTCATCGGAGAGCATGAATGGCCCTTTATCTGTCTTTTAATTAGGTTTGATTCAGGGCTTGATTGAATGGCATAGTTTGTGTGCCCGTATAAGAGGACTTGATTGTTGCAAAATGGAAGTTGAAGGAGTAATTCGTTAGATGGCCCAAAGTAGAGGTGCTTATTTGAATTTTTTTTATAATTACTTATAATATATGTCGTCACCATTCCCGCTTCATTTTCCCTCCGAGCTCTGTCACGCCCTTACTCTTGGTCGTGCGGCCCTAGCTCTCAATTCCGTTAGAGATGCTAGGCAGCCTTCTCACAAGCTCTCAAACTCACTCAACTCACAAGAACAAGACACAAGAAGATGGGAGAAACTCTAGAGTTGTATTACTCACAAAAATGATGGATGAGTTACAAGTGAGGGAGATGGCTCCTTATATAGGCCTCTCCTCATACAAGGCATCAATGCCCCTCATAATGTCCCTCTACTACATCAATACACCCCATAAAGTCCCCCCATAATGCACCCTAATAATGCTACCCATAATGTAGCCCATAAGTGCACCATTAAGCTCTCATTTAGGTGGAGAATCCTAGGAGCATCTCTATGCTACTAGTCTTCCATACATGCCACATGTGCAGCCGCCTTGTTGTCACCTTGTTGGCGCCATGTCATCGGCCACATGTGACATCCTCCCCCACCTATGCTCGCGACGCCCTCGTCGCGTCCTTGCTACGAAATGCCTCCATCGACCTCGAGCAGCCTCTCTCGACTCTTGAGCCTCGTTGGTGACATTCTCCTCCACTCAATCCACGACGCCCTCGTCGTGGCTCTTTGGCAGATGCCTCCCTTGCCTTAGCTTCATTGCTTGCAAGGTCTCGTTGCACCTTCCTCCAAACCAAGGATGGCCCTGGCTCGCTCTCGAGCCTTGTGCTCCCATGATGTTGCGCACTCCTCCGCGGTCTTCTCCGTCGCTTCTTCGAGTGTCCCGCCTTCTCGATCATGGTGGCCTCTCCTTGCTTCTCTTGGCAAGTCGAAGATGATCCATCCTCGTCTTTCATGGCTCCACGATGTTGTGCACTCCTCCTCGTCCTTCTCCAACGAGTCTTCGAGTGAGCCGCTACCTCCACCATTGTTGCCACTTCTCGCTGCTCTTGCCTTGCCAAACACCTCTTGTTTGACTCGAGTTGCTCTCTTGTCATGGGGACCGATCTTGCCCCGCCATTGATGCAGAATCTATTGGCGTATGGGATCGGGAAAGCTTTCTCCCGCACCATGAACTCCATGCCGATGATGACCTGATAATCATCCAACGACACCACCTCAAAGTCCGCCACCCCGGTCCATCCTCCTAGCTTGAGTGGCACCTGGCGCGCTACTCCATGAGTTCTTGTGGCCCTCGAGTTGGTAGCCTTCATCCACCCTCTTTGCTTCTTCTCGTACGTGATGCCCAGCCTCCGCGCTTCATCTACGTCGAGAAGGTTGCAGCTTGCCCCGGTATCAACCAAGGCTTTTGTCTTCCTTTGGTTGAGCTTTGCCTCTACGAAGCATTGACCGTGTTGCTCAGGATGGGGAGGCTCTTCCGTCCGCTTGATGGCGCTCAATCTCTTCATGCAGCCAATCTTCGCGACATGGGGCTCCACTCTTGGAGTTGCCTCCGCTTCCTCTTCCGAGCTCGAGCACTCTGCTAGTACGGCCTTCATTGCCGACAACTTGTGCTTTCTTGGGCAATCTCTCACACGATGCGGACCATCACAAAGGAAGCAAGTAAGTGGTTTCTCAACCTTATGACTACCTCCTTGGTCCAGTCTACCACGCCTTCGTGTGTCTCTGTCATAGTCGCGTCCACCCCCATTGCCTCCGAACTCCACACGTTCCTCCGGCTCGTGGTACTCGACTAGGGACTCAGCAATCGCCATTGCCTCGGCAAGACTTTGAACGCCTCGCCGTTGTAGCTCCAACTTCGCCCATGGTTGGAGGCCGTCAAGGAAGGTAAACATGGCCTCCTTGTCGGTGTAGTCGGGGATCTCGAGCAACAATTCAGAAAACTCCTTCACATACCCTCGAATCTCTCCTTCGTGAGCAAGCCTCCTTAGTCTCGACCGGGCTTCAAACTCAACATTCTCTGGGTAGAATTGCCTCTTGATCTCCCTCTTGAAGTCATCCCATGACTCCATCACGCACGTCCCTTTATTGATATCGCCTTGGGTCCTTCTCCACCACAGCATGGCAACATCACTCAAGTAAAGAGGTGCAGTTTTTACCTTGGTATTCTCATCTCGAATACCCGAAGCTTCGAAGTATTGCTCCAAGCTCCATAGGAAGTTCTCTAACTCCCTTGCATTCCTCGACCCTTGAAAGCTCTTTGGTCTTGGAATCTCCATGGTTGAGGCAGGTTGTGCGATGGCAGGTCCGTTAGCCATGGCCCTCTTCACAAGCGTCACTTCGCTTTTGAGCTCCGCAACCTCCTCCTTCAAGACGGTCACCTCCGCAGCAGCCGCCTCCTTCATTAGCTCAATGGCATCGTTCATGGCGGTGGAGATGGTGTTTTTGATGAGGGCCATGAGCTCATCTCGAAGCCCTTCATTGCCAACCTCCAAACTCGTCACTCTAGCCGCCACACCTTGAACATCGCCTTGGATTTGGGTGAAGTTAGCTCCCAAATCCTCCATGAAGGTGACATCTTCGGAAAGCTTCACCTCCACCCTCGAGACTCGCCTCTCTAGAGACTTGAGAGGATCACGAGTGCTCGACGTGCCTTTTTGCCTTCCGCCCGGAGTAGGATCTCTTCCACGATGCTTCTCCGCATCGTCATGGACTTCTGATCCAGCCATCTTTGGTGAGGCTCTCGCTCTTTCTTATCTTCCTTCTTGGGGAGTGAGGACACCGGTTCTTCTTTCAGAACCAGGCTCTGATACCAATTGTCACGCCCTTACTCTTGGTCGTGCGGCCCTAGCTCTCAATTCCGTTAGAGATGCTAGGCAGCCTTCTCACAAGCTCTCAAACTCACTCAACTCACAAGAACAAGACACAAGAAGATGGGAGAAACTCTAGAGTTGTATTACTCACAAAAATGATGGATGAGTTACAAGTGAGGGAGATGGCTCCTTATATACGCCTCTCCTCATACAAGGCATCAATGCCCCTCATAATGTCCCTCTACTACATCAATACACCCCATAAAGTCCCCCCATAATGCACCCTAATAATGCTACCCATAATGTAGCCCATAAGTGCACCATTAAGCTCTCATTTAGGTGGAGAATCCTAGGAGTATCTCTATGCTACTAGTCTTCCATACATGCCACATGTGCAGCCGCCTTGTTGTCACCTTGTTGGCGCCATGTCATCGGCCACATGTGACAGCTCCATCGGAGCTGCGAAACCCTAAAAAATGCCAGCAAGTGAAATCTAGCTCACTGTCACTGCCACGGCGCAATTCCCTCTGCAGACTTCGCGGCAAGACTCATCGCAGTTTGGGTTCGCTAGCCGCAGTTGGATTCTTTCTCGCACCGGAGACGATAAGAGCCTTTCGCCTGGTAATAGTCCTTTTATACATCTTCTTAGAGTTCCCCAGAACTGAAATTCTCTGTAGCTATGAACTACGAGTTAGGGAAAGCGAGAAAAAGGCGCCGAGGGGCTATGAACCACAGCAGAACTTGCTGCGAGTTGGGGAAAGCTAGGAGATGGCGCCGAGGGGCTATGAACCACAACAGAACTGGCTGGGAGTTGGGGAAAGCTTGGAAAAGGCTACATGAAGAAGAAGAAGAAGAAGAAGAAGAAGAAGAAGAGACTAGTACTGGTAGTACAACTGACAGGATAAGCAATCTTCCAGAACCCATTATTTGTCACATCCTTTCGTTTCTCGACATCCAGTCTGCCGTGCAAACCTGCGTATTGTCGCGAGCATGGAGATCTGCTTGGAAACATGTCCCTGTTCTCGATCTCCGTAGCGAATCCTTCCGAGATTATCCGAGTTTTCAGCGGTTCGTGGATAGAATTTTGTCACTCCGCTATCCCGTCAGTGTCCAGAAGATGACCTACATCGCCCATGGAAATCGGACGGAACAGGACGATAGTCAATTTGGCAGGGTTGTTGAATATGCCTTGCACCATGATACTCAACATTTGGCATTCTACGTGGGTGATGGAATTGGTTACGGTATCGGTTGCAGATTCTCGAATTTGTTCGGCTCGATGTCGAATTGCAATCTCAGAACTCTTGAGCTGTGTTGGGTCACCATCGATGGCAGATTTTGGTCTTTTGGGTTTCCGAGGCTGAACACTTTGGTGTTGGATTGGTGCCCGCTGTCTTTTGAGCAGGAGGACCTCGATCCATTTTCCAACTTCCCGTGTCTCCAGAGTTTGTCTTTGACTAGTTGCCACCCCAAGAAGGTTCCACGTCACATGCGTGAAAGGAGTTTCAAGATTTCCGGGCTCGAATTGCTCAGCCTGAGGCTCGAAAGTACGGAGTTTCACAAGGTTGAGATAGTTGCACCGAAACTCAAGTCGCTGTATCTTAGGGGAGGTGTGGAGCAATGCTCAGTGTTCTCAGAGCTAACTCTTCCTTCCCTCGTTCATGCTGATGTTCTTGTCTATCCGGCTTCCATTTTCAACCATGAGAGATTTGTGGAGCGACATTTGTTCTCCTTGTTCCAAGCTTTGGGTAATGCAAACTCTCTGACGCTGGGTTCTAATACCATCAAGGTATGCTTTGGTTTTAATATTGTGGCCTTTTAATGGGTTGGTTTCTTCCTGTGCATATTTATCACCTCATGTCTCAAGTTGGTTTCTTGTTCTGTTTAGGTGCTGAGTGGTTTGGAGGATGAGCTTCTGGAACAACTACCCTCTCCCTTTACGAGATTGAAGCTTCTGAATGTGCAGTCAAGCAGCATACCTTACAGAGTGGCTGATTACTTTCTCAAAGGATCTTCTTGTGCAGAACCAAAAGTTGATGTTTTGTAGATGTAGTAGTCAATTTGCCCTTTGCCTTTCATTTTTTGTCTGTTTGAACGCAAGTGGACGGTCTTTCGTTACGTTCAGGGCATCTAGGAAGAATCAAACCTCTAGGGAACTGGGTTGCTATTCCTTTTATCAGGTTCTTCTGAATCACATTGATGCATATATCGTCTTCACTCTGTCCTTAAGTATCAATTGACTTGGGTAGATTACTATACATGTCTCATGGTATGTTTCTTATCTTCATGTGTGCTAAAAGATGGAATCGTACTTTGTTCACATTCAGGCCTTACCTAGTACCAAGGAGCTAGTAGCTTCTGGACTTCTGGTCATGGTGGTTTCTATTGCTTTGGTTTTTCGTTCTATTGCTTTTGATATTGCTAGCAGCAGTAAGTCGGAAGAGTATTCTGGTTCTATTGCTTCAGATCTTTGTTGGGTACATCGAGAATAGAAAACAACAAAGACAGGTACAATCTGATACCAACATCAAGGCCTGAGAAGATCAATTGTTCCTTCTAGGTATTCACTAGCTAACACTTGCATGGAGGTATTTGTAGCCTAGCAGAACCCTAGTGTAGCTCCGATCAAGTGTCCCTACTAGTTTACTGATCAACTTGCCCGACGGCGATGACAGTCTCTCCTCTCGCGCCCTTGATCTTCCTTGGCTCTGATCCGTCGAACTTTACTTTCTCTGTTCTCATAATTGTTAGTTGCTTTCACCCGTAGAAGAGGAAGCTAACGAGCAAGAACAGTTAGGCAAGGAAAGGTCATCATCTCCTACCCAAAAAAAAAGGAAAGGTCATCAGGACAGGTTGAGCTGTCTTCCAGAACCTACAGTCCATCACATCCTTCCTTTTCTTGACACCAAATCCGCCGTTCAAACCTCTGTATTGTCACGATTTTAACCTCTGCATTGTCACGATTTTGGAGATGCGTCTGGAAACATGCCCCTGTTCTTGACTTCAATCAATGTGACTTCCAACGTTACTCGAGTTTCCGCAGACATGAAAGCAAGGTTTTGTCCCGCTGTTGTCCCCTGAATCTCCGCAAGCTGAGCTTCTTAGACCATGAGCTTAGGTCGGAGGGAAGAGGCGATTTTCAGACGTTCTTTGATAAACTGGCTGCAAACATTTTTTTTTATCATTGAGATTCCTGGTGAAAAGCAAAAGGCCAAGACTTGCCAAATAAGAAGAGATTAAAATCACAGGAAACAGAGGAGTTACTGACGGACACTTCCTTACTAGATCAGGTGATTATCAGCCGCAACTTGAGAGACACTCCACGGCAGTCCACAGTTAATCTGCTGGCAACAGAACAGAAGCCATCCCAGAAGCGATAAAACTGGAGATTGGAAGAGACGAAAGAACAGTTTAAGAAACCAAAGCACAGTAATAAGAGCGAAGTATAACAGTTCTTAGTAAGGAATGGATGTAATGATCACACCGATCTTGTATTCAGAATAATCCCAATTTGAGATTCAAGTTTTGCACAACCAATTAGCATAGGCCATAAGAGGAACAGAGTCAAACCAATGGGGGAAAGTCAACTAGCAAGTCCAAACAGAACAATCAAGACAAAATTTCTACGGTTTACTGTTCCATCAGGATTTGAAACAACTTCATATAACTACTTTTTCTGTACATTCTGGGGACTGTGCACAAGTTCCTACCTAAGAAGGCCATTTCTGGGCATGAAAACTCCTACTTCAGCAATCTCATTAACAAGATCAACAGTTTTTGACCAATGTGATCTTCCAACCCAGAGCCTGGGTTTGACGACCGTTGGAGCAATACAAACAAGGCAACCACACCCCAGAAACCGCCCACGAAACCCAGAACAACGCTGCCAGAGAACCAATGCAATGCATACTCTTCATCATTTTCTTCTCCATAAATTAAACCAGGCACTCTGTTGTTGCTGCTGCAGTCCACCTTCAATGGAGGCCCACAAAGTTCTCGATTGCCGATGAAGCTCCATGAATCAAAGCTCTGCAGTTGAGTGCTTGAAGGAATTATCCCACCCAAGTTGTTGTGCGACAAGTTCAAGAAATTCAAGAATGTGAGGCTTCCCAGGCTTGAAGGAATTGATCCGGCCAGCTGGTTCATCGAGAGATCCAAGGATTCAAGAGAGAGCATTGCGGTTAGATCCTCTGGTATTGCTCCAGATAATGCATTATGTGACAAGTTGAGATATTGAAGGGCTGCCAGGCTTGTGATCTGGTTGGGGATCTGTCCTGACAAGTTATTCCAGGAAAGGTCCAAACTTCTGACATAGTTCAGTATGGTGCTGTAATTGAACAACTGGCCTTTCCTCGCCAGAATCTGAGTATCCGAAAACAATTTACTCGCACCAGCAAAGAGGGAAATGAGACCCGAAGTATCATTGTTAGGAGTAGCCATGGCAGTGAGATTAGCAATACATTTTGGCAAGGTACCAGAAAGAGAGTTGTGAGAAAGATCTAAGATCTGTAACGATTGTAGGTTGCAAATCTCCTTAGGTATGCTGCCATGAAACTTATTCCTGCCCAAATTAAGAATGGACAATCTAGAAAAGCTTTGTCCAATCCATTCTGGAATCTTCCCTTCCAATCCATTATAACCCAAGTCAACTGTGATTAACCTGGAGCAGTTCTGGACGGATGGTGGAATTTCACCAGACAACCTATTGTTCTGGAGGCGCAAGGACTTGAGGGAACTTAAATACCCGAGGGACCTAGGGATCTTGCCACTGAGCTTGTTTCTGTCCAGCCTTATACTGGACAAGCTCTGCCAAGTCTTCCAACAATCTGGTATTTCGCCAGTCAATCTATTACCGTACAGGCTCAGAAATTCTGTAGCCCTCTTCTCGCTGGGGTTGAAACACAAGAACTTGAACAAGTTTCCAGAAAGCAGATTGTTGGAAAGGTCCAGAAATGTCAAGTAGGATGAAATAGTAGGCAGTGGACCTTCCAAGAAATTGGAGCTGAAATCAAACATTGATAAATTGTTTACAACAGCGATGACATGTGGAAGCCTTCCTGGGATTTGGTTGTGAGACAAATTCATATAGTAGAACTGAGACGACATGCTCCAGAACCAGTCAGGGATGGGTTCTGAAATTCCAGAGTTAGATAGATCAAGAGACTTGAGATGCTGCAAACTCTGCAACCAATGGGGGAATCCAGGTCCAACATAACAGGATTCTAGGTCTAATCTTTCGAGGAGCTTGGAAGGAACCCAATCTGGTTTAGCTTTCAACACCACCTTATTTCCAGAAACTATAAAGCAAGCCAGCCTTCTGAGATTGGCAAAATGAATTTCAGAGTAAATGACGCCCTGCAATTTGTTCTGAGAGATATCCAGGTACTCCAGCTGTGCCAATGCTCCAAAACTTGTTGGAATTGTCCCACTAATCTTGTTCCTTGCAAGGTTTACATGGTATAAGGATGTCATTTCTCCAAATGACATTGGAAGTGAACCAGAAATGGAATTATTTCCGAGGCTGAGACGATTAAGACTCTTGAAAACTCCAATCCGATCAGTCAACTGACCAGACAGTTGGCAACTAGACAACAACAATACCTGTAAAGTATCAGAAGCACATTCTGCAATGATTTCAAGCAACTCTGATACATTTTGATTCAGTATTACATTATGCAGAGAAAGTGACCTCAAATGGCAGAAGCTTTTGAATGACTCTGGAATTCCCCTCTCAAATTCAAGGCGACGATTGATTGACAGGTCAAGGTAAACAAGAGAAGACAAGTTTCCAATCCCAGCAGTTGAGACTTTACCATCCAACTGATTACCATATAGATTGAGTGTCTCAAGATGACTTAATCTATATAACCAGTTTGGTATTGAATGACTGAACCGATTCGAGGGCAAGGAAAGTGTCCTCAGTGAAGTAAGGTTTTGAAGTTGGTCAGGAATTGGACCATCAAAAGCGTTGACTCCTAGATTCAAGTAAGTAAGGCTCCGAAGATGAAAAACCCAACTAGGAACTGAAGTTTGAGCAAATTGATTGTAATGCAAACTAAGAACAGACAACGAAGACATGTTCAAATTCTTGAGGGGCGGGATATAACGGATACGACATCTTGATAGATACAATGCTGAAAGACTTGGGAGTTTGTTTATCATGTTCAACCAGTCAGAAGCATTGCTAAGATCGATATCACTCAAATCAAGGTATCTTAGTGAAGACATACCAGAAAGCCACCTCAAACTATCACCATATAGCACATAGCCTCTAGCAGCCTGCAGACCAAGTTGTTGCAGATTTGTGAGGTTTCCCAGTTGATGGGGAATGACTCCGCCAAATCCAGCTCCATCAAGGTAAAGATGGTTTAAACTACTCATAGAGCCAAGAAAACTTGGAATAGGAATCCCTTGAAAATGATTGTTTGACAGGTCCAAATAACTTAGATACTTCAACTGAAGCAATTGAGAATTTAGCTTACCACTAAACACAGAACCGTCCCAGGAAGACTCCCATCCGAGATGGAGCTCAGTGACATGGCTAGTAACATTATCACAGACAACACCAGACCACAAACAACAATCCCTTTGGACAACCCAAGATGACAGAGAGCTTGAAGGGTCTTCAAGATCAGCCTTGAACTTCAATAGGGCGTCTCTTTCATCTTGACCACAGCCTTCACTAGAAGTCACATGGCCAAAGCACAAGCAGCCCAAGCAGAGAAGAAGAGCTGCAACAGCAGTCATTGAGTTAAAGGTCATTAGTAGCGAAGGGCTCAAACCTCACGGCAAATATACCATATACAAGCATTGCTAGTAAGAGGACACAATGTATCATAGTATCATACCCCTTTTCAGGCTACTTCCTCCTTTGCTTGCGACTATTCAATGAAGAATTCTTCTGAGTTCCCAATAGAATCAGTCTAATTCTTGCCTTTAGCTGGGAGAAAAAGTATCAACTGCTGGCCACCGTCCCTTAATCATAAGATAAAACTGTCATTTTGTCTGCTTAAGTTCGGCTATTGCATAATAAAGCCGCAGGTATGAGATCATGAGACTGGAGCTTACCTTATCAATATATGAGTCCAAACAGAATGAGTCAAATTCTTGTTTTTTAGCTATGGGAAAAGGCATCTCAGCTGCTGCCCACCATTTCTTAGATGCTACTATGCACTATATGCCTCTTTTCCTGGACAAATGACAATTTGCAGCCTTCGCCAGCTCTTCCGGAAATCGATAGAAAAACCTGTCCATTCGTGAAACTCTGAGACTGGGTTTAGTCCGCAGTCCGGAGATCGAATTCCACGATCAGCCGGATCAGCAGCACCGGCAGCAGCAAGAAGCAGACACAAGGGATCGCCAGTGGCAAAAAAACAGCTGAATCGGGCGAGCCAAGAGGGATGGGTCAGCGGCGGCGGCGGCGGCGGCGGCGGCTTTAGAACCGCCGGCCGCCGCTGACATCGTAGGGAGAGGGACAGGGCGATCGTTGGAAAGGGTTTGGGCCATGGGGAAAGAGAACGATGAAGGATCCAATTTTACTGGAGGTGTTGTCTTTCCATTCCTATTTTTGGGCCTTCATTGGGACCATTTTTTGTGGATCCACTTTTTACTGGAGGCGGCCACAATGGTGATGGGCTTATTTCAAAATGGGCCCACTTTGTGGAATAGGCCTGGCTTTATTCGAGATGAGCCCACCAGTAGAATGATCCCCTATTGTTTTATAACTTTCCTATTGTACCAAACAAAAAAAAAACTGCAGAGAAATGAGTAGGGATGGCAATTTCGACCTGGCCCGATTTACCCGACCTGTTTGACCTGTTTTGGGGCGGGTCAAACCCGCTCCGTAGGCGAGGCGGGGCGGGCATGGGTACCTCTCATCGACCCGACCTGCCCTGACCCGCCCCATTCTGGACCCATTCTTGCCTAAATTACATTAATCTTAGTCAATTTACTTAAGATTTTCCTCTTATTAGATTATATTTTAGCTATAATAAAGTTGTAAATAAGTGAAAATCTCAATTTCTTCAGTAATTTAACTACATTTTATCATATTATGGTTTCTTTCTTGGTCTTTCAATGAAAAGAATGAATATTTCTAATGTTTTTCACATAAATTACACACCCAGTGGGTCGACCTGTCCCGACCCGCGCCCCGTGATAAATTACCCGACCTGGACCCGACCTGCCAAGGGGCGGGTATGGGTATCGAGATACCCGCCCCGGACCTGCCCCATTGCCATTCCAAATGAGAACATATATAGCACATCTGGTTTCAGACATTTTTTGATGACTTATGGCTACAGATATTTCCATCATTGAAATTCCTGGTAAAAAGTAAGAAGAGAAATGGCAAAGGAATCAGAGGAGTTTGATGGAAACTCTATTACCATATCAGGAAATTATCAGCCAAAACTTGAGAAGCTATCACAGAAGCGATAAAAGTGGACTGTTGAGAGATTAAAACCAAAGAAAAAGTCAATGACAAGTGCAGAGTGGACAATGAAGCTTGAATTTGTACAAAGGAGGTTTACTGTTCTATCAGGATTTGAGACAACCTCAGATGTTTAAGATGTTACTAAATCAAGGAAAGTAGAACCTGATATAACTACTGTTTCTGTAAATTACTTCAGCAATCTCGTCAACAAGACCAGCAGTTTTTGACCCATGTGATCCTTCAACTCAGATTCTGGGGTTTGTGACCGTTGGACCGACGAATGCTAAAGTGACGATCACACCCCAGAAACCGGCCACAAAACCGAAAACTACACTGCCAGAGAACCAATGCAAAGCATGTTCTTCATCGTTTTCTTCTCCATCCATTAAACCAGGCGCTCTGCTGTCATTGCTGCAGTCCGCCGCATTCAATGGAGGCCCACAAAGTTCTTGGTTGCCAATGAAGCTCCATGAATCAAAGCTCTGCAGTTGAGTGCTTGAAGGAATTTTACCAACCAAGTTGTTGTACGACAAGTTCAAGCAATTCAAGAATGTGAGGCTTCCCAGGGTTGAAGGGATTGACCCGGACAGTTGGTTCGTCGAGAGATCCATGGATTCAAGAGAGAGCATTGCGGTTAGATCCTCCGGAATTGCACCAGAGAATGAATTATGTGACAAGTTGAGATATTGAATGGCTACCAGGCTTGTGATCTGGTTTGGGATCCGTCCTGACAAGTTATTACTAGAAAGGTCCAGACTTCTGACATAGTTCAGTATGGTGCTGTAATCCAACAACTGCCCATTCCTCGTCAGAATCAGACTATCTGAAAACGATTTCCACGCACCAGCAAAGGGCGAAATGAGGCCTGAAGTATCATTGTTTGGAGTAGCCATGGCGCTGAGATTAGCAATGCATTTTGGCAAGATACCGGAGAGAGAGTTGTGAGAAAGATCCAAGATCTGTAAAGATTGCAGGTTACAGATCTCCTTAGGTATGCTGCCATGGAACTTATTCCCGGGTAAACTAAGAATGGACAATCTCGAAAGGCGTTGTCCCATCCATTCCGGAATCTTCCCTTCAAATCCATTATGACCCAAGTCAACTGTGACTAACCTGGAGCAATTCTGGAGAGACGGTGGAATTTCACCAGACAACCTATTGTTCTGAAGGCGCAAAGACCTGAGGGAACTTAAATATCCCAGGGATCTTGGGATCTTGCCACTGAGCTTGTTCCTGTCCAGTCTCATGATTGACAAGCTCTGCCAAGTCTTCCAACAATCTGGTATTTCGCCAGTCAATCTATTACCAAACAGGTTCAGAAATTCTGTAGCCCTCATTTCACTGGGGTTGAAACAAAAGAACTTGAACAAGTTTCCAGAAAGCAGATTGCTGGAAAGGTCTAGAAATGTCAAGTTGGATGAGATAGTAGGCAGTGCACCTTCCAAGCAATTGAAGCTGAAATCAAACAATGAATAAGTGCTCACAACAGGGATGACATGTGAAAGCCTTCCCGGGATTTGGTTGTGAGAGAAATTAAGATAGTAGAACTGAGAGGACATGCTCCAGAACCAGTCAGGAATGGGTTCTGAAATTCCAGAGTTAGATAGATCAAGAGACTTGAGATGCTGCAAACTCCGCAACCAATGGGGGAATACAGGTCCAACATAGCAAGATTCTAGGTCTAATTCATCAAGTAGCTTGGAAGGAACCCAATCTGGTTTAGCTTTCAAAACCATCTGATTTCCAGATGCATAAAAGCAAGCCAAATTTCTGAGATTGGCAAAATGAATTTCAGGGTAAATGACGCCATGCAATGAGTTCTGAGAGATATCCACATAATTCAGCTGTGCCAATGCCCCAAAACTTGTTGGAATTGTCCCACTGATCTTGTTTCTTGCAAGGTTTAAATAGTATAAGGATGTCATTTCTCCAAATGACATTGGAAGTGAACCAGAAATGGAATTCTTTCTAAGGTCGAGACGACTAAGTCTCTTGAAATCTCCAATCCGGTCAGTCAACTGACCACACAGTTGGGAATTAAACAACAACAATGCCTGCAAAGTATCAGAAGCACATTCTCCAAGGATTTCAAGCAACTCTGATACATTTTGATTCAGTATTACATTATTCAGAGAAAGTGACCTCAAATGGCAGAAGCTTTTGAACGACTCCGGAATTCCCCTCTCAAATTCGAGGCCATAATTGTCTGATATGTCAAGGTAAACAAGAGAAGACAAGTTTCCAATGCCAGCAGTTGAGACTTTACCATCCAACTTATTACCGCATAGATAAAGCGCCTCAAGATGACTTAATCTATATAACCAGTCTGGTATTGGATGATTGAATCGATTGCCGGACAAGGAAAGGGTCCTCAGTGAAGTCAGGTTTTGAAGCTGGTCAGGAATCGGACCATCAAAAGTGTTCACTCCTAGATCCAAGTAAGTAAGACTCCGAAGATGAAAAACCCAACTAGGAACTGAAGTTTGAGCAAATTGATTGTGATACAAACTAAGACCAGATAACAAAGACATGTTCAAATTCTTGAGGGGTGGGATATAACGGATACGACAGTTTGATAGATACAATTCCGAAAGAGTTGGGAGTGTGTTTATCATGCTCAACCAGTCAGAAGCATTGCTGAGATCGACATCACTCAAATCAAGGTATCTTAGTGAAGACAGACCAGAAAGCCACCGCAAACTATCAGCATATAGCACATAATCTCTAGCAGCCTGCAGGCCAAGTTGCTTCAGATTTGTGAGGTTTCCAAGTTGATGAGGAATGACTCCGCCAAATCCAGATCCATCAAGATAAAGATGCTTTAAACTACTCATAGAGCCAAGGAAACTTGGAATAGGAATCCCTTTAAAATGATTGTTGGACAGGTCCAAATAACTGAGATACTTCAACTGAAGCAATTGAGAATTTAGCTTACCACTAAACACAGAACCGTCCCAGGAAGACGACCACCCGAGATGGAGCTCAGTGACATGGCCAGTAAAATTATCACAGACAACACCTGACCATATACAGCAATCCCTTTGGACAACCCAAGATGACAGAGAGCTTGAAGGGTCTTCAAGATCAGCCTTGAACTTCAAAAGGGCTTCTCTTTCATCTTGATCACAGCCTTCACTAGAAGTCGCACGGCCAAAGCACACGCAGCCCAAGCAAATAAGAAGAGCTGCAACAGCAGTCATCCTGTTAAAGATCATTAGTAGCGAAGGGCTCAACTTTAGAGCAAATATACCATATACAAGCGTTGTCTTACCCCTTTTCAGGCTACATCTTTCCTGCTTTGCTGGGACTCTTCAGTGAAGAATTCTTCTGAGTTCCCACTTGAATTCAGCCAAATTCTTGCTTTCTTAACCCTTTGCAGGCTACATCTTTCCTGCTTTGTTGGGACTCTTCAACGAAGAATTCTTCTGAGTTCCCAATAGAATTCAGCCAAATTCTTGATTTTAGCCAAGAGAAAAAACATCAGCTGCTGGCCACCATTCCTTAAACATAAGATAGAATTGTCATTTTGTCTGAATCATAGTGAACCGAAGAAGCTGGAGAATCTGAATCATAGTCTACAGTGTACTGTCTATATAGTATGAAGAGGTTTGAAGATGCATCACAGCAGATCTCATAAGCTTGTTTTTGTGTTAGAGTTGTATTACTGCAACATCAGGCCTGATTTCAACCAGTCCTGGGAACTTAATTTGCAGCTTGACTTTGTCTTGTACTTTAATTCCCCCCTTATAATAATTGATGTCATCCCTATATAAAGAAAGAAAGTTCGGCTGGTGGCGTCAATTTCAGCCTTTGGTGGCATCGCTTCCTGCGCTTTGGGCGCTCCCAATTCGAGATTTTTCAATGTGGATGATATTAAAAGTTAAAATTTCATAACCAGATGATTTTTGGTTTACTCAATCAGATGACATATCATAACTACCCCTGGATGGCTTCTTGAATGTTATTTTGACACTAGTGTGTGCCGATTTTCTTGCTCTTTAGGGCTGATTGTTCATGACGTTGATGCTCAGTTAATCGGCAATTATCCAGGACGATCATCAAGGGTAACTCTGAGGTTGACATCCGACAGTTCCAAAAGGGCATTCATACTCGATAACAATTAGAAGATATGTATCCCTCCCTGGCTAAGTTCGAACTCTAGCTGCAGAGAAATGAGAACATAGCACCAGCATACCATAATAAGAGAAAAATCAAAGGAAACAGAGGAATTAATAATGGAATCTTACCAGTGCAGGCGATTATCAGCCACAACTAGAGAGGCCCCTCCAAGGCAGTACCCAGTTTAGTCTGCTTTCAACACAACAGAAACCATCCCAAAAGCGATAAAGTCGAAATTGAACGAGAAGGAAAAAAAAGTCGAGAGATAAAACCAAATGAGTGTAGTAAATAATTATATCAGGATCAGTGATTCTCAGCAAGGAATGGATGTAATGATCCCCATCATGAATTCAGAATAAACCCATTTGAGATACAATTTTTGCAGAACCAACTCGCATGGAGAAAGAGAGTCAAAACCAATGGAAAAAAGAAGTATAACAGTGTCACAATTGGAAAAGTCAACAACAAGTGCAAACTGAACATTCAAGCTTGAATTTCTACAGTGCAACAAAGAGGATTACTGTTTCATCAGGATCGAAACAGCCGCTGATGTTTAAGCTGTTACTAAACCATGGAAAGTAGAACCTGATATAAATACTCTTTTTCTGTACATTCTAGGCACTGTGTGCACAAGTTCCTCCCTAGGAATGCCCTTTCTGGGCATGACAACGCTCCTACTTCAGCAATCTAATTAACAAGATCCACAGTTTTTTACCTGTGTGATCCTTAAACTCAGACTCTGGGTTTGTTGACAGTTGGATGAATGCAAAAGTGGCAACCACACCCCAGAAACCGCCCACGAAACCCAAAGCTACGCTGCCAGAGAACCAATACAATGCGTGCTCTCCATCATTTTCTTCTCCGTCCATTAAACCAGGCACTTTGCTGTCATTGCTGCAGTCCACATTCAATGGAGGCCCACAAAGTTCTTGGTTGCCAATGAAGCTCCATGAATCAAAGCTCTGCAGTTGAGTGCTTGAAGGAATTTTACCAACCAAGTTGTTGTACGACAAGTTCAAGTAATTCAAGAATGTGAGACTTCCCAGGGTTGAAGGGATTGATCCGGACAGCTGGTTCATCGATAGATCCATGGATTCAAGAGAGAGCATTGCGGTTAGATCCTTCGGAATTGCACCAGAGAATGAATTATGTGACAAGTTGAGATATTTAAGGGCTGCCAGGCTTGAGATCTCGTTGGGGATCTGTCCTGACAAGTCATTCCAAGAGAGGTCCAAACTCCTTACATAGTTCAGTATGGTGCTGTAGTCCAACAACTGCCCTTTTCTCACAAGAATCTGAGTATCCAATAATGATTGCCCACGAACACCATAAACTGCAATGACCCCTAAAGTATTATTATTTGGAGTAGCCATGGCACTGAGATTAGCAACACATTCTGGCAAGGCCCCAGAGAGAGAGTTGTGAGAAAGATCCAAGATCTGTAAAGATTGCAGGCCACAGATCTCCTTAGGTATACTGCCATGGAACTTATTCCGGCGTAAACTAAGAATGGATAATCTGGAAAGGCTTTGTCCCATCCATTCCGGAATCTTCCCCTCCAATCCATTATCACTCAAGTCAACTATGACTAACCTGGAGCAGTTTTGGAGGGATGGTGGAATTTGACCGGACAGCCTATTGTTCTGAAGGCGCAAAGATACGAGGGAACTTACATATCCAAGGGACTTTGGGATCTTGCCACTGAGCTTATTTCCTCCCAGCCTTATGCTCGACAAGCTCGGCCAAGTCTTCCAACAATCTGGTATCTCACCAGTCAAATTATTACCATATAAGCTTAGAAATTCTGTAGCCCTCATCTCACTGGGGTTGAAACACAAGAATTTGAACAAGTTTCCAGAAAGCAGATTGTTGGAAAGATCAACAAATGTCAAGTTGGATGAGATAGCAGGAAGAGGACCTTCCAAGAAATTGGAGCTGAAATCAAAATATGAAACAGTGAGAACTACAGGTATGACATGTGGGAGCCTTCCAGGGATTTGATTGCGAGAGAAATTCAAATAGTAGAACTGAGATGATATGCTCCAGAACCAGTCAGGAATGGGTTCTGAAATTCTAGAGTTTGATAGATCAAGAGACTTGAGATACTGCAAACTCTTGAGCCAATGGGGAAATCCAGGTCCAACATACCAGGATTCTAGGTCCAAGTCTTCAAGTAGTTTGTAAGGAACCCAATCTGGTTTAGCTTTCATCACCATCTTGTTTCCAGATGCATAAAAGCAAGACAGCTTTCTGAGGTTGGCAAAGTGAATTTCAGGGTAAACAACACCATGCAACGAGTTCTGAGAGATATCCACATAAGCCAGCTGTGCCAATTCCCCAAAACTTGTTGGAATTGTCCCACTGATGTTATTTCTTGAAAGGTCTACATCAATCAAGGAAGTCATTTCTCCGAATGACATTGGAAGTGAACCAGAAATGGAATTATTTCCGAGGATGAGGCGGTAAAGTTTCTTGAAATTTCCAATACGACTGGTCAACTGACCAGACAGTTGGCAATTAAACAACAACAATACTTGTAAAGTATCAGAAGCACATTCTCCAAGGATTTCAAGCAGCTCTGATACTTTTTGATTCAGTTTTACATTTTGTAGAGAAAGCGACCTCAAACGGCAGAAGCTTTTGAATGACTCTGGAATTCCCCTCTCAAATTCGAGTCCATGATTGACAGACAAATTAAGGTCAACAAGAGAAGACAAGTTTCCAATGCCAGCAGTTGAGACTTTACCATCCAAATGATTACCATATAGATCAAGTGTCTCTAGATGACTAAATCTATACAACCAGTTTGGTATTGAATGATTGAATCGATTGGAGTTCAATGAAAGGGTCCTCAGTGAAGTAAGGTTTTGAAGCTCGTCAGAAATTGGACCATCAAAAGAGTTGATTCCTAGATTCAAGTAAGTAAGGCTCTGAAGATGAAAAACCCAACTAGGAACTGAAGTTTGATCAAAATCATTCTGCTGCAAACTAAGAGCAGACAACGAAGACATGTTCAAATTATTGAGGGGAGGGATATGACGGATACGACAGTTTGATAGATACAATTCTGAAAGAGATGGGAGTGTGTTTATCATGTTCAACCAGTCAGAAGCATCACTAAGATCGACATCACTTAAATCAAGGTACCGTAGTGAAGACATACCAGAAAGCCACTTCAAACTATCAGCATATAACACATTACGCCTCGCAGCCTGCAGGCCAAGTTGATGCAGATTTGAGAGGTTTCCCAGTTGATGAGGAATAACTCCTCCAAATCCAGCTCCATCAAGGTAGAGGTGCTTTAAACTACTCATAGAGCCAAGAAAACTCGGAATGGGAATCCCTTGGAAACGATTGTTTGACAGGTCCAAATAACTGAGATACTTCAGCTGAAGCAATGAAGGATTTAGCTTACCGCTAAACACCGAGTCGTCCCTGGAAGAAGGCCATCCAAGATGGAGCTCGGTGACATGGCCGGTAAAATTATCACATACAACACCGGACCATGTACAGGGATCCTGGCCAACCCAAGATGATAGAAAGCTTGTAGGGTCTTCAAGATCATCCTTGAACTTCAAAAGGGCTTCCCTTTCATCTTGACAACAGCCTTCACTAGAAGTTACATGGCTGAAGTACATGCAACACAAGCAGACAAGAAGAGCTGCAACAGCAGTCATTGAGTTAAGGGTTATTAGTTGGGAAGGCTCAAACTCGCAGCAAGTATACCATATACAAGCATTGCTAGTAACAGAACGCAATGTGTCTCAACTCTTTTGAAGCTAATCTTTCCTGTTTTCACGGAATTCTTCATTGGAGAATTCTCCTGAGTTCCCAATAGAATGAGTCAGTCTTCAGTCAAATTCTTGATTTTAGCTAAGGGAAAAAGTATCAGCTGCTGCCCCCCGTCTCTTAATCATAAAATAGATCTGTCATTTTGTGTGGTTAGGTTGAGCTGTTGCAATATATTCCTGTCCTTCCTGTAAAGCATATGAAGTCACGAGGATGAGACAAGACTGATGAGGGAGAAAGCTTTCATCATCACTAAAATAATACATTCCTGAGTTTCCAATAGCATTAATACCCGTCTTCAGACAAATGGTTTGTTTAGCTAAGAGAAAAAGTATCATTTGCCGTCCACCATCTGTTAATCATGAAATCGAACTGCCAATTTATCTGGTTAGATTCAGGCATTCAGCTGTTGCGTTGTATTCCTCTCCTTCGTGAAAAATAACAAACCAAAAGGATGAGACAAGACACTTAAATATCAACTAAGAAACTATTGGGGAAAATGAGATAAGAATACTCACACATACGCCAATTTCAAGCAACAATGTGCTTCTGTGAAAAAGAAACGTATGCCAAAGCCAAAATCTAAACTTGAGGGCAGCAACGGTGACAAATGACGAGTACATGAAATAGCGACGTGATGGTCTGGGCCTGGGGGCGCTAGCAAGCTTCTCCAAATGAGGTTCTGATGCAAAGGATTTAGTACTTGTGATAAGCTTCGTCCCCGAGTTTTTGTTGAGAGGAATTGAGATCAGGCAATATCGTTAGGAGACCATTGAATGATTTGAATCAATAGCATAACTCATGGTCCTAGCTCGATTCTAGCATTGTGCTCATTGCGACATTTACAGATGGCAGGCAACCTAATCCAATAAACACACTCATCCAAAAAGTACAGTCACAGATAAACCTACTTACCCTTCATTCCCCAGCAGGGGCATTAGCGGGAACTCGGCACTAACTGCAAACGAAAGGCTGGGGACGAAAAAAACATGCGCGGAGGAGGTAGACTGGTGAGGCAATTTTGCCGGTGCCAGAAAGCAATGAACATCAAACGCTCTGGCCGTGAGCTGGGCAATGATCGGAAAATGCGCCCCGAAGAAGAAGCTAATACTATAGACACGTTCAGCAATCTTCCAGAACCCATTCTTTATCACATCCTTTGTTTCTGGACACCAGATCGGCCGTTCAAACCTTTGTATTGTCCCGTTCGTGGCCATGCGCTTGGAAGCACATCCCCGTCCTCCATCATTGCAGCCATCCCTTCAAACGATATCCCATCTTCAGAACGTATGCTGAAAAAGTTCTGTCCCTCCGCCGTAAGGTGATAAGCTTACGGAGATCATTAGCCTATTGATAAGCTTCGTCCCGGAGATTTTGTTGGAGGAATTGAGTCTGCCATAAGAACAACGCAAAAAGAACCAAGTCTAATACTAGCATAATACAGAATTTTTGTGAATGAATACTATCAATGTAGTCAAAACCGCGTTTCTACATCGAAGAGTTTTGGCGATTTAGAAGCGTAAAACCGTAAATTTGGAATGTTTAAAGCGCATTTTAACTACATTAGTTATAAAAACTGAGTTTTTACATAGAAGCGTTTTGGTTACCTAAAAACGTAAAAGCATAAATTTTTAAACTTTAAAGTGCGAGTAATTGCTATCATGAACCCGGAATAATCTCATTTGAGAAACAATTTGCACAACCAATTAGCATGTGGAAAACATGGTCAAAACCAACAGAATAAAGAACCAATTGTAACAGGTATCACGGCTGGAAAAATCAGTAACTAGTGCCAAACTGGACAATCAAGCTTGTATTTTTGCGGTGCAACTAGGTTTCCTTTTAGTACCAGTATCACCATGAGAAAAAAGTTGCAACAGATTTTAGTAGTATTAGTATGTGTCTTTCTGCATTATCCTCTAACCTATCTAAGGATACAATAAATTTTAATAAGAATATTCATAAGGAAATGACAAAGTCTAGGAGGATAGCAGTTAATTTAAATCACTTACAGCTAAAGGCAAACTTCATAATGTTGATAGAATGACCGATATAACTACTGTTTCTGTACATTTTGGGCACTGTGCACAAGTTCCTTGCTAAGAATGCCCTTTCTGGGCATGAACGTGCTCCTACTTCAGTAATCTCATTAACAAGATCCACAATTTTTTACCCATGTAGTCCTTGAACTCGGAATCTGGGATTGTCGACAGTTGGATGAATGCAAAAGTGGCAACCACACCCCAGAAACCGCCCACAAAACCCAAAACTACGCTGCTAAAGAACCAATACAATGCATGTTCTTCATCAATTTCTTCGCCGTCAATTAAACTATGCAATCTGCTGTCATAGCTGCAATCCACATTCAAAGGAGGCCCACAAAGTTCTTGGTTGCCAATGAAGCTCCATGAATCGAAGCTCTGCAGTTGAGTGCTTGAAGGAATTTTACCACTTAAGTTGTTGTACGACAAGTTCAAGTGATTCAAGAACGTGAGACTTCCTAGGCTTGAAGGAATTGATCTGGACAGCAGGTTCATCGATAGATCCATGGATTCAAGAGAGAGCATTGCGGTCAGATCCTCCGGAATTGCACCAGAGAATGAGTTATGTGACAAGTTGAGATATTTAAGGGCTGCCAGGCTAAAGATCTCGTTGGGGATCTGTCCTGACAAGTCATTCCAAGAGAGGTCAAAACTCCTGACATAGTTGAGTATGGTGCTGTAGTCCAACAACTGCCCTTTTGTCACCAGAATCTGAGTATCCAACAATGATTGCCCCTGAACACCATAGACTGCAATGACCCCTAAAGTATTATTGTTTGGAGTAGCCATGGCACTAAGATTAGCAACACATTCTGGCAAGGCCCCAGAGAGAGAGTTGAGAGAAAGATCCAAGATCTGTAAGGATTGCAGGTCACAGATCTCCTTAGGTATGCTTCCATGGAACTTATTCTTGCGTAAACTAAGAATGGACAATCTTGAAAGGCTTTGTCCCATCCATTTCGGAATCTTCCCCTCCAATCCATTATCACTCAAGTCAACTATGACTAACCTGGAGCAGTTTTCGAGGGATTGTGGAATTTCACCAGACAGCCTATTGTCCTGAAGGCGCAAGGATTTGAGGGAACTTACATATCCAAGGGACTTTGGGATCTTGCCACTGAGCTTGTTTCCTCCCAGCCTTATGCTCGATAAGCTCGGCCAAGTCTTCCAACAATCTGGTATCTCACCAGTCAAATTATTACCATATAAGCTCAAAAATTCTGTAGCCCTCATCTCACTGGGGTTGAAACACAAAAACTTGAACAAGTTTCCTGAAAGCAGATTGTTGGAGAGGTCCAGAAATGTCAAGTTGGATGAGATAGCAGGCACTGGACCTTCCAAGCAATTGAAGCTGAAATCAAAATATGATATAGTGATAACTATAGGTACGACATGTGGGAGCCTTCCAGGGATTTGGTTGTGTGAGAAATTCAAATAGTAGTACTGAGATGATATGCTCCAGAACCAGCCAGGAATGGGTTCTGAAATTCCAGAGTTTGATAGATCAAGAGACTTGAGATGCTGCAAATACTGGAGCCAATTGGGAAAACCAGGTCCAACATACCAGGATTCTAGGTCCAATTCTTCAAGCACCATTGAAGGAACCCAATCTGGTTTAGCTTTCAGCACCATCTTGTTTCCAGATGCATAAAAGCATGTCAGCTTTCTCATGTTGGCAAAGTGAATTTCAGGGTAAACAACACCATGCAATGAGTTCTGAGAGATATCCATATAACCCAGCTGTGCCAATGCCCCAAAACTTGTTGGAATTGTCCCACTGATATTGTTTCTTGCAAGGTTTACATAGTCTAAGGATGTCATTTCTCCTAACGACATTGGAAGTGAACCAGAAATGAAATTATTTCCAAGAGTGAGACGGTTAAGTCTCTTGAAATTTCCGATCCGATCAGTCAACTGACCAGTCAGTTGGCAATTAAACAACAACAATATCTGTAAAGTATCAGAAGCACATTCTCCAAGGATTTCAAGCAACTCTGATATATTTTGATTTAAGATTACATTTTGCAGAGAAAGCGATCTCAAACGACAGAAGCTTTTGAACGACTCTGGAATTCCCCTCTCAAATTTGAGGCCATGATTGACTGACAAGTCAAGGTCAACAAGAGAAGACAAGTTTCCAATGCCAGCAGTTGAGACTTTACCATCCAACTGATTACCAGATAGATTGAGTGTCTCAAGATAACGTAATCTATACAACCAGTTTGGTACTGAATGATAGAATTGATTGGAGGACAAGCGAAGGGTCTTCAGAGAAGTAAGATTTTGAAGTTGGTCAGGAATCGGTCCACCAAAAGAGTTGTATCCTAGATTCAAGTAAGTAAGGCTCTGAAGATGAAAAATCCAACTAGGAACTGAAGTTTGATCAAACTGATTGTGATACAAACTAAGAGCATACAACAAAGACATGTTAACATTCTTGAGGGTAGGGATATGATGGATTCGACAGTTTGATAGATACAGTTCTGAAATAGATGGGAGTGTGTTTATCATGCTCAACCAGTCAGAAGCACCACTAAGATCGACATCACTCAAATCAAGGTATTCTAGTAAAGACAGACCAGAAAGCCACTTCAAACAATCAGCAGATAACACATAATCTTTAGCAGCCTGCAGGCCAAGTTGATGCAGATTTGAGAGGTTTCCCAGTTAATGAGGAATGACCCCTCCAAATCCAGATCCATCAAGGAAGAGGTGCTTTAAAGTACTCATAGAGCCAAGAAAACTTGGAATGGGAATCCCATGGAAATTATTGTTTGACAAGTCCAAATAACTGAGATACTTCAACTGAAGCAATGAAGGATTTAGCTTACCAGTGAACACAGAGTCGTCCCTCAAAGAAGGCCATCCGAGATGGAGCTCAGTGACATGGCCAGTAAAATTATCACAGACGACTCGGGACCATGTACAACAATCCCTTTGACCAACCCAAGATGATAGAAAGCTTGAAGGGTCTTCAAGATCTGCCTTCAACTTGAAAAGGGCTTCTCTTTCATCTTGACCACAGCCTTCACAAGAAGTCCCATGGACAAAGAACATCCAGGCCAAGCAAACAAGAAGAGCTGCAACAGCAGCCATTGAGTTAAGGGTCGGTAGTTGTGAAGGCTCAAATTCACAGCAAATATACCACATACAAGCGTTGCTAATAACAGAACGCATTGTATCTTAACTCTTTCGAAGGTACATTATTCCTGCTTTCCTGTGACTTTTTAATTGATAAATTATCCTGAGTTCCCAATAGAATGAGCCACCGTCTTCACCAAATTCTTGCTTTTAGCTAAGGGAAAAAGTATCATCATCTGAGTTCCCACTAGAAAAGGCTATCATTATCAATAATATAACACAATTCTGAGTTTCCAATTGAATGAATCACTGTCTCCAGTCAAATTCTTGTTTTTAGCTTAGAAGGAAAAATCTATCATTAGTTTTTTGACATAAGTAAGCAGAGAAATTAACGTCAAAAGGAAAGATACTGGAATTGATCCAATATCGAAGTCTGGAAACCACTTAGCAACAATTATGAGAAAAGGAGAAACTCATGAAATGATATGATACCGATGATCAAGAAGATTCTACAGGGATGATGAAGAACACAAAGACTAGTAAGTAGTAACTAATCCTAGTAGGCAATAAATAACACCCAAGTGTGAAAACAAAATTGTGGTTGGTCTCGTCATCCTACTAACACAATCCTATCACTAAACTAAATCCCTGAAGTGAATAAATAGCATAACTCATAATTCTTCTCGATTCTAGCATTGTGTTCCATTGCGACATTTCCACAAACAGATGGCAGGCAACCTAGTCCAATAAACACACTCATCCAAAAACTATAGCCACGTTCCCATAAAAAATCTCCTTACCTTCATTCCCCAGCAGCGGCGTTAAACTCGACACTGACTGCAAATCCGTTCTTTCAGCAGCAGCGAATGGAATCGCAAATCGGACAACGTGAAGGGAGAATCGGAAAGTAGCGTCTGGAATACTCTTCGCGAATTGGAAACCGGAAGGGATAAAAGGGAAGACATTTCTGTCTTCAGAAAAGGGCAAAGAGGCCACGAGCCCACGACTGGTGTGGCATCTGTGCCGGCGCCGACGACTTGAGCGACGGCGAAGTCCACTTGCGTTGGCGGATGAAAATCGATGCGGTGGCCTGGGACCGCCACTAAGTAACGAACTTTACATGGGGCAAAAACTAAAACTGCGGAAGGGTGTATTTGTCAAATTTCATTGGTGTAACCGTTAAGTGAGAGCTAAGCAAAACAAATAATTTTGGGGACTATTTGTTAGCTGAGACAAAGTATAAGGGTTGATCTGACACATAACCCAGCCTCTATTCCAAATCCTAATTCAAACTCTCAGTTTGCTCCGTTTGTGAGTTAACACTAGGTGATTAACAAGTTTCTTTCCATGACTCAAATTATTGACACTATTCTAGGTCTGCAAACTATCAAATTGAATTAAATCAACATTTGGATTCGACCCAATGAATATAATGTTATCCAATATCTATTTCTCAGGAACTAGATGAAAAAAAAAATATAAAAATCCATACATAAAGAAAAGGTTGTGTTACGACTTACGAGAACCTAACCTGGAGAGCGGATCTGGTGACTAAGGGGGGGTGCTTAGTCACTTGGCTAAGTCCCTCCTAGCCATTAGATCTGGACACTTCAATCCAATGGTTAAAAAGTGGGAAGGGCTATTTAATTAATGACAGGGGTAGTTTGGGTATTATGGAAAATTACGAAGTATACAAACCGGATTTACAATCTGTACAAACCATACAAACATACGAACAGTACAAACTAGAGCGACAAAACATACAAACAGATTTACAAACATTACAAACGTATGAACTGTACAAACAATACAAACTAGACCGACAAACAATACAAACCATACAAAAAGAAAAAACAACCGGGTTGACTTTTGAGGCTCCATCCCTATATAGAGGGGCTCCTTCCCAAAGTCAACCCGGGTGTTTTTTAGACATACAAACAGTACGAACATGATGGACAAAAATGACAAACTAGACCGACAATCCATACGAACGGGAAAAAACACCCGGGTTGACTTTGGAGGCTCCATCCCTATATAGAGGGGCTCCTTCCCAAAGTCAACCCGGGTGTTTTTTAGACATAAAAAACATTACGAACATGGTGCACAAAAATGACAAAGTTTACAAACATGGTGCACAAAAATAACAAAGTTTACAAACATTACAAAAAAAAACGACAAACATTACAAAATAACAAAACATACAAACATTACAAAATATGTCAACAAACATCACAAAATCAGCAACGTCGCCGGGAAATTCTTCTCCGACGAGTATGTTCGCCGGAAAAAATTTTCCGACCAGAAAATCTCTCTCTCTCTCTCTCTCTCTCTCTCTCTCTCTCTCTCTCTCTCTCTCTCTCTCTCTCTCTCTCTCTCTCTCTCTCTCTCTCTCTCTCTCTCTCTCTCTCTCTCTCTCTCTCTCTCTCTCTCTCTCTCTCTCTCTCTCTCTCTCTCTCTCTCTGGGAATAATTAGAGAAATAATGGCGCATGAGAGAGGTGGGGAAACTCTCCTGCCCAGGGGAGCCACCGCCGAACAACCGGACGGAGACGAGAGGTTGCGGCCGGCGCTGTTTAATTTTTTTTATTCATTTTATAATTAAATATAAAAAATAAACATGCAATTACTACATTGCCCTTCATTAAATTGGATTAATAGGAACCCTTGGATTTTAATGAAGTTGTGTGGCTGAGATTCACTTAGCCATATAACTAAGGGGACCCCCTTAGTCACCTGATCCAGCCCCCTAACCTGGAGTCCATTTTGAGGAATGGACAACTCACTGCATATTACTTAACGTGACACCGTGAATGTGAGTGAAGATTAAACCAACTAGAATTTTTGTGTAATTAATTAATTAATAATTAAGTCACTAAATGAAAGTATTTTTTTCATCAATCTCATCTATCAGTATGCCAATTTTTTTCTCGTAATCACATAATTTCAATTGACTAATAACGTTCTCTCAAAAAAAAAATTGACTAATCACGCAATTTTGTCAACCACTTATAATTTCATGCTGGGTATATAAGAAATTCCTACTATTTGAACCAAAAATGCCCTCTTTCCGAGCAAACAATGACTGCTAATTAAACTTCGAGTTTTTTTTTATGGGAATATATTATTAACAAATATAAACAAGAAACAAACATAAAACAAGAACACAAACAAGAAACAAGAGTCATGTTATTAAAGTCAAATATCAATCTCTCAATACAAATTATCCATATATAAAACACCATTCTAGAAAATTCAAGCAAATCACAAATTAACTATACAGATTGTTCAACACCAATCTAGAAAACTCAAGAAAATTGAAGCAAATCACAAATTATCCATAAACAACATGATTAATTGAAAGTTTCTTCCTCCTTGTCAATTAAGTTTCTTCACTCTCCACTCGATAACATCAACTTTATTCTACGCAATTATAAAGAAAAAAATTAGACATGTCTCCACAAACATAAATAAGATTAGTTGTTTAGAATATTAAATATACCGAGAAAATTAATTATATGGGTGTGGAAGGGTACCCATGAGGCGGCTTTACCTAAACCCAAAACCAACCCAGCCCGGTGAATAGTGAACGGATTTAAACCCGAACCCGGCCCAAAACCCGTCAACACGAATTTTACCCGCGTTGACCGGGTTACGTCGGATGGGTACACGTGAGTTCGGGTTTTATTGCCACCCCTAATTACATATCGCTCAACTTTATTGTCGTCGGATTTGGCTCAAGTGTTACAAATTTTCTTTGATTAGTTTTTTGTCTTAATGTGACGAATAAAATCATAAAAAAAGTCTGCTCTAATTTAATGCTTATGTACTCAAAGTCAAACACCCATAAAAATTGCAACGTACTAATTAATTACCTGACATTTCAAATCTAGTTGAAAACCCACTTATATCCCCAAAAAATTGAGTTATTACCGCTTTTCACCTCACATTACCATCTATATAAACACCCCTTTATTCGACATTCCAAACCATGAGCAAGACCCTAAATTAACAACGGTGAAGAAAGTGGTTAATTACCATACAAATAAATCATGATCGGGTGCTTCTTGATCGCGGTCCTGTTAATCTTGACCGCCTCCTCCTCTGCCGTAAGAGTATCCTCTAACGGCGGCGGCGGCGGCTTGTTGTCGTACCAACATGTCTCCGTTTCCAGCGAGCTGACCGGCGGGAAGGTGTTGTTGGTCCACTGCAAGTCGGCGGACGATGACCTCGGGATCCACAACTTGACGGCGGGGTCAGAATTCAAGTGGCAGTTCGTTCCATTGATCCAGGGCGGAACCACCTTGTTTTGGTGCTACCTGGCGCCGGATGACAGCCACCACGCCTCCTTTGAAGCCTACAACAACGACCACCGAATCTATGAGTACAAAACGCACACGTATTGGATCGGCAAAGACGACGGCGTTTACGCGAAGCTCGTGGACAAAAATGTAGACATGCTGGTCTACCATTGGTTGGACTAGAGGCCCGAGCCCGACCCAAATCGGTTGATCATCTAGGAAGACATGATGTACATTTTGACGACTATCGTACATTATTGTTACTGGAAGGAAAACAATGAGTTCGGTTTCATCTAAATCTAATGCTAAAAAATAATAATTTTTGGTTCGATTTATTTGGTAAATCTTGTGGTTGGGTAGTATTTCTGGTTCGATTATGGTTCCACCATTAGGCCTTATTAATTTGGTCAAATTGATAGGTATTTTATGTTTTTAAGAGACGAAATTTTAGAAGAAAGACAATAAAGTTTTTCGTTAGTGTTGGGCCACGTAGTTGAGCGGTCATGGGCCTCGGGTCCAGGAGAAAAGCACCAGCTAGTTGGGCCCAATGGAGTATCCGGCCAGGGAGATCAGGGTGACAGGCGGTCTCAGACCGACTCCAAGCCCAAGGAGTGTCCAGAACCGCCTGACATAAAGCGACTGACCATGACAGAAAGCAAAGATCCGTTGAGATACGTACCTCGAGTTGGGTAAGACTGAGCATTTATTACCCGCCGCGGGCGGTCCACCTAGGGAGAAGATCTGTCAGGGACGCCTGACAGATCATTAAATGACTCAACCACCACCACACCAGGTATAAATGCACCGTGAGAGCATTGATGGTAAACTCAACTACTCTCTCCCTCTCTCTCTCTCTAGAACAAACACATAATTACACACTTCTCTATCTAACTTAAGCATTGGAGGGTGTCCCGGGCAACCGCCCACGGACCCTTGTTTTGCAGAGATCTGGAGTGCGCCCTCCTTCCAAGAACAGACGCTTCACCGCTGTCCTACAAACCGCCTAGTACTTACTAAGCACAAACAGTTAGGGATTAAACAAACGAGTACTATTACACACTATTATATGATATAATTTTACTAGCTACTGCTTAAGCAAACTAGTGTAGGTTGAGAGTTGAGACTGGAGCCCAGTACTGTGTCCACAAAACCACTCTGGAATTGGATCAAGGCCGGTTTGAGTTGAGCCTGGAAGACAATAAGGGCTAGGGCTGGGGCTGGAAAAATAGACCAGACCGTTAGAAAAAACCATGGTTCAAACCGTACCACACAGTTTGGTCCGGACCGTAGACCGTTAAGTATGGTCTGGTCTATGGTCTGTATTATTTTATGTTTTGATCTCTTGGTATGCTCTGTTCTAGACCGCGGTTTATCGGACCAAACCGTGGACCCAACCGACTTGTCAATACGTGTTAACAGCCCATTCGACCACTCTTCCAACTCCCACAACGACACCCAAGTCTCAACCTTAGTTTGTGAATCTCGTCCCTCCTTCATTCACAACCACATTTAACCAGAGAGTAGAGATAATTGTGTCTCCATATGATATTATGTTAATGTTTACGACGTTATAGTGCAAGTTGGGATGCTTTTACTTTGTAATGTATCTTTGTTATGTACTAAGATTTAGGGCATCAAAATTATTCATGCATGTTAGGATTAATGTGTTAAGGAAAATAACAATTATTTTTCTTGGTTATTTGTTCAACTTTTTGTGTGGTTGACTAAACAAATTATTCATTTTTCGTTGAGTATGGTCTATCTGGACCAGACCAGACCGCACATGCGTGGTCTGGACCGGATCGTATAGTTTGTGGTTTGTTCTATGGTCTATACTTCAGCCTCTCGGTCTGGATCATAGACCGTATATATGGTCTGGTCTGGACCAGACCGCACCGTTTTCCAGCCCTAATAAGGGCCTTCTGCTTACGAATAGGGATGACAATGGAGGGGATTTAGGTGAGATCTCCTAAACTATCTCATCATCATCTCTAAATAGCTAAATTTATACCCGCAACATACCCATGCGAAAAGAGATTTTGCAACTTCATCTCTATATCCACATTTTTCGAATATCTAATGTTCTCGTCTTATATCCAATATTATACCTAGAACTAATACAGTAAAACTTACTTAATATGTAAATTTTTCGGTTATAACATCAAATTAATAAATTGTAAAATCAACAAAGGTAGAACCATTTGTAATTCAAAATCTAAGCATATAATCCTACAAAGTAATAATAAAATCACTACTTTAGCATCCAATCACTCTAACTTTTGTATATATATATAAAAAAAATTATGTGGGTCGGGAGAGCATAAAATCATACTAGCTCAATCTCCATCAATTTTTTTGCGTATTCTATCCATATCCGCCTCATATCCGATCAATACATTGATTCTCCGCGTTGATTGGGTCGGGATGATCGGATACCCACGATCATGGATTTAGTTACCCTCTATAATTATGAAGGATCCCTCTCGTTCCCCGATACATAGTTTATATTGTAAAGCTTGAACCTTCTAGCGACATGATCACTAGTCTAATGTATATGATCTAATACATTTTGTGGTAGTAATAGTACTGCAAACTGCCATGGTACTTACAACACCATTTCAAAGGATCGATGTTCTTACACCGTTCATTGTCATTGAACTGTATGGATATATTGTGATCGTTAGATGAATACAGTGACAATTCTATAAATAAGATATCCATCTACAATCGGGGAACACCAATTGTAAAATACAACGGTTGCCAAATGTTGTATGGATGTTCCTATAAGATGTAAGCACTCTAGCCGAATTCCTATAAAAAATATCTCTTTTTTGTGGATGGGGAACGTGACACACTAGAATGTAACTGTTCTTGTTATAAATGCATGTATATTTTTTATGACAAGTTTTGTAACGACGCGAAACAAACTTTGATAGAGAACATGCATGGTCCCTACCATTAAATACCAAAGGATTTCTTCTTAATTATTTGAAGCTGTCAACTGCATGCAATTAATGCATGGACTACTTTTTTTTTACTTTTGCACTTCCTTCCTTCCATGTGTTAGCCCAAACCCAAAAACAGAGCAAAACAAAAAAAAAAAAAAATGCAATGCATGCATACTTTATGACAAGTGTAACTTTTAGTGACCACAAGCGAAACTTTACCCTAAAATATCCAACCGTTACAAAATGTCAATTCCTTCAAAAATAGTTTTGGTGGGCTTTTGTCGTGTATAATTAATATTCCATGAATAGATATATGCATGTGAGTTAATTACATTATTGATAATTTAAATATGAGTATTAAATATATGAGAAGCTAAATATATACGTGGAAATTAGAAACCAATTTTACATATATGGCAGCATATTAAAAATAGATGTGGAAATTTGAAATCAATTACATATATGGCAGGATATTAGATAGGTTTATGTCTTATTGAAGAAAGTATCTTTTTTAAGTAATTTTATTTGGAGTTGATGACGGAAACTTATTAAGGTTGTGACAGTGAACTAACTAATGTACGGAATTCCGGACTTTGTTTATAACACGTGTGAGCTTTTTTCCTGTTATAGATTCATTTGAAGTCGGCGCGAAAATAATTTCTAGGTGGTAACATAAAATAAATTGATTTGCAGAGCTCGGATAGGTTCTTGATGCCACGCGTAAGAGCATCTTCTTACGGCGCCAAACTAATGATTAAAGGTTGTGACATGGTCTGGCCACACTGACATCAAATGTTAGTTGACATCACGTGAGAGTTCGTTTAATTTTCATTACAACTTTGTTTTAAATTAGGCGTGAAAGTTAAATTATGTTTGGGGTAAATAAAAAATTCAAGATTGTTGTGCATAGAAAATGCAATCCAATAATACACAAACAATGTTGCAAAAAATCTAAAACATATAAAAGTACAAAGACAAATAAGAACGTTAATATAGCTACAAAAACTTATATTTTCTCTTCTCTTAACCAAGTTTCAAGAAAGCACTATATCGTAAGGAGGGTGTTGGATCTTGCCTAGTGTCTCCACTTCGACATCACCTAAGAATGTCTAACATTTAGAACGAAAACAACAATTTGAATTTTGAATGGAAAAGACACTTGTATGAGTTAAAAGTTTGGATGACAAATGTTTTCGTTCTTAGGTGAATATCATATAACTAAGCCTATTTGCTTAGTCAAATGGCTAAAGTAATATCAACATAAGTTTGGTTAAAGTCAAATGTCATTCGATCTGACGGTCCACAATATCCATTGCCAATTAATTACACAAAATGATAGTTTTGAAATTTTTGAAAAGTTTATTAAATGTAATTAATTATTTTCCAATTTTCCAACATTCTCTCTCACCTAACCTCTTTCTCTAAACCTATGATTTTTCATCACTTCTTTCGTGTTCTATCCATATCCGCTCCATACCCAATCAATACAAAGATTCTCCATGTTGACTGGGTTTGGACCATCGGATACCCACGATCATGGATTTAGTTGCCATCCCTAATGATGAAGGCTCGCTCTCGTTCCTCGGTACATAGTTTATGTTGTAAAACTTGAACCTTCTAGTGACATGATGATCACTAGTCTAATGTATATGATGTAAGTAGCAATAGTGCAAACTGCTATGGTGCTTACAACACCATCTAAAAGGATCGATGTTCTTAATTACACCGTTCATTGTCATTGAAATGTGATGGATGTTTTGTGATCATTAGATAAAAACAGTGAATTTTATAACTAACTAAGATATCCATCAACGATCGAGGAACACCCATCGTAAATCCAACGGCTTCCAAATGCACGTTCCTACATGTATGATGTAAGCACCCTAGCCAAATTCCTGTAAACAAATCAAATTTTTTTTTTTGGATGAGGAACGTGGCATACTAGAATGTAACTGTTATTGTTCTATATGCATGTATACTTTTTATGACGAGTTTTGTAGCAACGCGAAACAAACTCTGATAAAGAACATGCATGGTCTCCACCATTAAATGCCAAAGGATTTCTTCTTAATTATTCTAAGCTGTCAACTGCATGCAATGCATGGACTACTTTTTTTTTTTTTTTTTTGCAGTTTCTTACTTCCATTTGTCAGCCAAACCCAAAAAACATAGCAAAACAACAAGAAACGGTAAGTGTAACTTTTAGTGACCGCAAGCGGTAATTTACCCTACATTTTACAACCGTTACAAAATGTTGATCCCTTCAAAATAGTTTTTGGTGGGCTTTTCTCGTGTATAATTAATATTATATGAATAGATATATGCATATGAGTTACAATTATTGATAATTTAAATATGAATGTTAAATATATGACAAGCAAATAAATATATACGTGGAAATTAGAAACCAATTTTACATATAAGGCAACATATTTAATATAGGATATATCTTAATATTTTTTTTTTTTACAAAAAAGCATATTAAATATAAACGTGGAAATTTGAAACCAATTACATATATATGGCAGGATATTAATTAGGTTTATGTCTTATAGATTATAAGACATGAAAGTTATCTCTTCTTTAAGTTAAATATTTCATTTGAAGTTGACACCACAAACTTATTAGGGTTGTGACAGTGAACTAACTGATGCACGGAATTCAGGACTTTATTTGTAACACGTGTGGGCTTTTTTCCTGTTATAGATTCATTTTGAAGTCGGCGCGAAAAGAATTTTTTACTTGGTAACTTAAAATAGATCGATTTGTAGAGCTCGGATTGATTTTTGATGCCACGCGTAAGAGCATCTTCTTGCGGCGCCGAACTAATGATTAAAGGTTGTGGCGTGGTCTGGCCACACTGAAATCAAAAGTTAGTTGGCATCATGTGAGAGTTTATTTAATTTCCGTTATAACTTGTTTTAAATTTGGCGCGAAAGTTAATTTATGTTTGGGGTGAATAAAATTTTCAAGATAGTTGTGCATAGAAAATGCAATCCAATAATACACAAACAATGTCGTAGAATACCTAAAACATATAAAAGTAGACACATAAGAACGTTGATATAGCTACAAAAACTAATATTTTTTCTTCTCTTAAGTCTTAACAAAGTTTCAAGAAAGCACTATGTCGTAAGGCGGGTGTTGGGTCTTGCCTAGTGTCTCCACTTCGACATCACCTAAGAATGCCTAACCTTTAGAAGGAAAACAACAATTTGAATTTTGAATGTTAAAGACACTTGTATGAGTTAAAAGTTTGGATGCCAATATCTAACTCGTGAAAATGAATATCGTATAATGATATAACTAAGCCTATTTGCCTAGTCAAATGGTTAAAGTATTATCAGCATAAGATTGGTTAAAGTCAAATATCATTCAATCTGATGGTCCACTATATCCATTACCAATTAATTACACAAAATGATAGTTTTGAAAATTTTGAAATTTCATTAAATGTAATTAATTATTTTTCAATTTTCCATTATTCTCTCTCACCTAACCTCTTTCTCTAAACCTATGATTTTCATCACTCCTTTCTTGTCTTTCTCTCTCCTAATACAGTTCTCTCTCTCTCTCTCTCTCTCTCCTCAGAGTTTCTAGTGATGGTGGCCATATCTATCACCACCCTTGTCTGATATCTTTTCTCTTGCTCCAATTCTCTCTCTCTCTTCTTCTCTGATATTCTGGTGGCGGTGATCACATTAGTCATCAATGTTTCTATAAAGTTTATCTCTTCGCCGTTTCTAACTCTCTCTCTCTCTCTCTCTCTGCTTTCTTCCCTTCTCATAGCTATATGTTTCTGAATCCATCCTCTCTTAGCCATCCATTGTTGAGGTAAGCAACTCTTTCTTCTTCCTAGTGAGATTTTCAACTATCAAATCTGCCATCTGTCTTTTTGTTGGTCACTCAATATATCATCCCTAACTCGCGACTTTCTTTCTGTCGGTTCTAGATATTTCAAAAAATGGATGAGTCACCACTTTATATAAGACAAAACGTTTCTAAGTCCACACCTGTCCACATCCCATCAATCTCACTTAATTGCGTTCACCTTCTCCATGTTTCTGCTCTCCTACTTAGAGAAAATGATGAAAAACTTTCTCCCTTCCGTTTCATGATTTCCATCGTCGCCTTTGCATTTCTCTTTTCTCTCAGTCTCTCCAACAAGAAACTTCTATTCTTTTTTTGTGTGGGTTCGTCGATTGTAGTTTGAAAGTTGACTACTACCAAATTCACCACTACGACAAGAGAACAACACACTGATCGCTGCTTGAAAGGGTCGCTCTTATTCTCTTGTCGTCTTCATAGCTGTACGTTTTTTGAGCCTTGTCTCTCATAGTCATCCTTTGTATAAGTAAGCAACTTTTTCTTCTTCCAAGTAAGATTTCCAACTATCAAATATGAAATATGCCTTTTTGTTGGCATAGTCACGATTTTGCCTATTTTTCCTTGTTGACGAAGTTCTTAATCATTGACAGAAGTTCATACGTTGTTATCTTTTGGTTTATTCATGATAGTTTCAATTTTGGAATTCATACTAAGTTTTTGTCAGTTTGTTTGTTTGGGTGTAGGTTTCTGCTAGGAATTGAAGTTGATCCTTCGGATCTACCATGCTTGAAGAAATCAAGATGCCTTCAGAAAGGAGACGAATATTTTCTGATGGAGCCAAGTTTGACAGACTTAGTGGGCTTCCCGATGAAGTTCTGCACCATGTACTCTCCTTCCTTGATACCAAGTGTGTTGTTCGAAGTAGCATTTTGTCAAACAGGTGGAGATCACTCTGGAAAACGGTTCCCGTGCTCAATTTCGATGGCGAATCCTTCAACGAGCACAACTTCAAGGACCATGTGGACGAACTTCTAAAAGTCTATTTTGTCAACTCACACAGGCTTTGTCGTGTATCGATTCTCAATTGTCCTGGATTTGGAGAGAGGTCTGATATCTTTGCTGCCATCTTCCGCTCAATCTCCCTCTGCGACCAATCAATTGAGACTCTGGACTTAAAACAAGTCCAGTTTGATAATATGACATTTGGGTTGCAAAGCTCTGGTTTCAAAGTGCTTACCACTTTGACCTTGTCTGAGTGCTACTTGGATTTCTCTAGCTGGAACCAACCGCTCAACCCGTTTGCTCGTTTTCCCATGTTGAAGAATTTGGCACTAATATCTTGCAGTTGCTCTCTTGGTGACGATCCCGAAGATGAAGAGACAATGAGGTGTTTGAAAGTTGTTGGACTCCAGTTGCTTATCCTAGAAGTAGACGATGTATTTGGTTTCGATGAGATAAAAGTATTTGCACCAAATCTGAAACGGTATACTTACAAGAATCAGATTCGTGACTTTTCTCCAATGACAGAAGTCTTGGTCAATGTCCCTTCCTTAGAGCATGCCGATATCAAGTTGTTGGGATACAAGGGCTTGTATGATGAGTATAAGCAAGAGGCAAACCGACAATATGCAAACTTGTTCCTTGGTATGAGTAGAGCAATGTCGCTTGTCTTTCAATTCGATACCGCCAAGGTAAGTTTCCTATAACTAGTGTAATGCGAACATGTTCATATCATTATCATATGTCATATATGTTGCAAAACATTTTCCTAATTTGCCGATCTACCGAATGTTTGTGATTACATTTGTTATGAAAGTCGTGCTCATCTCAACTTGTTTTGTTACGTGAGTTGGGTTTATTCCACCAAGACATTTGTGAAAAAATGTTAATGTTGTTCGTGTTTTTATTTTTTCCTTGTGCTCCTGTTTTAGGAAGTCTTCGATGCTTGTGGCTTGTTAAGGGATCAACTCTCTCCTTTCAAAAGATTGAAATCCCTTAGTCTCCGTCATTCAGAACAAAAAGTCGACATACCAAACTACGTGACGCGATTCTTTTTTGGTGACTCCTCTCTCAAATATGAAAAAGGTGTGAATGTAACCAAGGTAAGTCGATGGAACTACGCTCTTCTAGGCTGACTTGATATTGAACCTCAACTACATTTATAGTTGTGTATATGGAATGCATATTTTTCATGATAATCTATGTAGAATGTAGCTCAATTTCATTTTTTTATGCAGGTGACTACATCATTTTGACTTTCAAGTGCTTGGAAGATTTCGCAAACTGCAAGTCATATCCTCTTGTGAAATTTCTCGGAAAGTAGAAGCTCAAGAGACTTCGGTTCCTGTCTGTATTGCTTATTGGAAAATTAGGGATAGGTCTTACTACTAGACCAAACTCATATAAGTATAACTAGACAACTGAGTGGTATCTTTATGTTTGCTCTTATTGTGGACCATAATGGAAATCGAATGAATATCCCTCTATTATCTCAACGTTTTATTTTTGGAATTATGTTATGTTTCTTAATTTTTTTTTTCGGAATCAACAATTTGAATTTGGCGTGAAGTAGATAGGTTGTCACGTGGGATGAATCAATCAATTTATGACTTGACGAGATTAGACTTAAAATTTTATGCTTGAATAATCAATAAATAAATTTGGCGCGAAAGTTGGAAAATATAGTTTGTAATTCGATCGATCAAACTACATGCATATAGTATTGCCCAGTAACGGTAACTGTAAGATTATTCCAATCATTAGGAAAATAATTCAAAATTACTATGAAAAGTAATTTTGAATTATTTCCTACCATTAATCACTTTATATTTTTTACCAAAAAACATTAGGCCAATGACATTATTGGTTAAAATTCAGACTTTAGTTACGAAAAAAGAACATCAGTTACAAACATTTATTCTCAACTTATATCCAATATTATACATAGAATTAATACAATAAAACACTAAATATGTAAATTTTCGATTATAACATCAAATAATAATAGATCGTAAAATCAACAAAGGTAGAACTATTTATAATTCAAAATCTAAGCATATAATCCTACAAAGTAATAAGAAAATCACTATTTTAGCATCCAATTACTCTAACTTTTGTATATATATAAAAAATTATATGGGTAGGGAGAGCAAAAAATCATACTAGCTCAATCCCCATCAATATTTTGCGTGTTCTATCCATATCCGCTCAATACCTAGTCAATGCAAGGATTCTCCACATTGACTGGGTCGAGTTGATCGAATACCCACGATCATGGATTTAGTTCCCCTCTGTATTGATGAAGGCTCCCTCTCGTTCCCTGGTACATAGTTTATATTGTAAAGCTTGAACCTTCCAGCAACATGATCAATAGTCTAATGTATATGATGTAACACACTTTATGGTAGTAATAGTACTGCAAACTGTGTTTCTACACCGTTCATTGTCATTGAATTGTGATGGATGTTTTGTGATCATCAGATAAATACAGTGACAATTTTGTGAATATCATTGAATGATTACGCGGCAACAATTTTATAAATAAGATATTCATCAACAATCGAGGAAACACCCTCCGTGAACTCCAACGACTGTAAAATATTGTATCAACGTTCCTATATATATGATGTAATTAAGTAGCCTAGCCGAATTCCTATAAAGAAATCATCTTTTTTATATTTGCGGATGGGGAATGTGACACCCTAGAATGTAACGGTTCTGGTTCTAGATGCATTTTTTTTATGACAAGTTTTGTAACCTTGCTAAACAACCTCTGATAGAGAACATGCATGGCCTCTGTAATAAATGCCAAAGGATTTCTTTTTAATTATTCCAAGTGTCAACTGCATGCAATGCATGAACTTTTATTGTGTGGCTTTTACAGTTCCTTACCTCCATTTGTCAGCCCAACGGGTCAAACCCAAAAAGCAGAACAAAACAACAGGAAACTACACGTAGTGCAAGGTCGTCGTGATTTAATTGTCTTGAGAAAACTGCAAGTGTAACTTTTAGTGACCACAATTTATAATTTACCCTAAAATTTTCAACCATTACAAAATGTCGATCCCCTCAAAGATAGTTCTGTTGGGCTTTTTTCGTGTATATATAACTAATTATCCATAAAAAGATATATGCATGTGAGTTACAATTATTGATAATTTAAATATGAGTATTAAATACACGACGAGAAGCTAAATATATACGTGGAAATTAGAAACCAATTTTACATATATGGGCAGCATATGAAATATAGACGTGAAAATTTGAAACCAATTACATATATGGCAGGATATTAACTAATTGATTATAAGACATGCAAGTCTTTTTTTAAGTAAAATTTAATTTGAAGTTGATGCCGCAAACAATTATTAGGGTTCTGACAGTGAACTAACTAATTTACGCAATTTGGGACTTTATTTATAACACATGTGAGCATTTTTTTACGTTATACATTTATTTTGAAGTCGGCGCGAAAAGAATTTTAAGGTGGTAACATAATCAAATCGATTTGCAGAACTTGGATAGTTTCTTTATGCCACGCGTAAGATCATCTTCTTGCGACGCCGAACTCATGATTAAAGGTTGTGGCGTGGTCTGGCCACACTGAAATCAAATGTTAGTTGACATTATGTGAGAGTTTGTTTAAATTTCGTACAACTTTGTTTTAAATTAGGCGCGAAAGTTAATTTATGTTTGGGGTAAATAAAAATTTCAAGATTGTTGTGCATAGAAAATGCAATCTAATAATACACAAACATTGTTACAAAAAATCTAAAACATATAAAAAGTACAAAGACACGTAAGAACGTTGATATAGCTACAAAAACTAATATTTTTTCTTCTCTCAAGTCTTAACCAAGTTTCAAGAAATCACTATGTCGTAAGGCGGGTGTTGGGTCTTGCCTAGTGTCTCCACTCCGGCATCACCTAAGAATGTCTAAACTTTAGAAGGAAAACAACAATTTGAATTTTGAATGGAAAAAACACTTGTATCAGTAAAAGTTTGGATGGCAATATCTAACTCGGGAGAATGAATATTATATAACAAAGTCGATTTGCTTAGTCAAATGGCTAAAGTATTAGAATAAGATTGGTTAAAGTCAAATGTCATTCAATATGATGGTCCATAATATCCATTACCAATTAATTACACAAATTGATAGTTTTGAAAATTTTGAAAAGTTCATTATATGTAATTAATTGTTTTCCAATTTTACAACATTCTCTCTCACCTAACCTCTTTCTCTACACCTAAGATTTTTCATCACTCATATAACATTTCCTATCTTTCTCTCTCCTAATTATAATTGTCTCTCTCTACTCCTTGGAGTTTATAGTGATGGTGACCATATCTATCACCACCGTTGCCCGATATCTTCTCTCTCGCTCTGATTCTCTCTCTCTCTCTCTTCTTTGATATTCTGGTGGTGATGATCACATATGTCATCACTGTCTCTCTAAACTTTATCTTTTCGCTAATTCTAGCTCTCTCTATCTTTCCCTTCTTCCTTTCCGCAACAAAGATGATGACAAATTTATAGTTGTCAACTCTCTTCTCCTTCTGCTATTAAAAATTTTATGTTTTAGATATTTCATAAATGGATGAGTCACCACTTTATATGAGATAAAATGGTCCTGAATACACACCTGTCCGCATCCCATCAATCTCACTTCACTCCTTTCATCTTCTCCATGTTTATGCTCCCCTACTTGCAAAAAAAATATGATGAAAAACTCCCACCGCCCGTTCATTTTCACCATATTCATAATTTCCATCATCGCCTGTGCATTTTAGTCTTTATTTCGCCTCTCAATCTCTCCATGAGCAACATATTTTCTTTTGAAGTTTGAGTTCGTTGATTGTTGTTTAAAAGTTGATTGCGACCAAGTTCACCACTGTCGTGAGAGAACAAAACACATATAGTTTCTTGATCTCTTTTTGTCTTCATAGCTATATGTTTCTGATGCCTTGCTTCTCTTAGCCATCCTTTGTTGAGGTAAGCAACTCTTTCTTCTTCCTAATGAGATTTCCAACTATCAAATATGCAATCTATCTTTTTGTTGGCCACTCAATATATCATCCCTAACTCGCTACTTTCTTTCTGTCGGTTATAGATATTTCAAAAAAATGGATGAGTCACCACTTTATATAAGACAAAACGTTTCTCAGTCCGCACCTGTCCACATCCAATCAATCTCACTTTATTGTGTTAACCTTTTCCATGTTTATGCTCTCCTGCTTGGAGTAACGATGAAAAACTTTCTCCCTTCCATTTTCTTTTCATTTCTCCACTATTCATAATTTACAACGTTGCCTTTGCATTTCTCTTGTCCCTCAGTCTCTCCAATGAGCAACTTCTTTTCTTTTTCTATGTGGGTTCGTCGATTGTCGTTTGAAATTTGACTGCTACCAAGTTCACCACTACAACAAGAGAACAACACACCAATCGTTTCTTGAAAGGGTCACTCTTGTTCTCTTGTCGTCTTCATCACTATACTTTTTTAGCCTTGTCTCTCTTTGTCATCCTTTGTAGAAGTAAGCATCTTTTTCTTCTTCATAGTAAGATTTCCAACTATCAAATATGCAATATGCCTCTTTGCCTGTGTAGTCACGATTTTGCTTATTTTCCCTTGCCGACGAAGTTCTTAATTGTTGACAGAAGTTCATATGTAGTTATCTTTTGGTTTGTTCATGACTATTTCAATTTTGGAATTCACACTAAGTTTTTGTCAGTTTGTTTGTTTGGGTGCAGGTTTCTGCTCAGAATTGAAGTTGATCCTTCGAATCAACCTTTCTTGAAGAAATCAAGATGCCTTTAGAAAGAAGACAAATATTTTCTGATGGAGCCAAGCTGGACAGACTTAGTGTCCTTCCCGACGAAGTTCTGTACTATGTACTCTCCTTCCTTGATACCAAGTATGTGGTTCGAAGTAGCATTTTGTCAAATAGGTGGAGATCACTATGGAAAATGGTTCACGTGCTCAATTTTGATGGCGAATCCTTCAACGAGCACAACTTCAAGGACCATGTGGACCAACTTCTAAAAATTCGTTCTGTCAGCTCTCACAGACTTCGTCATGTATCAATTCTCAATTGTCCTGGATTCGGGGAGAGGTCTGATATCTTCAACGCCCTCTTCCGCTCAGTCTCCCTATATGACCAACCAATTGAGAATCTATACTTAAAACGAGTCCAATTTGATAACATGGCATTTGGGTTGTCAAGCTTTGGCTTCAAAGCACTTACAATTTTGGCCTTGTCCGAGTGCTACTTGGATTTCTCTAGCTGGAACCAGCCACTCAACCCGTTTTCTCGTTTCCCCATGTTGAAGAATTTGGCACTTATATCTTGCAGTTGTTGTCTTGGTGATGATCCCGAAGAAGATGAGACAATGAGGTGTTTGAAAGTTGTTGGACTCCAGTTGCTTAGCCTGGAAGTAGACGACGTATTTGGTTTCGACGAGATAAAAGTATTTGCTCCGAATCTCAAACGGTGCACTTACAAGAATGAGATTCACGACTTTTCTCCAATGACAGAAGTCTTGTTCAACGTCCCTTCCTTAGAGCATGCCAATATCAAGTTGTTGGGATACATGGGCTTGGATGATGAGTATAAGCAAGAGGCAAACCGACAAAATGCGAACTTGTTCCTTGGTCTGAGTAGAGCAATGTCTCTTGTCTAAGTCTTCCAATTCGATACCGCCAAGGTAAGTTTCCTGTAACTAGTGTAATGTGCATATGGCTATATCAATATCATATGGCATATATGTTGGAAGAAAATTTTCTAATTTGCTTATCTACCGAATGTTTGTGATTGCATTTGTTATGAAAGTCATTGTTGGTTTCGACTTGTTACATGAGTTGGGTTTATTCCACTAAGAAATTCATAGAAATGTTCATTTTTCCATGTTTTCTTTTGTTTGCATTGTGTTCCTGTTTTAGGAAGTCTTCGATGCTTGTGGCTTGTTGAGGGATCAACTTTCTCCTTTCAAGAGATTGAAGTCCCTGAGTTTGCGTCATTCAGAACAAAAAGTTGATATATCGTACTACTTGACGCGATTCTTTTTCGGTGACTCTCCTCTCAAATATGAAAAAGGTGTGAATGTAACCAAGGTGAGTTGATAGAACTGCGCTCTTCTAGTCTCACTTGATATTGAACCTCATCTATATTAGTTGTGTATATGGAATGCATATTTTTCATGATAATCTATGTAGAATTGAACTCAATTTCTGTTTTTTATGTAGGTGACTACATCATTCTGAGTTTCAAGTACTTGGTGAGATTTCACAAACTGCAAGTCAAATATTCTTGTGAAATTTGTCGAAAAGTAGGAGCTCAAGAGACTTTGATTCCTATCTATGATGTTTATTAGAAAACTAGGGATAGGTCTTTTAGTATTAGACCTAACTCATATAACTATAAATAGACAAGTGAGTGGTCTCTTTTATGTTTGCTCTTATTGTGGACCATAGTGGAAATCGAATGAATATCCCTATATTATCTCAATGTTTTTTTTTTGTTTGGAATTATGTTATGTTTCTTAGATTTTTTGGAATCAACAATTTGAATTTGGCGCGAAGTAGATAGGTTGGCACGTGAGATGAATCAATCAATTTATGACTTGACGTGATTAGACTTAAAATTTTATGCTTGAATAATCAATGAATGAATTTGGCGCGGAAGCTGGAAAATATAGTTTGTCAGGTGGGGTGAATCGATAAATTAATTAACTTTTAGAAATGACATGTGAGAATTCATGTTTGAATAATGAATAAATGAATTTGATGAGAAACCTAAAATTATACTAGTTGTAGCGTGGAATAAATTGATCAATCAAACTGCAAGCATATAATGTCGTAATAACTACAACTATAAGATTATTTTCCAATCATTAGAAAAGAATTCAAAATTACCATAAAAAGTAATTTAGATGTGAAAAAATAATTTTGATTCTCAAAATTAACTTTTGATATTTGGAGTTAAGACGCTGATTTTTCAGTTTGCAGTATTCAGAGACTTTAATGATAACACCTCAAAGTTCCACATCTAATTTGAATTTGAAGAGCAAAGATTTTTAAATTCTTACCATTGGATCACTTTATATTTCCTACTAAAAAATGCTAAGCCAATGATAATAAAATTTCAGTTACAAATCTCTATTCTCATGGTTAGACCAACACCAAATATTCGAACAGTCAACCAAACCATCTAGTACTAGTAGTCTCCACTCTGACAAAGTGTGTCGAGCCTTCGTTGATTGGCCCGAATGTCCTCTCGTGGGCCAAGGCCGGACACCAAACTAGTTTTTTTTTTAATTTGTTTTTACATAAACATTCTATTTTTACCTTGGGTTAATACCCTAGTTTGGCCCGAAGTATAGCGTAAGTGACAGTTTTGGCCCAATTTTTCAAATAAGACATTTATGGCCTACTTTTGAAAGTATTGGACAGATATGGCACGAAACTTGTGTCGACTGTTAATATTAACGGTCAAACATTTATTCCGTCCATGACTCAGCATCTAGTGCTAAGGTGGCATCCACGTCACTTATTAATTAAAAATAAAAATAAATAAAAATAAAATCCTAAAATCCCTTCTTCTCTTCTAAATAATCTTACAATCCGCCTCCCACCAGCCGAGCTCCGCCGTCGCGACTTTCTTCCTTAGAAAATCCCACCGCCTTCCAAACAGCTTCCAATCAGACTCCCACTTCATCTTCTTCCACTCTCTACGGCGTCGTCCCATCGGGCGGTGGGAGTTGATCGAGACGAAAATCCAGATCCGTTCTGGGTTGGAATTGGGTCTGCCAATTAGATTATCTGTGTTAATCGATCAGGGGTAGGATCGAACATGAAGGGTGGCAAAAGGAGGCGAGGTGTGAAAGGAACCGATAGACTCAGTGAACTTCCAGACGGTATTTTGCACCACATTCTCTCCTTCCTGGACAGTGAATTTGTTGTTCGAAGCAGCATTTTGTCACGGAGGTGGAGATGGGTCTGGAAAGAGGTTCTTGTCCTCAATTTCTGCGGACACTCGTGTAAGGCTAAGCATAAGCAGCAACATTTCGAGCGGCATGTAGACCAAATTCTATCTCGCCGGTCTGACATGTTCGCAAGATTAGCATCTTCTTTGACATTCAAGCGCACATGATTCCGTATCTCGGCATCGTGAAATATGCTGCCTCTAATGGTCTTCAACAGTTATATGTGCTTCATAAGGAGGAAGATGATTGTTTCCGCATACTATCTGCAGATGTTGCCCTAATCTCTACTTATGTTCGATCGCTAAAATTTCTGGACTTACAATGGGCGGTTCTGGACGAGAGTGCACTTGGGTTTTGGTATAATTTGAAATTGCCCGAGACTCTGACTTTGCTTAACTGCGAGTTTGATTTTGGTGGTCCGGATAACCTGGCCGACCCTTTTGCTACAAATTGGAAAACCTGAAACTGTTGGATTGCTTTTCACAATATTGTGGGTCAAAAATATATGGACCCCAATTGCTTACTTTGGAGATACATTGGCCATCAAGTCCCACCTTGGAAATTTTCGCTCCTAAACTTGTATCTTTGTATTACTGGGATGATCTTATTATTCGTGCTTTATCACCACAAGTCTCCAAATTGAACCTTCCTTTGATTAATCATGCAATAATCATCTTGTCAAGTGATAATGATCTATTTGATAAGAGTGTCTGCAATGATTATCAGAAGCAACTGACGTTCGAGCTTTGTGCAAACTTGTTCCATAGTTTGCATAATGTGAAGTCCCTCTGCTTGCACTTCTTTCTATACCATTGAGGTATGTTGTCTGTAATTGCTAATAGTATAAAATGAGCATATTCCTACCAAATATATTCTTGTAATTTAAATTTATGATACAGGCATGGTGTAACAAATTTACCATTTCTATCCCTTTACAGTGTGGTAATTATTTATGTTTTGGTAAAAAATTTAGAAGCCTTTTTGTTTACGTCATTATGCCTTGGTTCTACTCCCCAAGTGTTGATTGGGGCTTATGACTTGGTGAAACATCAGCCTTCACCCTTTAAGCAGCTGAAGTCCTTAAGTTTACTGTATGCCGAAGGATCTTCTATCTTACCTTACCAAGTGATCCGCTACTTTATTGAAGGCTCTCCTAATCTAGAGACACGTCTGTGATGCTTGAAAGGGTATGCGGATAACGCTAAACTCTATTCCTTCTTGGTTTTTGAACTGAGTTGGATTTGTAGTCACACACAAGTTAGGTGTGAGGGATAATGACACATTTTGTAGGCACTAGGAAATTGAACTAAATAATGTGTTGTCCGGTTAACTTCAGTCTTCATACTTAAAATTTCATTATTCTTGCCATCATTTCATTTATATCCGTGAACACTCATGTACTGTGATGTACGTGCGTGTAGTTATATTGGTATCAATCTGATATCATTGGATGACAACCTGTTTTCTCGTGTTAATCCAGAGGACGATTCCAGCCAATCCATATTGATGATCAGTTCATGATTACCAGTGCTAAATCTGATATCATGTGAGTTTTTTTACCTCTCCAATTGCCTGTTGAAGCTACAAGGGCTTCATATGAATGTCTAGATTAGTGCAGATTCCTTTGCTTACTTGATAGGATGTGTTTATTTCGGTTGAGAAGCTAAGTTATTAAGGGCACACTATTTTATTGCGGCTCATGAAGTTAGTTGGAGGTGATTGAAGGTGGAAAAATATTGTTTGTTTAGATTTAATTCACTTTAAACTTGATGTACTTTGTGTGGCCTGACTCGCCTTCTAGAGTCTGTCATTTGTGGTATCAGCATCAGATGTCATGTTGAATGATAGTTTATTTTTCTGGTGTTAATGCAGAGGCCATTTCCAAAGTACCCATGTTGTTGCTCACAATTTTCATCCTTCCAAGATCTGGAATCTTGCTAGATCTCTGCATTTGTAGTGAAAGCCGAGGAATGGAAAACTTCATCTCTGCATGCTAGTTGCAGCTACGTTCAGGCCTTTTCATGTGAAGCTATTGAATATTTTGTGTTGCTTACTGGTTAAACGAACATATATTCGTGTAATTTACTAGTACCTGGTTCAAGTAATTTATTGTGGGTTCTCTGGATAAGAGGAGAAAGCTCGGTATAAATCTTTGCAGCATATTTCTCGAAAGAAAAGGGGAATACCACTTTGGAGGCTTTTCAATTCCCTTTATTCACAATTTTATTGTTTTCTGTTATGACTGATACCCTTTGTCCCGACTCTGGTCTTGGAGAAATATGATTCTGCTCGAAGGTAAGTTTAAATTTCTCTGTAGCTGGAATGGAATTTCATAGCAGAGGTTTAAAACTGAGCCTCCGTTTGAACTTTGCATTTCCACGTCTTTCACAATCCACATGGATGCATTTTTGGTCGGCAACAAAAGCTATCTCTTGATTGATATTGAATGTCATTTTGGGTCACTATCCACGTCTTTCTCTGTAGCTTTGGCTCATTGATATTGAACGTCATTTTGGGCCGCCTAGTTCTATGTGGCTGCCATTTTGGAGTTGTATCATGTTAAGTAAAGATCTTTATGTGTTTTAATTCAACAGGCAAACCATACTAGAACACTTTTATTCCAATAGTGAAATAAAGCTGCTAGTGCTAGCCATCCACCACTTTGGTCCTTTATCTAATAAAAGCAACATCCTTTTAACTTTGCATACTTAGATGCTGAATAAAGTTATCCCCAAGCATTCTGTTGATTTAGATGCTTAATCACTGTCGCTGCTGCTGCCGCTGTTTTTCCCACACTTCTTGTTCTTCTTTTCCTTCTTATTCTTCTTGACCTCGTTGTTATGGTCGCAGGCTCTTTGTTTCCATTTTAATCTCGCTTGATGAGCACTTCTTCTCCACTTTCTTCTCACCTTTGTAGCACTCAGTTGCAGCAGTCATGCCATGAGCGCCATGCTGATAATTAGATGGTGGATGGGAAAGAGAGAACAAAAGTAAAAAAAGATAGTGTCCATATAACTGGGAATGAATGCCTGATTTTGCAATATGTAGGTTATTCCAAGATATTGTTCTGCTGCTCTCCTTGTCTTTGGTGGAGTTTCTTCTTTAGTTCATTAACTCGTGGGACAGAATTAGATATGGTAATGGACACGAGGGAATCTCAAGTCTAATAAGTCATTGATGAGCCTCTAGCTTGTTTCCAGTGATCTCGATGGAACCTGCTTCGTTGGAGGACAGGAAGTGGATGGAATTATTGAACCTGATGCATTGAAATGAAGCCTGGATTTCACATCCGGGGGATGAAACAGGTTGGTCTATAGTGCATCCCGTAGCGTATTTTGTGCGTGCAAAATATTACGATTTTTATTGATTTGATGAATGTCGTTTTCCAATACAATTTTTTTTGGAATACGTTTATTTCAAAAAAATATGCATTTGAAATTTCATCCAATTCATAGTTGTGTTTGAATATATCTCATAGTATTGGCCTTTAGCAGTCATTTGGAGAAGATCTCCATATATAGTTGTCCAATCTTCAAATGCATTGAATTGGCCAATTGTTGTTCTATGTGCCAAGCTGATGCTTGATCAGATTCTCATCTTTTCATTCACGGTATATATCTTTGGCATATATATATGGTTAAACTCTCATCTTTCGATCTCTACCGGTGTTTCTCTTAAGTGATTGTGACGTTATTTTTGTTTGGAGAGGTTTGAACCGTTAGAATATATAGTGATCACAATTACGTACGTTAATGTGCAACTTTTTTGTTTTTGTTTCGAAGTACCAGGATTGATTTTAGGATGCACATGTTGTAAAATGGCTCTTGGTGAAGTGCAAGAGCCAAAGCTACAAGGTTTAATGAATATTTGAATTAGCTCTAAACTCTTTAAAATGTATGGTTGGCTATCCTATGTCTTGTCAGAACCTAAATGAAATTAGAGTCTTGTTGAGTGAAACTTATGGATACTGTTACCTTTGCCTTGACCACAACAATTATTCATAATTTTGTTTGTCTATTTTGTTGCAACACATTGATCTCATAGCTTTGCCAGTGGATTTTCTAGCGGTCAATATGTCGGTTAAGCTCACATCCTTGTTTGGAGGCAGATCTGTATCATCGTGTTATTCTTCATTTTTTACCCACTTAATTATCCCTATCTCATATAGGTAGATTATGTGCACGTTTTAATTTCGTTGTTCCGGTATTTACAGGTAATCGGTACTTAATTTACCGACTTAATTATTCACTAACTTATGATCCCTTTTCTTTTCTTGCTTCCGGGTGCTCCTAAACCATTTGGCATGGCTTGATAGTATATGCAAATCTCGTTTCATACATAAAAGTAGGATCCACAATCCACACACCATCTGCATAGTTACAACACTACCCAATTTCCCTGGGCAGTATAATTACTGCTTGGAACACTTTATTTATATGTTTATTTTCGCTCTCTCTAGTTACTTATCATCCTTTGTCATACTAGGTAAGGAGACACACACGCATCGTGCACGGATGAATCAAGCCTTCTTTGGTCCGCACTTGTTCTTGCTCTTGTTGTCGTCATCTCTGTCACTCTCGCTGCTGCTGCTGCTGCCGCCGCCGCTGTCGTCGCTGCGTCCAGCAATGCGGTCGTTGATCCTCTCGAGCAGCCCTCTCTTCTTCTTGTGCCCGCCACGCCCATTAGCAGCAGCAGTGGCAGGTTTGCCGTGGCCGTTAGTGGCAGCATTCCTCACGAAGTGCGCTGCTGTTTTGACAATGGAGGAGGAGGATTCATTGGTGGCGTGGGTGGTGGTAGTGGCGACGGCGGTTTGTCCCTTGTTGTGGGCGCCGTCTCTGTGGAAAACCCGGTTGGTCATATCTGCCATCTTCTGGCTCAGCGACTGGTGGTTGTTGTTGTGGTTCTGCTGCTGCTGCTGCTGGTGATTGGTTTTGTTGCAGGCTTGCTGCTGCTCGCAGGCGGGCCTGCAGCACTGTGCCGACGCCATTCTTTTTTCGTTTTGCTGGGTTGCTTGGTGATGGGAAGAACTTGAGGCCAATTTATAGGGGTGAGTTCATTAACAAGTTGGGAGCTGTTTCCGATTTGCGACGAGAATCTGTCGTTGTGGAATCAATCCTCTTTTTAGCTGAATGTGAATGGGCTGAAATAAGAGAGGGGACATATTCCC